CTTAAAATGGTCAAATACATCATGTGTGCTCACTCTGATAAGCGTGCAGGACGAACTCACAAAACATCTATATAAAGCGTCGGGCGCTGCCGTCTCCACATCACGGCCCACAGCTGGCGTTTACGCGGTTCACAGCTGGTGTTTAGCACCAGCTAATAGTCGTGACTTCTGGTCTGAGAGCTAGTCATTTATACTGACAAATTCAGGGTGCTGGTGGGGCACTATACAATTATGCGCGTAAACGCAATGAAACCAGGCTGCTCAAAATGCTAGCTGGTAGCAGGTAAGGCAGCTTAGTAAGAATTATAGCTGCCTAAAGCATCACATGTGGTACGCATGAGCTCGGGCATCGTGAAGTCTCCAGTGCTATGGATTCGTTGAGAGGAGCGGTAGCCTTTCGTCCATGAAGTGCAGACTGCACTCGGATCGCGCCGCTGATCGACGCGGCCTGTCCTCTCGCGTTCTACCCTGATTAGGACACAACAACATACACATCAAGAATACCCTCATCAGTTGTGTCAATGTCAATTAAAGTCATTTGGAGGGCGAACCCGGGACAGCGTAACTTACATTTAGAGAGACAATCAAAGAGGTTTTGAAAAGCACCTTGGTGGTTGTCTTTTCTTGAATGAAAACTGCCCTGACTAGCAAGTATTTCAATGTACTTGTTTTGTCTGAAATTATTATTGCTTTCGGACTCGTGTATATAGTAACAACTACTTTACTGATTTCATACAAACAAGACATGATGAGCCCTGGTCGCTCGGCATGATAAGTTAAAAGTTCTCATGCTGACAATAATAAACCTGTAGTCATACGAGAAGATACTGGTTAAACGACGTTATCAAGCAAGCATAAGTTACATCCAAGAAACTCAGATGGATTTAATCAGTGCCTTCAGGTACATGAAAAGCTAATTACTGTCATCATAAGAAATCCCAACACATCACGTTGTGTCCATTGCTCGCATAAACCATTTTTCTGAATGCAAAAGCTACGATACGGTTTCCGTAAAACTGGGCAGATCATTCACTTTTGCAGAGAAGTTAATAAATAATTGAATAACAAATAATTAGATTATGAAATTACACTCCACTATGGCGGAGCCCATTTCAGGATGTCATTAATTCTGGCTTTAATTCCTTTTGCTGATACGCGATCACACATCAATTCACTTTTCACTCATCAGCGATAATGACATGCAAGTGCCGGAATACCGGGCGGTCCAGTCTAGTGTAAAATACAGCAGCAACGACGCGCAGGTAATGGCTAGCCCATAGAGTGCCCTGTTAAAATGTCCTTTTTCAGGCCACCACTTTCTGAATCTTGAACATGTATGTGCATACAGAGTGAGCAGAAATGGAGCTTGAACAATGCTCTTTCGATTTCCCTGATCAAAAGTGCGCGCAGTTGTTGCAGTCGTTGTGCAGTCGTGCTGTGAAACGTATGGCGAGTTATTACAGGACACACAAATTATACATTTCAATATCTATAACATGTATTTGACAGGTATTATGCAGACACCGGGCTTAAGACCACAACCTGTGGCAAAGGGTGCATAGCTTTATTGTGTGTGACGTATGAAACCCATCGCGACGGTAGCCGTCTAAAGCTGGTATCCCAGCGCGGCCAGGGGTAGGACCAGGCACGGTGCTGGGTGCTAAAGTTGTGACGCTGGCGGCCACTGCTGCGCGGGGCCGGCAGTGCTGCCCCAGTGCCAGCACAAGCAGCGGTGGCACGGTGGCATTGCTGCTGCCTGCCATCTATTGCCCCTCCGGCTGTCCCGTCGGCGTGACAGCTCGCATTCGGAGCCGACGGTCTCTCCAGCAGAGGCGTCCGCACCGTATTTCAACGGAGCGGGACCGGCGTAAACCAATCACCACTGCGGCGCCGGTACGGTCTCTTTTTCCAATGTTGAGATCGAGTACGGTCTCTCCAGCAGAGGTGTCCGCCCCGTATTTCAACGGAGCTGGACCGGCGTAAACCAATCGCCACTGCGGCGCCGGTACGGTCTCTTTTTCCGATGTTGAGATCCTGGTCGTCAATCGACGTGTCGGTCGAAAGCTGGGACAGTGGGTGTGTTGGCGCATCATGCCGCTGCCGAACTGTATTGAGCGTCGACTCGACTCGTGCGTCGCGCACGGCTGCAAGAAGCTGTCACTGCGGTAAGAATACAAGGCGCTGTGTCCGCCAGGACGTCCTGCGCCGGCTATCTGTCATTGATCCACGGGCGGATTGCGTGTAGCAGCCACAACCGATGATTTTGAGCTCTGAAGAATCTCCTGTCCCGCCCTCTGCCCGCTGTGGATAGTCTACCACCATGAACGGCTGGTTCTCATGTCTGGAGAATAAGGACGTAGTTCCGCAACATAACTCTGAGTCAGGGGAGACCTCCCTCCGAGCTGGGGCTTGTACCTCCGTTGGTAAATGGAAAACTACACCCCTGTTTGGGAAGCAGTTGTGCTTGAAAGGAGGATGGTTAACATTATAACGACAATTGCCGTGACGGCGAGCTGGTACTGCACAGTTGCCATGAAATGCAAAGGTTTGGAAGACAGACGTCAGATGATCATCAGATGATCATGAGACATCAGATGATCCACTCCGAACAGTGCAGACTGATAAGTGATTTGGTTAAATGTAATGACAGGTGTGCGCGTAACGTAACATTACAGCAGACATCATCGTTATCTTATATATCCATTTAGCTCCCAATAGTGTATGTATTGTGATCATGCAACAGTGTTGAATGAATACAGTCGCTGCATGGCCTTTTTGTGGGTGGTATTATCTGTACAAATAATGGTGTAAGGTCGTCATTGTGATGTTGAATATTCAAATGTCAGTCAGACAACATTACAATCCAAAGAGTCCTGTATTGAAAAATAGCAAGATTCTCAGCTCCAGCATTGATATGCCTGAAAACATGCTGACCAATCATCTATCATGTAGCACTAACAACCGGTAGCCTATGCCGCACTGTTCAGAGCTGACTCGCTGTGTGGTAATTGAGTCATTATGTGATCAATCGTGATGAGAGTTCTTAAAATATGTCTTGATGTGTAAACTGAGACATAATGTGACTGAGCAAAGAGCAAGATATGTCAGATTCACCTGGATGCATCTGAAGATACTTTAAATTAGTCCGATCCTACAGCTACCAGTCCCAACTCCATACTGCACTTCCAGCGTCTTGCGACTGATAAACGCGATTATACTTAATATGCACCCGGGTGGGCGGTTGAATGCCTTTCGCTCGGTGCGGTGGGGGTGGGGGTGGGGGGTCAATTTGACCCCCATGACCCCCATGAGATCTCAGAAACTAAGAAAACTAGAGACACCTAACTCACAGGGTGTGTTGGTGTATACATGAACTCACCCGTATCAAAATTTGAGGTTCCTGGGTCATGACCTTCGGGTCAAATAAGGGTAAAAGAGTCAAACCCGTGGTTGATATTTAAAGCTCCCCAGAACCCAGATACCTGTTGCTAGTAAAAGGTCACTGGTGCTCAGTTAAGGTTATTGACCTCGTTTGACTTTTCGAAGGTCATGGTAGCCAAAGTCATGCAAGGCTGCTTTGATTTTTGCATTGGAGCAAGCGTCAAAGATTACTCTAAACAGTATATTCCGAAAAGCAAAGTGTTGACATGGATCATATTAGGTTAATGACCTATTCTGACCTTTAAGAACTCCATGGAAGATGTATAGTGCGGTTCCTATTATCATTGAAATATGAATTAGCACCGCAAACTATCCCATACAACGAGCTCTAGAGTAATAAGACAGGTTAATTTTGATCTTGGTCAGACCTTCATACGTGACCCTAGGTCAATTGGATTCGTTTGTTTAACTGTTGCGTTTTCTAAGAAACTGTCTCAGAGATGTACGGTCTCGTCTAACACTCCGCTGTTGCATCAGGTTGAGCGATTCCGTAAAACTGTCCTCACCAAGTCCATGGTCCGACTTTGACCTGCCTTAGGTCAGTGACCTTACAAGGTTCATCTTAATTTTGACGCCAAGCTATCCGCTATTCAATTAACTACAGCCATGCAAAGCGCCGTTCGTAAATCACTCCGAAAAAAATTCGGGGGTGGGGGGGGGGGGCAAATTGACCTCTCACTCGTGCGCGTGTTAATCGCCACAAACACACCAAAAATGCCGTCATCGCAGCACTGCCAAGTACCAGTTGTTGGTGCAATATCCCAAATGTAGTCCTAATCACGATTCTGACATGCTTAGTAGTATGCTTGTTTTATGGTATGATTTGGTACCTAATAGTCGAAGTTTTGGAGTACCCAGTCTCCTTTTGCCCTGCGTAAAACGTGCTGGAAGCAGAATGGCGCGACGGCTTTGCGGCGAAAGGCTCTGCGCGCAGGAAGCCATTGGCCGATGGCTCGTCCGACCTGCGCACGGGCGCTGTGATAAGCCGGAAGGTTCAAGCGCAACACATGTCATTGGCAGAAAGTGTGCTGTGTAAAGCGTGAAGTGTGACGTCATCTCGGTGTTTGACGCCGTACACGCCGCACGCAGCGTGCCTGGTTTTATTCTTTTTTCCCATTGATTGAATAAGTATTTTTAAGGACGAAGATGGTTGCCAGTATGCCTATTTAATTGTAGCGTTACCTAAACACTGCTGACCAGTGCAACCTCAAAATCATTAAGCACATTTCGAATGTGGCCCAAATCAGGGCCGAAACTGGACAGAGGTAATATAGTACTAATATAGTAGTAATATATATATATATATATATATATATATATATATATATATACATGATATATAGTAATATATAGCAATATATTATATATAGTAGTATGGTAATAATATAACAACATAGCAATAAGTAACACGAGGTTTGGACCCAATCGAAACTGCTGATCCTGATGTGACTCCAAATTATGCAGCAAACTAGACAATACCTGACCGACAGGAACGCAGGTAATCGGCCTCAAAGAGGGTACTTGCGTTCCCACTGCACGCCCCCAGGCCAAAGCCAGGCAGCTTGGTGTCAGTCAACGTTAGTACATCTACCGTCCTCTTACCAAAGCTCCTCTGAACAAAGCGTCCCCTCCAACACACGTGTTACACTTATGTGCTCTACGGTACATGTGCTCTATCACTGCGGCGCGCATTTGACCACTTTTACACCATGCAGCATATTGTTTGGAAAGGCCATTTTAAGTTAAATGGACAGAACCAGCTAGCTCAGATGCGCGAGTTTTTTGGCAGGCAGTGATTGTGGCTGAGGCTCCGAGCTGTCTGAGTTAAATGCGCAGGAGTTCATGGATAAACAAGAATCGCCTAGTCGCATTTCGCAACGATTTGCGACATAATGCGGTTATCACCTGAGAACTGCCAACGAAGGGAAAACGCGATGAAACTTTGTGCGCATTAACGTTCCATGTGACCCAAGTACCAGTCAAACTCAGCTCGTTTGTACACCGCGCACTCCGGAGTTTGATATAGTGGCCTAATACCCGCAGTTTCAGAACGGCTGATGCAATTCCGCCTCATACCGGTCGCTAAGGTCCACGTGGAACAGAGCGATATCAAAACATAATGGAGGTTGCAATTTCCGGGCGTTTCTCAACGTTTGTTCAAGGCCCTCTGGTTTGACCTGAAGCAGAGCGCATTTACGTGATGGCAGGGGCACTCAGTACGACGGTGAAGGGGCGAAAATCAATGCGAACCTACCGCAGTTTTTTTTATTATTTGTGGCAGAAGTTATCTCTGCTCTACTAAAGAAGCCAAATGTGGGCCTAAGGTGGCCTGTCCCTCCCCTTCGGTTGTGCCTATGCGTAACAACGCATTGTCGTTTTACTGGATTTAGTTGTCGACTTAATAGTCGACTTAGCAGAATAGCCATTTACCTGCCGTCAGTCGGAAAAAGTGTGTTTTTTCATGCAGTAGCTCGAAAAGGAATCACCACTTGAACCAGATTACGATCGCGATCAAGTCTTACGAGAATATGAAGGTGAGGCGGAGGTAACTGTGCCAGATGACGTTCTGTCTGTCCCGATAAGCCCCAACCGTGCCGCGCTCCGCCCGCAGTGACCAGCGGTCGACGGTGGCGCCGTCCGACTCGGACCGGGACTGCTCGAGCCGCCGGAACAGCGAGACTTCCGGTCCGTCGGCGGCCGCCTCCCATCTGGGTGTGGCCGGCGCTGGGGGCCGGCTGCCGCCGCCCGCCTCCCCGCGAGCGCACCGCAGGCGCCCGGTCAGTGCAACCCCCTCCCCCTCCTCCTCCTTCCCCTGCTCCCACCATCGTGCAGAAGTATAGGGACTTGCGAAGAATTGGGAATGTTAAATACTGCTTTGCTGTGGATTTGTCATATGCATTTTCGAACGGTCGATATGTAAATTGTCAAGGTAAGTGGTAGGTCTATGGTCTCGTGGCCCCTCCCTCTGGTTCTCACGCCTACGCCCCCGCCCCCCCCCCCCCTCCCGCCCTCTCACCGTGCGCGGCCGGGAAAGGTCCATGCCGCTAGCGCTGACAACACTGTGGAGGCGTGGGAGCGGACAGGTGAACAAGTGCGCACAAGGCACGACTCAGGACCTCGACGTAATGAACAAGGGGCCCGGGGACACGATCCTGCTGCCTTTTAGGAATACTACGCATCATTTCATGGCAAGAATCGACTTTAAGATTGAGGTCACCCCTCCACACACGTCTTGAGACGCTCCGGCGCGTCGGCTCCGGTCCGTTCCGGGCGCGTGAGCACGCTGAGTTGTGCGCGAGCGGGACGCGAGCGGCGTCGTGCCAAAAGTCGGCGACCGTCTGGACGGCAAGTCTAGACCAGCGGGCATGGGAGGCTAAGTTTCGCGCGGAAGTGCTCGAGCGCTGGGAGAGCCGAGGTCTGTCTAAACTTTCGGCAGAGCGCTGGAGCTGCGGGCGCTGCGCAGTCGGCCGCCAGCCAGATGTGGCGCGCGCTCCCACACATCCATCACGCGTGCACGCTACTCGCAGGTGATTTACGTCACTCCCAGAGCGAATGCACCAGGGAGGCACGTCATGCAAAAGTTGCGTCGTGCGATACTCCAAGCTGTAAAAGTATATGAAACAGCTTCAAGCGCAACGACGCGCAGACCAACGACTTCTCCCGACTCTGGTACAGCAAGCCAAAAGAGGGCGTCAGCGACCCAAATAGAGCGGCGTCCCTAATGCCCAAATTTCATACAGGGGTAAGCTAGCGGTACGATGATTAGTACAGTCGGGCATAATTTATGGATGCTGCATGCCAGGTGTACCGTGCCGTCTCCAATCCAGCGTAGGTACCGCTGGTAGCCATCAATACTGGCAGCGCCAGAGAGGGAGGGCTCCTTAGCAGATAGCGAGAACGTCGTGAACTAATGCTATTCGCTCTCACGTGTGCTTTTGCGGCTTGAAATGGCACTTAGAAAACTTCGGCATCATCTGGTTTCCTAGTACGGCACGCGTACCTGCACAGCGGCGCACAGCACTTGCGCATGCGCATGGTTGAATTGTGTGCGCCTGCGTGATCGGGGGCGTGGGAGGAATTCCTGGGTCTTAGCTGCACGTGGGAGGGCGTTTCCACATCTGCGCGTGCATGCCCCTCCCATTCGGAGAAGGTGAAGCGCACGGCAGCAAGACGCAACTCTCGGTTCACACGCCATTCGCGCCCTATATTATGGTACAGCTATGACAGCTAAACAACGCCGACTCCTTCCACAGCCCGTTCAGGATGATCTTGTTATCTGAAGACGCATCCATGACACAGACGCGCCAAATTTGGAAAGGCAGCGGTGGTGGGGTGGTTTGGCGGTGCTCTGTCTTCCCTCTGGATTTAATCACAAGCCGGCCAGCCTTTGCTGCCCACCTAGCAACACCACCGCCCGTCGTGGTTGGGTTCCGAGTGACGACCACGAGCGTTCCGCCATGCCGCGAAACACCACCGGCCGTGATGGCCGCCCCGCCCACCACGGTCATGGGCGACATGCTTCCGCCCAGTTCAGCCCGGCCCGCGCCTCGAGACTAGGCAACCGGACAATCGGGTTACAGTGTTAGCCACTTGAAGAAATGTCGGACATAAGTATCGCTGTGCTATCCGGTGGCATTGGGATGGGCCGCCGTTGGGAGCGTTATTTGACATGCTTGTTCGACTGTCGACAGCGCAACAAGCACCACACGCTAACCTCGCTCTGCATCATCTCGCACCACCCATTCTTCACGTCGTTCAGAGAGTGCCTTTACCTGCTGCGCAAGCTCATCGACGCTTGCAATGAAAACGCCTCCCCCAAACGGGTTGGTGCATCACGCTCCAATCAGAGGTGAGCTATGTGTGAAGAAACCAATCAGAAATGCAACTTGAAGTTTCCAATGAGAAACATCCTGCATTCCGAGCAACCAATCAGAACTCACCACAGTGCATGAAACCACCAATCAGAGAAGAGCAGCATCCAAGTTTATGAATCATACCTTATGTAGCACGGCGCCTCACTTCTAACGGATGAGGAGAGTAGCGTTTTGCTGTATTGTCGTTCTCCGCAGTAATTTTACATCAGCACCTATTTGCCATCCTCGCATGTCCTCATGTCAGGATCAGCTGTTTCGTTGTGGCAGACACATGGTTGTAATGCAAATAGCATATCCAGTGCACTGGCGAGGAACGTTATTCACATAGATGAGACAATAGTATTACCCTGATTCCTCGGAGAAAACCAGGAGAATGGAGATGTGGTTGGGTTGCCCAACCACAACTTCATTATCTTGGTTTTCTCCGAGGAATAAAGCTAATGCTATTGCCTTATCTTAGTAGCATGTCCGATCAGCTTTACGGTTTCCTTCGCAAATAGCGATTGGATTCTGTGGAGATCTGACCGGGTATGGATCCAGAAAAGCTGATAAGTGAAGGGAACGTTTGACGCCGTGACATTTTTAGGCGGTCTAAATGTGCCGCATGCGAGCAAAATATGAATGAAAATGCATGCATACCTGAAAGAGAGCTTCTGTCGACGCCATTAAAGGTCTGAGCGAGCGGAGACGGCGGTACTTCATGCATGTGTCTCCTCCTGAATTCCACCTATGATTCCGATACTGGTTCTCTATCAAGTCTTACCTAAAAATTCAGTCTGGCGCCTCTTCGACTCCATCTTTTCTGTTAAAGGGAGTGTCCCACCTCTTGAGCATATTCCAAAAACATACTACAGCGAAGCCTCAAGACCAGTTACGTCCTATAAAAGCACTGGGTAATGCCAGTGCAGCACCGTCAAGACAGAATCAGGATATATATATATATATATATATATATATATATATATATATACATCAATTTTAATAATTTTCGAGGGCCAAATTACGCTGTCGACGCTTTCAAACACCACATCGCTTCTTCCATGCGGTCGCGGCCACCATCGTCATAACAACAACCATACAGCGAATAAAAGGACGTTTGTGATTGGCCCAGCGGGCAAGGTCCTGTTACTGAGAAGTTGGTGGGATGAAGTTTGAACCAGTCGCATGGATCATGTGACACTCTTATTGCTAGAGTCAAAGTGCACCTCGAAAGGAGCTGCTGCGTTAAACGCCTAGGGGGAAAATATAAGTCGTAGCACAACCTTTCGTTAATTCGCGGAATGTTAACCCGATGATTACATATCGTTTTGTGTAAGCAGAGTGTTTCAGCCTTTCGTAGCACTTACTACACAAATATTTTGACACATTGGTGTGTTGAAAACATTACAGAACACATTCGTTGGAGAAAGCAGGGCAAATGAAGTGCATTACTTGTGCAGTGGTTAGCATGGGGTCATTGAGATTTCTCCCGCAGGGTCAGCTTCTTCAAATCGAAATTCTGAGCTGTTTAGGACGTCGAGGAAATGGTGGTACTGATCACATTGTACACATCTGATGCAACAACGAGTGAAAAGTACAAAAAGATGGATTGCTCTATTGAATAATTGAAGATTTCAGTGACAGCCAAAGGCACTCGTCTGCGTCCGCGAACTGTGGCCATGGCCGGATATTGCGGTATGGCTTGTGTGGCAACGGCCTCACCAACTCTAGAGCTGTGACACAGCCACCGAGGAAGTTTTGGGGCCAAACTAAATGACAAAAATGTAATACTATGCTTTCAGTTATCGTGGACAGAGCAAAACGATGTGCCCCAAACTGAACCACTTTCCAGTAACCTACAACCGAGCGGGCGGTTGTCGTACCGAACGCTTCAGTGGACGAGCTGACAATGAATTGACATTTGGCGACAGCGGTTCGTAAACTATAGCGCAAAATTCGGCTTAACAAGTTCATGGAATGACCGTCAAAATGTCCAGTAAAATTGACCTGTAATAGACCTGCTGAATGTACAGGGAATGAATGAATTAGAATGTATGGCGTTCTTGTTCATCGTTCGTCAAATGTACTGGGGTACTTCCCTTTGACCAATTTGGGCATCTTCAACCGGTAAGGAGCCGTCTGACCGATTCAGATACCTGGGCCAACTTGACTTGCCGATAGTGGAGAAGTTCGTTAAATCCGTCTCTGGATGTTTGACCGCACCTGAAACCATGTTCGTCGTCTTAGATCACTTGGTCACGTCAGTGCCTTCATGTTTAGTGGCTGGATTGCATGCCTAAATCATGTCGGAACGCCAAGATGATGTAAAAGCGTCACAAGATTTAAGGTTTCTAGGGGACCAAAAAAAGACCCAGAGCGGTTTAGGGACCCAAGTGGGGGAGGGGAGATTCAGGGCAAGAAACGTCTACTCGCGGCAATCAAACCTTTACATGCATTGCCAGTGCACACGCTCAGCTTGTATGAATTCAGGTGGTCTTATGAGCTCCCATGCTGAACGTAGCCGACCTTTAATATGCCAGGAATAAACTTGCATATGTTACCGTCGCCATATCTATTTCGAAACTTTTCAGTATTGAGAAGCAGTATGGGTTGCGATGCTGGGAATAACCGACTTTCAACATTGACCACCTGAATGGCCATTTGGGAGCATTACATTATCGTAAAAGCGCTCTGAATCCTTATACTGAAAGCAGCGACATTCTGTGTATCAGGGGGTACCGTTAATAGAACGTGGCCCGCAGCCCCTTCGACATCCTACCAGAGCACTCTACGTTTCATGGCGGTAGCCAGAGTCACAACTCATGAAATGTTTCAATGCCACTTTATTCTTGAAGGATATCCCAATGGCTGCAAATGGCTTCGTTAAACCAGTATGGCTTCCGGCATGTGGAAAGTTGGCTTTTTCAGCATAGACGTATACAATGGCGATAAAAGAAGTTGATGGCCATTACAATGCCATTAAAAGAGGCGGATAGCCTTTCTTGCTTATACCCTAAATTTCTGAGATATTCATAACAATGTCAAGGTTGTTTAGTGTATTGCCCCTTCTTGTGCACCCATAAGTGTTAGGAACTGACTTAATCATTTCGTCATCTTTTCATTGCTTTGGGTGCCTTAGCACGCATCTTGCACCTCCATCCAGGGCTCTCGTTAACTTTGGATATTCGGCGTTTGTTGGCCACACGCTGCCGAGGAAAAAAATCCCTCGTATTTTGCAAAATGCTTTTTGCTAACTGCTATACGAAGACTTACATATTGACCACATACAAAAGGGCCAACGAATCAGAAATTCAAATTGGTTATTTGGCGAACTGCAAAATGGTGGCTTGGAAAAATGGCGACATGAAAAAATGGCGAGATATTCGATCTTTTATGACCGCTGCGTCAGTGCGGCTCTCCTCTTCAAAAAAATGTATTCCGTTTATTTTTTGCCGGAGAAGAACGGTTAACATATTGAGTTCTATCTTCATCCGATAGCATGCAAATACAGATCGCAGGCACGTCAATAAATTTTCGGTACAATACAATTATGTATAATGTGGTGCAATGCTTGTCAATGCAAAGCAATTATAACATCCGGGAGATACGCGCAACGGAAGGTAAGACGATGGTAAAGGGCGCCCGAGGCGCAATGTAGTCAAGCCATGAAGAGGCCGGCTGGCGCGGCGCTGCAAGGCAAACAAGACAGGAGGTGCTCGCAAGACCAAGGGAGGCCGCTAGTTTCGGAGCCTTGGAGATCTGGGTCTGAAACTTGGACAATGTCGGCAGTGAACTTTCATGTAAATGCCTACCAAAACACACGACTCCAGAGCCGCTAGAGTCGATTTTCACTCCACATCTGGAGTGTCGACCAGCCTTAGTGCTCAGAGGCTGGCACGGAAAGTGTGGAAGTAAGCATAAGTTCGGAAGCTAGTTCGGAAATCTCCTCGCGGTGGTATGGTGGGTTTTCACGTCTTGGTTGCGTTGCATTTTTGGAGTGACCGCGTTCTGATTTTTGTACCCGAATGGTTTCGCATGTTCGCGTACCGTTGACGGTATGCGAATGTTTGCGGAGTCCAAATATTCAGTCGAACGTTCGAATACATCTAATGTGAATGCCTAACACTGATAGGCATTTTACCATCCGAATTTGTGGAGCTGGCAAGCCAGACAGCCAGCATTTTGGCACACCACCGTCTCCAATTTTGTCATTATTTCAAACACCGACTTTTAGCAGCTCACTTTCAAGCTCTACGCCATTTGGCACCTGGACATTTTGGCACGTCGCCACTTTCCAGTTCATCATTTTTTCATGACCATTGTCCTGCATGCCATTTTTTCAGTCTGCCATTAAGCCTTTCGCTATTCTGGCATATCGACTTAGCAGCTTTTCGCCTTTTTTGCAGTTAGCCATTTAGCCGCTTCGAATTTGTGGCCCTTCAACTTTTTCTCATGTCGCCATCCGCAGTCGCCATTTATGAGTCGACAAATAGGCATTCGCCACATGGGATTCTCAACCTTTTTGTCCTAGAACCACTGACCATGCATCTGAATGGCCAGTTAAATGTAACAGTGGTGGTGGTGGTGGGGGGGGGGGGGAGCAGCGGTCAGGTGCCCCCCCCCCCCCACACTGAGATCCCGAAAACTAAGCGAGCCAGGAATATCAAGTTCACGAACGAGGCAGGGCTCTGTATGAGCTCAATTACGTCATATTGTCAGGTCCCTGGATCGTGACCTTCCGGTGAAAGAAGGTCAAACAATGTCTAACCCCAGACTGGTGTTCTAAGTGCTCCCAGATCCTCTCAAGTAACGACACGACTTTTTTATTATACAAATCAGAACCTTTTTAATTCTTGTAAAACATTCAAAATATAACGATTTCAAAGCACCTCCTACAGGCAAAATGTCAGTGGTGTCCATCTCAGGTCAGTGACTTCATTTGATCTCAAAGGTAAAAATGATCAAGATCCTCCGGGATTATTTTCTGCTTGAATTTACAACTTATGCCAAATGCTGCGCTAGACGACATGCTTCTCAAAACAAAAGGTCGAACAAGGCCATTTTAGGTAAATGACCTCCACTGAACTTCATGAAGTCAAACTAACAAAAATTGTTTGACGTCTTTGTAATCCAGGAATTCGTGATGAGCGCCAAATTCTTCCTCATGAAGCAAGTTTTCCAGTAACAAAGTGGTTTGCTTTTGAATTTGGTCTGACCTTCATACCCGACCTAAGGTTAACGAAATTAGTCGTAATCGCAATTGCAATCGTCGAATTGTCTGACAGGCCATATCGATATTGTATGACTTAGTCTATCACTCGCCTGACGCATCACTCCTCTCTACCTAGAGTCTTCTAATTAAAAGCGATATGGACACGTCCTCATTTGGCGACAACATGCCAACCAACATGTATGCAGGAGGGGGTTGAAGGACATGCGTTAAACTTATCAAGCCCAGGCTCGGTCACGTACCACTGTGGGGTCTCCACGCTCCGTAGACTGTGGGGGCCTGGGAGTCTACGGAGCGACACCCGAGACCAAGACCGGGGCGGCCGGCCACCAGCTCGGGCCTGCTTGGCGGCCGGCCGGTGGACAGAGAGGCAGCGCGCCTTCCACCGGGCTGAGGCCACCAACGGCGACACGTTTTTGTCAATGCAAATCCAAAAGAAGCTTAATGGAAGTGCCCATGGGGTCCTATAGGTCCGCTCCTATGAGCCTGGGAAGTTTGGCGCCCTGACTTCCGATGGAAGTCCTTGTTATGGAAAGTAACAAGAGACGCCAAACAAGCAGATAGAGCGGCGCCCCTCAGCCCAAGTAAACGGGTGACACGAGGACGACTGGCTCTGCATCGCCGCAGGGCGTCGGTGTGGTAAGTACTGACGTTCGTGCCCCTCCTCGAATAAATCTTTTGTGTTCAGTGATGGCGTGCACCCCTCTCCCGCAGAAAGTCTGTGCGATCACTGACGACTCACGAACCCCACCCCCGCAGGGAGTCGGTGTGGTCGGTGCTGACAGGCCGCGGGCTGGACGCGCTGCCGGCCATCCTCCTGCATGACGTGCGTGAGATCGAGACCTGGATTCTACGCCTGCTCTCGGCGCCCGTGCCCGTGCCGGGCAAGACCCGCGTAGAGGTGGGTCGCGCCGCACCGGCCGCAGCTCTGCGGCGGCGTCGCTCGCGGCCGTCATCACCGGAGAGCCGGCGCACGGCGGCAGCGGCGCTGGATCGTCCAGCACTGCGGTGAAGTGAAGTGGCCTTGGGGAGGGTCGGTGACCATATGTAAAAATCGAGGGGAACCGGCGCGTGGTGTGTGACGAACCAACGTCCTGTTCTCAGACAAGCCGAGCGTGTTGAGCCGGCGCGCGTGTGTTGCAGTGTAACGCGGTGCGCTGAAATGCGCTGATGAGTCCAACCTACACTGACCGGGCGCGACGGTCCGCGTCCGCCTTCGGCTTCTCCCCCACGCCGCTGCCACAGGTGGAGCTGTTGTCATCCGACCTGCACCCGCCGCTGCTGTTCGCGCTGCCGGACCACACGCGCTTCTCGCTGGTCGACTTCCCGCTGCACCTGCCGCTGGAGCTGCTCGGCGTGGACACCTGCCTGCAGGTTCTGTCGCTCATCATACTGGAGTACAAGGTCAGGAGGGCTTCGCGGCTCGTTACCGGGGGCTTGGAGCGGGGGGTGGGGGGGGGGGGGGGTGGGCAGAACAGCTGAGAACTGGGCAAACCCTCTCCACGCATCAGAGAAGTCTTAACGCTAAGTCAGCGTGGAAAGGGAAGTCGGCGCTCTGGCCCCACTCCCACGCCTACGCGTATGTGCTGTTGTCTGGTTGTCGCCAACAAGACACGTTACTAAAGGATGGGCTCAGAGAACTTGTGTTGTCTGGCGCAGCGTTTTGCCGGGTGTCGGGTGCCGTGCCGGGTGCCGGGTGCCGTGCCGGGTGCCGGGTGCCGTTGCCGTTGCCGGGTGCCGGGTGTCGTGGCTGATAGCTACACGATCGTAACGAGAATATTTTCGAGTGTCAGCGTGTTGTCAGGTGGAAAAGAATCGGCGGTTCTCAAACGGATCGAGTGCAGACAGTCGTGTCGGATATGACACAAATTATGGGATTGCGATTGCGAGCCTCGTGATTGCCTGGGACCAGGACGGCCCGTACCTTAAAGGCACGATGTGTCGTAAATGACCGGGCGCATTCCAAAAACGTCCACGTCGCAGCTCCGCAATCACGCCACTACCCGCCGGCCCTCCCTGTCCGCGGCTGCCGCTCCACTGAAGCGAGGTCCCGTTCCATCGCCACCACCCGCCGGCCCTCCCTGTCCGTGGCTGCCGCTCCACTGAAGCGACGTCCCGTTCCAGCGCCACCTCCCGCCGGCCCTCCCTGTCCGTGGCTGCCGCTCCACTGAAGCGACGTCCCGTTCCAGCGCCACCTCCCGCCGGCCCTCCCTGTCCGTGGCTGCCGCTCCACTGAAGCGACGTCCCGTTTCAGCTGGTGATCCAGTCCCGCGACTACAACGCGCTGACCATGTCGGTGATGGCTTTCGTGGCGCTCATCTACCCGCTGGAATACATGTTCCCCGTGATCCCGATGCTGCCCACCTGCATGAGCTGCGCCGAGCAGCTGCTGCTCGCGCCCACCCCCTACATCATCGGCGTGCCGGCCAGCTTCCTGCTCTACAAGCGGCACTTCAGGTGGGTCGCGGCACGGTCGGGCGTGCCGACTGCTGACAGCAGGCGGCGCTTAATGCGGGTGAGAGACGATTCGAAGTGTGCTGAGCTTGCTCTGACCACTTCTGCTCTCGATACAATCGGTCGCGATCAAGGACTGCTTGGGTGACCGGACACCTGTGTCTGAGTGCTGCCCTCGGCGTCATCGACGCTCCGCCTTCTCAACCTCCTTCTCGCGCATATGACTTGACTACCCAACCGGGCGCGTCCATGAGCCGATCGTCCCTAGCCCGTAGGAGCACGTGGGCCCGCGGCTGCGCCTCCTGACGGGCACATGGAGCTGACCCCGCGCCGGCCGCCACTCCCCCTGCCCTGGCGGGCACGCGGAGCTGACCAGGCGCCGCCCTCCCCCCCCCCCCCCCCCCCGGCGGGCCCGTGGAGCTGACCCGGCACCGGCCGCCCTTGCCCCTGCCCTGGCGGGCACGCGGAGCTGACCAGGCGCCACCCCCCCCCCCCCCGGCGGGCCCGCGGTACTGATCCCCCCCCCCGGCGGGCCCGCGGTGCTGATCCGCCGCTCCCCTTCCGCGGGCCCGTGGAGCTGACCCGGCGCCGGCTGGCCACGCCCACGCAGACTGCCGGATGACGTGTGGCTGGTGGACCTGGACAGCAACCGGGTGGTGGCGCCCGCCGAGCACGAGCCGCTGCCGCCGCTGCCGGAGGCGGAGAGGGCCGTCCTCTCCACCCACCTCCGCCAGGTGACGGCCCGGCGGCGGACGCAGCTTTTGGCCACCTCTGAGTTATCAGTTTACCTGTTTGCTGCATGCTGTGGGTGTTCAGTGGCAGACATTTTCATAGACGTTTTGGCTCGTTCGCTGTTTTTTTTTACACTTGCGTGCCTTAAAACGCAACTGCTTGAATTCCATATAAAAAACTTCCTCTGTATTGATATCGTTTTCACTTCGAGTGTGGTCATCATGCATATAGGTAGCAGTTACTGAGGATAGGCTTACCTATGGCTACTGCATTTGCTTCCTCTAACCCTCATTTAGAGCTATTTCTGTCCGTCGTCCCTCTACTTCTTGCATTTCTTTCAGCGGTTTATGGAAAGCTGAACAAGCTCTATAGAAATGGCTTAACTGGCCGTTGCAACGTAGGCATTCCGCAAATGATATTTGTTATGATTATTTGCAGCACTGGTGCAGATTTAGCAAAACGGTTCCTAAATAAGCATATTGAATCCACGTTTCCTATTTATCATACCTTTTATAACTTCATGTTCGATATTTGCCTATTTGTCGGCATGCGTGCGCTGCTTTTTATGTCATTTACTTCGCCAGATAAACCTGCTCACTTTGATTTGCATGTTTTTTTCTGGAATTTGCATGTTTTTCTGCAGTTTGCTTGCGCTTCCCTTTGTCTTCAATATGCTTTCTGCCTGCAGATACTTCAGTTTCCAGTGTTGTCATCAATCGAGGGTGACGATACTTCGGACGTTAGTATCACCATGGCTCATTTTCTTATTCTGTGGTGGCCTCATTTTCTTATTCTGCATCCTATGGTGTCAGGGCTCGAATGCGATGCTGCTGATATCACAACACATGGTGCAATCAACCGTCGTGTGTCTTCGCTCATTTATGATAATGATGATTTGCACCAGCTCACTGGTGGAAAGCATCTGAATCGTTCGTATTTCGGGCTCGGTCTCATGTCTTAAGGGATGGGAATGTCTCACGCTGCACATAGAACCTGTGCAAACACGCTGATGAGCGAGTGCTTCCTTACGTAAGACCGAACAGCCAGGGGGATCCCAAAAAGCCCCATCGCTCGCCCGGCCGGCTGTGCCCTAATCTCGGAGAGTGGCTCCAGGAACGTCAGCCCAGCTTATCAGGGCATAAACCGCCCATATTGTTAAAACCAGATTACTTCCCGGTATAATGGGGCAGCGGCATGCTGAGCCTCGCTTCGCCGGAGCCGCCTGGCAGCTGGCTGCGGACGTCAGACAGGTCGCAGACACTTCCGCCGCTTCAGCTGTCTTCTGGCTGCCGCCTCTATCTGACGGTGGCGGCACGTGCCGCGCCGACCCAGTGTCAGACCCACCCCCTTCCCGCTCCGCAGGCGCTGAGCAGTATGGCGGTGATGCCGCCAGCCGCCTGGCACGCCGCCCGGCCGCCCTCGGAGACGCCCCGCCGCTCTTCTCCCGTCTCCGCCGGCTTCAACCCGCTCATCTACGGCAACGATGTCGACAGCGTGGACGTGGCAACCCGCGTCGCCATGGTAACCACCGCGCTTCAGCCGTTCTCACATCTGAGCGCAACATGATAGGGTTAAACAAACACGCCCATGCAAGATGAGGTTATCATTTGATCCTTCTCATTTTACGCCATAACACACCTGACGATGTTCAGATTTGTCTGTCTCCTGTACTCATATAATGCCGCCAGCATAACAGACAGGCCGCCCAAGTATACACTTCATGCCTGCTTGTCTAAACTGCCGTTGTCCTCGTTTCAGATCCGGTTCTTCAACTCGCAGAACTTGTTGGCTAACTTTACGGAGCACACGAGGACGCTCCGCCTGTACCCGAGGCCGGTGGTGGCCTTCCAGATCAACTCATTTCTGCGTTCCCGTCCAAGCACCACACCTTTTCTCAGCCGTCTGGCACGCACACAGGTGGGCGCATAAGCTGTAGGCGGTCAGTTATAAAGTGGTCAGGTGGGCGATGTAATAAGCACAGGTGGATATCCAGGGCGAGAGAGTTTTGATATATAACGCTTATCATATTGGTATGTAATGTACTATATTGTATATGTCATTGACCTCGGTGAGAAACTGAGGAGGCACACCAAATGCACCAAAAAACGCTTATGTCGTGCGGAGAAGTTCCTGTTGTCTCGTGTCTGCGTGCGCGTGTGCGCGCGCGTGTGGCGTTGATCAGCAGGATGACGCCGCCCCCGCAGGCGGTGGAGTACCTGGCCGAGTGGGCCTTGTCACCGACCAACGCCGCCTTCCAGCGCGTGCAGACTGGAGTCTACGACCCCGTTCTGATCGGTGAGCTAATTCGGTCCAGCGCGGCTGCAGGTGACATTTTCCGCTTCAGTGGGGATTTAATGGCCTTTGCTCGCGACGAAAGGAGGAGATAACACGGCCATTAAATTGCACTTTGGGTAAAAATGGCATGGCAGCGTTAAACGAACCGGGCCGTACCGTCGCGGAAATTGCTCCTGTTTGATAACGAAATTGCTTCTTTGTTTGGCAAGAAGCAATGAAATTTCAAGACTTCCGTCGCGTGTGATATTCCGACTGGCTTTCCGCCTATGAACATGCTTTACCGCGCCGTGGTGTTCCGGGTATCTCCTCTTCGCGGCCTAGGCGGCGATCACTGAAAGCCTCGGAGTTGTCGGTCGCAGCCCGGCTGACCCCCCTCGCCCCTGCCGCAGGCGACAAGCCCAAGTGGTACGCGCAGCAGCTGGAGCCGGTGCGGTTCGCCGTGTGGCGAACGGCCAGCGGCCTTGGCGGGGCGCTGCGCGCAGCCGACCACGCCCACTGCCTGGCCACCGACGAGTCGGGCAGCGACTCGGACGGCGCGCCCTCCTCAGCCAGCTCGTGCTCGTCGCTGAGTGACTTCGTCTCGGAGATGCAGCTGTCTGACCTCTCGCCAGGTGCGTCACCGTACCACTGTTGGCAAGCTCGGCTGGCCGTCTGGTGGTACTGTTGTGGCAGTTGTGGGGTGAGCACGACTACTTTTTGGCGCTTGTTTTCCGGGAAGATGCGTTCATAAGCGACAAAGTTGGGGAAGTTTCCTTTTCTCCGCGTAAAGACGATGCTGATGCTAGCTGCGCCGTTGCTGGTGCCGTATAATTGCATTACCCCGATGGCTGACATCGCTCGATAGTACGGAACTCCGTCCGGGTATAATAATAGCTCGTGAGTCCGGTGCCTAATTTGAGAAAGCTCCGTCTGAATGAGGTGTAATAGCGCTTTAGGGCTGTTGAAACGACATGCCTTTGTTGTTCAAGGTCGTGATTTGTTTTCCTGTTGTAAGTGGAACACAATTCTGACCTGATGTAATTTTTGCTGTTCATTGGGGCGGTAACCTGACACACCCTAACCTTATATGAATCATGTTTACCGGTGAGGTCATTGTATGCACTGTTGAACCTGCCACCGCGCTGCTGGTTGGAGGCCTTACCTGACCTGGCTTGACTGAGTCCACAGTGACGCGGTTCCAGACCTTTGGCGTATTCTGAGGCCAGGACCGCGTGCTGCGACGCTGACCTGACTTGACCTGGCCTGGTCTGCACTCGCAGCGGTGCAGGACCCGCCTCCCGGCGGCCTCCTCAGCGGTATCGACACCAGCGCCGTCTACTGCCCGCCGTCCTCGCTACTCGTGCCGGCCGCCTCCTCCTCGTCTGACTCGGCCCACCACTCGACCGCCACGTCGTCCACGCACTCGTCGCTCTCGGAGGGCGGCGAGACGCGCGGCGCCTCCTCCGACGCCGATGAGCAGGCCGTCTTCCCCCTGCAGCTGGACGCCATGGTGAGCCGCCTGCGGCCGGGCGCACCCCATGCCGTCGAGCGTCGTGTTGGCTGCTTAGGTCGCCGGTGGCCGCTGTCTGAGCAGGTGTTGATTGTGTTGATTTACTCAGTACTCTCTGCGCCCGGCCTAGTACGGCTGGGCTCGGAAGGCTTGCCGGCGGGCCGGCTGCAGACCTGCAGATGAGCCGGCTGCCTGCCGACTTCCCGGCCGTGTTGCGTCAGCTCTCTCACCCCACTGCCGCCGACAGGACCGACTGGACTCACTCTCCATAGACTCGGACACGGCGTCGGTGGCCACCTCGCCGCGCACAGTTGTCTCGACGCGCCGCCAGAGTCCGACACTGTCGCTGTCGTCGGGCGCCAGCTCCACCACGCTCAGCTCCGAGCCCGCCGGCCGTCTTCCGCGCCTCGCCAACAGGCCGGTAGGTGACGCTAGCAGTGAGCGACGGTGGCTTAAGTACGATGGACGACAACCAAGGGGTGAGTGGGCACCTTGGCCAGTATATGTGGCAGTGTGTCTAACTCGTTGACATGCTTATTGACACAGCCAAGCGTCTCGCGCCACCCATTTTTGCTGTTTCATGTTGAAACTTAGAGTCACCGACAATATCTCCACTTGTGCCTATTTCTGAGTCGCATCTGAGCGCTAAAGCGAGACGGCAGTCCACTGGTCAACGACTGTCGAGTCACTGGTTCCCACCCGGTGAGGAGCAGCAGTGTACCCCGAGAGTGGCGCCTGCCACGATCGCCGCCGCCCCCACCAGGTGTCGCCGCCGCCGAGCCGGGGCAGCTGCGGCTCCCCGCTGCCCCCGCCCACCCCGCGCCACGTGTTCGCGTTCGATCTGCCTGCCTGTCCAGCGCGCTCACCGGTCAAGGCGACCCGTCAGGGCAGCCAGAAGGGCCTGCTGGCCCAGGTGGACAAGGTGCCGGCCGTCGCGACGTGCAAGGGTTCACTGTGCCGTTACATGCCAAGCTGCAGCATGCTGCTTGCTGTGACCGCACCGGCTTGATATGCGCTCCTGTGTGGCACCGCTTGCTGTAGCCGCTCTGGTCGACACTGCTTGGCTGTAGCTGCTCTGTCTCACACAGCTAACCGAGCGTAGACTCTTGGCGTAGACTCTGCGTGGGCGTACACTGACTGGGCGTAGACTCTCTGACTGGGCATAGAAACTCTCTAAGGCACCGTGCTCCGCGCGACCGCTCTGTGGCTGCTCACCTGCTGACCACAGGTGCTCTGTGTCACACTGCCCGATGTAGTGTGCACTGTGAACGTGTCGCACTGCTTACACTGCTCGACGGCCACACGCAGTCTGTGTCACACTGCTCGCTCTAGCCATTCTGCGCCACAACGCCCGCTGTGGCCGCTCTGCGCCACAACGCTCCCTCTAGCCGCTCCGCGCCACACTGCTCGCTCTAACCGCTGTGTCACACTGCTCGTTCTAGCCGCTCCGAGTCACACTGCTCGCTCTAGCCGCTGTTCGTCACATTGCTCGCTCTCACCATTCCGTGTCATCCTGCCCGCTCTAGCCGCTCTGCGCCACATTGCTCACTTTCTCCAATCTGTGTCAGTGTTCGTTCCAGCTACTCCTCGCCACACTGCTCGCTCTAGCGCTCCGCGCCGCACTGCTCGCTCAGGCCGCTCTGTCACACTGCTCGCTCTGGCCGCTCTCTGTCACACTGTTCGCTGTAGCCGCTGTGTCACACTGCTCGCTGTAGCCGCTCTGTGTGGTAACGCTCGCTGTAGCCATTTCGCCTTCCTGGATTTACTGTGTCACGCTGCTGTAACATTGCGCCACACAGCAGCCGCTCTGAGTCACATTCACAGCAGCACAGTTGCATTGCTGTGCTGAAAACAAGGTGCTTGAAACCGTCCAGCTACCCACCATCCGCAGCCTCTCTGCGTCACAGGGTAGCACGCTGTCATACCGAAACCGATGCGTTCATGTCGTAGCAAACCGTCACAGTGTGACACACGAACGCGCGTTACCACGAACGTGGTGACGCACGTTCGTGACTAGACTAGACGTGGCAGAACCGTGACTTTTCTGCATAGGTATTGCAAGGTAGTAAATGGTAATGGTACGATTCAGGCAATTTAGATTTTGATTTCAACTTCCTGTACTCGTGGCTGACTGTGATTTCGGTTGTCTTTACCGCGCATGTTTACGTGACTGTGCGTCTAATAACGGTTTATCCACATATTGGGTGTTAGGAATTTAGTCAGGTGTACACTGCGCATAAAAGTGGCACGCATTTACGCATACACCATGAGATGATGAATTACGCAGATAACGAGTAAATTGGATTGTATTATCATGATTATGATTGTTTATCGGCAAATATTGGGAGATTGCGCGCAGCATAATCATTGGTTGTTCCAGTTGGCGGGTCAAATTAAGAGTCAAGTCGCAGATACAATCGACGTAATGAAGCAGTCAAGTGAAGACGAAGGCATATTTGGGCGTGTCGACAAAGTGAGTATCGTCGGAATGACCAAAATAAAATACGGCAAAAATCTGAACACTGAATTTTGTCACCAGCGTTGAATTAAAGCTCTCAACCACAGCTGTCTCATAATGGCCCAAGTCCGTCCCCGCATTGAAAATCCTGGATCCATCTCCACGACATGTGAAATTCAGTTACACTTACTTGCATGCACGATAGACCCTATCCTATCCTGAATGGATCAGAGAAGATGAGGCAGGAGGCTGTCTTGATGGGAAAAATCATATGAAAACATGGTTTATTCGATCCCAACTCGAAACATACTGTTGAAACTTGAATGCGTTTGTACCCATCTGCAGCTGTACCCAGCGCCCAATCCCCGCTCCAACACTACCTTCCTCTTCCCTGCCGATCGCCCGCCCAGCAGCTTCCCTGCCTGACGGGCCGCGGCCGCAGGCGCGGCGGGAGGCGCTGCAGTCGGTCCAGCGGGCGCGTCAGCGGACCCGCTCGGCGCGCACGGCCAACAAGACGGCGACCGACGACCTGGCGGTGCCGGCCAAGGCGCGGCTGGGTGAGCCGGGCGGTGGCGGCGGCGGCGGCCGGCTGAGCCCCGCGCCTCGACGGCTGGTATCGGACGGTCTGGACGGCGGCCTCGTGCGCCACGACACGCTCGGCGCCGGCGCGGAGGAGGCGCCGGTGCCGCGGCACCATCACCCGCTCAGCGGGGTCGGCAGCGGGCTGAACGGCATCGCCGAGCAGACGTCCAACCTGCTCAGCGATATACTGGGTGAGTGCGTCGGGTCCGGGGTTCAGTCGCGACGCGGTTCGCAGGGATTGCGCCGCATGGTCAGACGGGTGTGTATTGGTAAGCCAGCTGCTCTGATTGTCGTTTGTCCTGGACCCAGTGGTCTCAGTCAGGTCGCGAGATCGCCCGTTCGGCCAACTTTTGGTAATCAACCAGGTGGAGTAGGCTTCCCACGGTGGTGCCAGTTATTATCCTTGGTGACGCAAGGTTGTTCACGGACCGTGTCTCCCGACAGGCTGGCGGGGGTCAGACAGCCGGTCGGTCAGCCCCGCCGCCGAGGAGCGCCGGCCAGCGCCGCGGCCGGGGGCGCAGCTCGGCCCGTTCCCGCGCGGCCTGCGCCGCCCGCCGGCCCGCTCCAGCCTGGTGCAGCCAGGCCCGCCGCCGGCCCGCAACATCCGCCAGCAGACGGCCGACTACGAGCAGCGCAACAGCACCACCGCCGACAGCCAGGCATTCCTCAAGGAGGTGAGGGAGGGGGCAGGCCCAGCCCACCTCCGGGTACTGAGCGCGCGGAGTGTTCAGTGTTTGGTAGGAGCGGACGGGTGCTATTCGGCGCAGCGCTCACTGAAGTCTGCAACTGATGAACGGCGTTCAATGCTTATGTCATCAGAATGAAGTGACCGCTGAGGGCAGATGTTTGCACAATAACGCTATCCAGTGGTCATTGCTCGCACCGCGTCCGCAACCCATCCCATTCCAGGCCGACTGCCTTCCCATGCTGGAGATCTAGCACAAAACACGGTACTCTGTCCACGATGCGCCAGCTGCTGGCCTTCCACGTTGTCATGCGGTGGCTGATGAGGCGGTAGAGATAAGGCTTAGGTACCTGCGTGGTCATAGTAGCCAATGCACACAAAACCTTTTGACGAGGAAAGCTACTGGCAGTTTAAACTATACCGGGATTTCGCACGGGAATATTTAGGACTATCAGCCCTTCGAGGCAATTGCTTTAGCTGTAGATATTTCCTATACAAAGTTTTTGCACAAGCTTGTGAACGGGAGATAACTCGGTGTGATAGGACGTAGCTATGTTTATAAGAACACCAACCATTTTTGTTGAACACATGAACCACTATTTACATTGAACGGTTGTTGGAATAATTCTTACTCACTGACTCAATTTTGGTTTGCCTATTATTTGACCAGATTGATTAGTTACTAACGCGCCATGAACATCATAGCATCTTGCGCAGTCGTCGCGATGCGACGTTTAAAACCTTTCTGTATCACTTGAGATTCGAGCCCCGGGTTTCCGGACAAAACGCTCGATGTGCCGCCCGCGGCGCTCCTCCCCCGGCGCGTCTGACCGGCGCGCCCGGCCTCGCAGGTGGTGCACCAGGTGCGCGAGGGCCAGAGCGTGGGCTGGCTGCGGCTGAACCGCGTCCGCAAGCTGATGGAGGACGAGAGCTACCGCAACCTGGTGCTGTCGCGCCTCAACCAGACGCTCGACAAGAAGACCGGGCCGGGTGACCACATCGAGGACGTGTGCGTGCCGCGCGCCGTCTGGCGGGGCATGCTGCGGCTCCTGCAGGCCGTCGTCAGCGGCCTGGAGCACACCTTCAGAGAGCGCGGACTCGGAGGCATGGCGTCCGCCTACCAGGTGCTCGAGATCGCGCACACGCACTGCTGGAGCCGCGCGCTGCAGGACGCCGGCGCGCCTGCCGCTGGCGGGCTCTCGGCTTCCTCCAGCCCGTTCGGCAGCGGCGAGAACCTGCGCTCGCCCGGCTCGCCGCTGGAGTCGCCGCAGCGCGCCGCCCGGCCGCCGCAGCTGGACGCCACGCCGGACGTGTCCCGCAAGTCGTCTTCGGGGTCCGTTTTCAGCGACAGCGGCCGCGGCTTGGTGCACGACTCGCTGCTCGGCGCGGAGCCGGAGCCGTCGACGGCCGCCGCGCTGCGCCACCTGCTCGTGCAGAAGCGTCAGCTGCTGCTCGGCCGCCTGGCGCCAGAGGCGGAGGCGTCGGCGGATGGCGCGCCCCGCGACGGCGGCGGCGGCCTGCGCGCCCGACTGGAGCGCGGCGGCCGGCCGGCCATCAGCGACTCAGAGCTGGATGGCGAGCCGCCGCCGCGCAGCCGCGCCGCCAGCGTCTGGTCGCGGAAGTCGTCACTCAGCACCGGCTTCCGCTACCACGCTGGCAGCATCATCAGCACGCCGTCCCCCGACGGCGCCGGCAGGACGTACCTCTTCCAAGGTAACCTCACCGGCTGCCAGGAGGTGACAGGCAGACAGACAGATAGAGGCTGCTGCTGCTGTCTTAATCTCTCAACGACCGGTATGATGGTGACGTCTTCTAAGCTGCTTTGATGATAGCTGCGATGAAGGCGATTGTGCTGATAGCGACACAGTTTCAGATATCTGCTTGCCGTATTGCGTCGAGTGTGCTGCGGTACGTGCAATAGCAAATGTTTTATTCGAACCCTGTGTACTGTCAACTCAGGGCTCGTGATCTTCGTTAGGTTTGATGCACAAGGGGCGATCGACGCTTTGGGACCAGATGTCGTTCTGGGAGGACGCCTTTCTGGACGCGGTCGCGCAGGAGCGTGACATGGTCGGCATGGACCAGGGCCCCGGTGAAATGATGGAAAGGTGGGCTTCGCGTCGGACGACACGCACGTGCGAAGAGGGCCTGGTCTCGTCCCCCCAGTGTGGTGCCAACATCCCTACACTTAATGTCTGACCTGGTTTCATGGTGCTGGTAAATTATTTATTTACAAGTCTTAAGATGGCATAAAGAAAACCCTGGTAGTTCCTTAGCCGCATTTTGTTTATCTTTATAGGCTATATTTTGCATAGCATATGTGCTTCAGTCACGCATCGCCTTGCACTGCAGACAGATCATCGGAAGAGAGCAGCCAATACTGATTATGATGCTTTACAATTCTCTTTGGCTTACGTGTTGAACTGTGTTTCAACTTCCACGGATGCAAGTGTTAGAATAACTTGTACGCCCGTGGTCATTGGCCTTGACAGATACATTTATCAACCGTCAGATACAACACCCTGTCCAGCACCGAACGGAAACGTCTGGAGCAGGTTGAGGATCGCCTGCTGTCCACCATGCTGTACAACACGACAGCCTTCATGGTCATGCTGGAGGTCGACAAGGAGGAGATGAAGCGGAAGGTTCGCCGGCTGCTCGGCAAGAGTCACATCGGTCTCGTCTACAGTCAAGAGGTCAACGAGCTGCTGGATCAGGTTGGCCATCTGGTGAGTGGGGCGGAGAGGTTGTCGATAGCGTTGATTCGTGCTCGCGAGCTGGTGCGGAAATAGCGTGCGCACCTTACCCGGAGTCATGTGCAAAAGTTTCTGCTCGGAGCAGGTCGTAGTTCAGCTACTCCGTTGCTGCACAATATTTCGCGTTGGGCAGTAGTGCCGAGCTCAACGCCGAGGTTGCTTGCCAGGCGCGGGCCCTCCACACGTTAGGGTTCCTCAGCCAACGAGGTCCTCAGCCGTTGTGGCGCTGTGTTTCAGCACGGTAATGACATCGACCTGCGGCCGCTGGGATCCCGTCAGATGCACCGGCAGAGCTTCACAGTGCACTGTGGCACCGACGCATCAGGTGCGGGCAGCGGCGGCGGAAGGCCGGTCCGTCCGTCCTCAGTGGGCTGGGGCGTCTGCCTTCTGTCCGTCCTCAGTGGGCTGGAGCGTCCGCCTTCCGTCCGTCCTCAGTTGGCTAGAGCGTCTGTGTCCCATCCGCCCTCAGTGGGCTGGGGCTTCTGCCTTCCGTCCGTCCTCAGTGGGTTGGGGCTTCTGCCTTCCGTCCGTCCTCAGTGGGCTGGAGCGTCTGCCTTCCTTTCATCTCCAGTTGGCTAGAGCGTCTGTGTCCCATCCGTCCTCAGTTGGCTGGAGCGTCTGCCTTCCGTCCGTCCTCAGTTGGCTGGAGCGTCTGCCTTCCGTCCATCTCCAGTTGGCTGGAGCGTCTGTGTCCCATCCGTTCCCAGGTCGTTAGGAGCGTTTGTGTTTCATTCGTTGCGGGGTGGGTGCGAGTGCAAAAAGCGGCATGCGCTCGGACTGGGGGTGGCGGCGCGTTAAAGGTCAGGTAGCTTCAGAGGACAGGGCGGACCGTGTCAAGCTTGATGGTACCTTAAAACTTCACCGCAAAATTATGCCGTTGACCTGAAACTCACGATGGAATGGTCCAGTCAGGGCTCACGCACCAAGCACTGCCTAGCGTGAGCTCTGATCCTGGCTGAAATCCATCCAACCAAAAGATTCGTACTAACTCTAAAAAAGGATTAGCACAGATAATCCTATGTATAAAGTGCACATAAATATTTTGTCCACACGAGTGTTTCTAAACGCCGGTATGGTACCGTGAATAACTGGTGTTTGCCATACTTCGCCATTTGACCTGCCCCGACCTCGACCCCAGGCGAGGTGGTGTTCCTCGAGGTGCGGGACGATGGCCTCGTGCTGCGAAGCGCGGCGGGCGTCATCGTCGAGCGCTGGTGGTTCGAGCGGCTGGTCAACATGACGTACTCGCCCAAGAGCAGGATCCTCTGTCTGTGGCGGCGCAGCGGGGGCAAGACGCAACTGCACAAGTATTACACTAGAAAGGTGTGTGCCGGTGGAGAAAGTGCGGCTGCCGGATAAGGGATGGCATGTAGTTGGATGTAAATGGAGATGGAGCATCGCAGAATGGGGCTGCGTTCGTGGTGGCTATTTCATTTCATCGCTGTGGTCGGTAGATCAGTTATACCGAGCAGGCCTGTACTATCCGTTTGCCTTGCCACTGTTTTCATCACCACAGTCATCCGTGCCGGCTTCCCGGACCCGCCAACACTCGCAGAAACGTCAGTCTGAGAGGTTCCAACAGGTTTGTCTGGGCTGATGGTCGCTGAGACTGTCTCTTCACCGCTGGCTTTGCCTGTTCTCATCTGGTTCTCCTGCCGTACTCCTCCCATGCCTCTCTTCCTGCCTCTGTCCTGTGCTACCACAAGCCTTGGGCTTCTCTTCTCCGCCATGGCTCGCTCATGCACTACAAACGCCACTGCCTTTCCCCGCCCCAGTCTCTCACACTCGCCGCCGGCCGCAGTGCAAGGACCTGTACCACTGCGTGAAGCAGGCGATGGCGCGGGCGGCGTCACGCGGCGGCGGCGTCACGCGCGGCCTCGAGCTGGGCGGCGAGTTCCCCGTGCAGGACCTGGCCACCGGCGAGGGTGGCCTCCTTCAGGTCTGCATGGAGGGCGTCGGTCTGCTCTTCGCCACGTCCAAGGTTAGCGCGTCGGGCACGGGGATCCCTTCGTTGATGATGACGCTTTGGCACCCCGCACCCTTGCAGATATGCAACGTTTTATGGCAGGGTGTGTTTACAAGTAACAACGCCATGCAGCTTTGCCTGTTTTGCGTGTCTAAACTGAGGTTACTATGATTTCACTGAAGCTCTGATACACCCGTCGGCTGGTGCCTTACGCTGATGTAATGGTGACAGGCCTGGGACTTTGAGGAACATCAATATATCAAAGTGAATTCGTGTCGCCGGAGGGAAGCGTCACTCGTCACCAATTCCACTTCACACTAGCATTGCCAATGTTCGCCCTTCACAGCTCTTCGTGCGTCTGGACCACATTCGGAAGTGTTTCACTCAGAAAGGAGGCATCTTTGTTCTAGAAGAATTCAGTAAGTAATGAGTGTTGCGTGCCAGACACTTATTGAGTAGACGTGTTGACATGCGAAACAGAAATACACGCCTGTTCAGCTTGCATGGCCGTGATGCAATGATGAGCCATTTCAATGGGAATGGCACGTGCAGAATGCCACGATATCAGATGAGTCCCGGTTGTGGAGACCGGCAATGTGACGATTTGAGAGGAAGCTTTGTTTCATTACCACCTTAGGCCCCTTACCATGCCGAAGTGACTCACTTTGCGGACATGGTGTTTTCAGATCCGAAAACTCGGCGGATCCTGCAGCGGAAATATCACTCGGCCATGGTGAGTTGCCTTCAGCAGCGTTACACAACCTGGCTCGTCCCTGACAACTCGTGATATGCACTGCGTGCGGAGCCTAGTAAACAACTTGATAGCCGAATTGTGGAATATGCTATATTTTTCCGGACACAAAGGAAAAGAAATCACCTCGTCCGGAAAAATAATCACCTAACTTCGCGTAGTCAACCCCGAAGAGAGACAGGCGCCACCTGGGTTGTCGGCTGTTCGCCCCCAGGGACGGATTCACCAGACGTTGGGGGCCTCCGTGCAATAACAGAGGGGGGGGGGGGGGAGTGTGACACGAGTGATGTGCTGTGCCAGCTGTTTGGATGGGGCTTACTCACATGCGTGAGAGCCCTGAAATATGGGCCACAGGCGAGAGCACACAGCACGGTGGCCTCTCATATGGCCCTGTTCAGAAGACATTATTCCTCATAACATAAGCCGATGGCACTGGGTCAGGCGTGCTCGGGCTGCGCTGGCTGCAGCCGGTGGCCCGCGCTGGGGAGCGGGAGGTCTGCAGCCGGCCCGCAGTGTCAGCACTCACGGCACCCGTGTTTGTCGCAGGCCGACCAGATCTGCTACTCAGTGCTGTGCGTGTTTTCCTACGTCGCCGCTGGCTCCGAGCGCAAGATTCCGCTGCAGCAGCGGGTTCACTCCGCCTGAGACGTCCGACGGTCTGCGGGCTGGGGCACGCGTCACAGTCACAGCATCAGCTGACCTTCCCCCAGTCGCGAGGCGTGCTCGGCACCTCCGCTGCACCTCCAGCTTGGCCGGCTGCCCGGCCCGGAGGGAGCGGTGGCAGGCTTTGCGACAGACGGCCGGGCACCACAGGGGACCCGGGCCACCCCGGCGGGCACCGCGAGGGACCCGGGCCACCCCGGCGCTATGCTCGCGGCCTCGCGTGGCGGGTGGATGGTTAGGTGACGACAGTCGGACGTAGGCGTAGGGTAGGCCTGGCGGCTCGATTGCTCACTGCCGGCTCGTCATAACCAGCGATGTGCTGACCGCCTTGGCCTCGGGCACCTTCATGCGGTTCGTCCAGGCCTACGGTGCCTAGCAGTCTTTGCCTGCCATTGCCTGAGGGCCTTGCCACGACCCGTACTAGGTGAGAACATTCTAACGTCCCACTGCTGCATCGGGAGGAAGGAGGCAGCGTTGGCTTGTGATGCACAATTCGACCCACGGTTGGCTATCTCCGTCAAGTTGTACCGCAGATCGCGGTTCAACTGAACATCGGCTGTGTGCGTATGTCCGTATGTGCGTGGTTGTGCGTGCGAGTAGGAACTCTGTGCCAGACTACGGTGATTCCAGATCGCTAGTGCCTCATCGGCAGATATGGTCTTTTGGAGGCTGCTGGGGCCGGAAGCTTCGATATCGATATTTGCCTGACATATATATATATATATATATATATATATATATATATATATCAGGTAGAATGCCATTGAGTGGCGATTTTCACACTGAAGGAAGTAGTTCTCGGCTCTCATTCTAACCGTTTTGCCATTTCAGATACGGGTCACCTTGATGTGATCGCTGGTTGTCAATACGTGTTCGCCCCTTGATCACCAATCGTTTGTTCGCGCTAATCTTGCAATAGAGCTCTGCAATGTTTTGGCACTGTTTTCAAGCGAGTGCCTGTGTGCCTTTACTAAATATGTATGCATGTCGTGTAAGGGAGACAACGTGATTACATGTGATTCGTTCGTAAACTGCTCTGTATTTGCCAAGTCCTCATATATCGAATAAAGAGCGAGCACGGCTTCTCCACCAGTCGACCGGACCGCTTCTATACCACTGCTGTTTCTCTAGTCCTGCTTCCGGATCCACATGAGGGAGATCACCAGCTCAACATGCATCCAAGTGGCATGGGGGGGGGGGGGCGAGCTCTGCGCGCAGTTTGTCATCAAGGCCTGCAGACACAAGGTCCTGCCGTATCCAGACTCCACGTCAGTAAGACATGACCTTTGGATGCTCCGTCTCCATGCTCCGTCCACGAGCAGGTCTCCGATAGCAGCCCTGGCCATTAGATGGCCGATTACGTCACAACGCAGAGCGGGTCTGCACGTAGTATGATTTCCCTTCAGGTATGGCGGCAATGGTCAGGAACCCTAAATGTATCGTTTCACATTCGAAGATATCGAGGCAAGCGTTATATTCGATGGAAAGACTTACTAGCATCTATTTATATGCTTTTAAGCACAAAAACTCCTATAAATAGCATCACTGCACTAATTAGTAAATAAGTACCTCATGACATAACTTTTTAAATTACGTCATGAAACATCATATGGCATCAGAGTTGCTCCCGGAGTCACCGCAGTGGCGGACGGCGTGACTCACTTGCGGCGTTTCCACGCCCCGCAGGATGGCGTCGTTGATTCATGTGTGGAAATTCACGAATGTACAAATGTGAGCGAGCTTTTTTCTCGTGGCGTTCTTGCTATTTTTCCGCGATGGCATCTCCTTTACTTGCATTTGCGTTTGATATTACAGCGCTCTTCTTAAAAGGCGTATTCCACATGTGAATGGGGTTTTGAACTGAAATATCCATCTCGAAGATTATTTGATGCAGCTCACAGTCCTGCCCTTCTGAAGACCTAAAACCCAATAGTTTCTGAACTACACATTTGCAAAGATGTGTAGACTATTTCAGAATGGCCCAGAAATCCATGGCCACATAATGTCCTATTCCACCGTACACGCGGCGTTCAAGGTCCAGGAAATTATAATTGTGGAGCCATTCATTTATGGCGTTGGTGAGCACGATTTCCAGATATAAGGGCCGTCATTTAGCCCCCAATCAATGTTATGCAGGGTACGATTACTACACAAAAAATCGTGTCGTCTATAGTTGTCTTTTCCACTTAAAAACAAGCCAACAGTTAAAACTGAATTAATTCATCATATTCGATGCTGGCTAAAATACATTCAAATAGAGAACATTTCCCTTAAGCAGCGGTGTACTGTTAAGTCGCAGCTTCTTCTTTTGAACGTGTTTTCTTGTAATTTTTATGCTTCATTCAGACCACTCTGCAGTTCCTGCTCCTGCTGCGCCTCTCAACGCGAAGCTGAGCATTCATTCCTTGCCTTCCTTCCGCGCCTGTATATGATGGTTCCTACCCCATCCAAGGTTTTCCTGCGAGAGCAAGCGCTCTCGTACCTTGATCAAATTTCATTTCTTTGAAAGTCGCAAAATTTAAATTACAAGACAGTGTGGCAGAACCGGTTCGAAACCGTCGTGATTTAAACCATGCCCCACCTTTTGATATTTTTTGCGACCCGTCTTGTCGACGAGCTCCACACCGACCTACCCGTGTTCTCCAGACTGCAGAATTTGATGGCATGTATACAACAATGTTCCAAAACTGTAAATGCGGATGCGTATCGCATTCACCGCAAAGCAAAAGCTTTGACTGGGTGGGACGCCACAAACGAAACCCAAAAGTTGAGAAACGTTACAGTCGCCGCTACTTTTGTAAAAGTCCTTCAGCCGTCTCCCTGACAAATCGTCATTCTACAAAAGACTGAGTTTCACAGCATTGCTACTCACATTGAAAGGTTAAGAATATCGCTGGGATCATCGAACGCTGGCACATTGAACGACGGTATGCGTCTTCATCTGCCTTGAGAAGCAAATCCAATTCCATTTGGACACAACAATACATCATTATCAGCTGGGGGTTCAGCGGGAAGCACCACTCTACCGCGGGAATGTCCGAGTGCGCGGCCCTGATGAGGTCGGTTGGGATCAATATCGGTCGTCAACGACACTCTATATGGCGGCGAGTGCAAGCTCGAGAATGACGCCTCTGCTCCGACGGCTCGCCAGATCGAGCCACCGGCGCGCTGCGTCGCTGCGGCACAATATCGCACGTAGGCCACGCGCCCACCTGATGCCAATGATTAAGGGCCCGATTTGAGGACCCGAGGCAGGGGTGATGAAAGAGCACTTTTTCACCGACCAAATTTTTGCAGGAAAAAATTGTCACCAGCAGCGTGACACGATACAACGAGACATAAAATGTTGTAAAGTTCATACCCAGAAGTGTCATCAAGAATCAGCAATCACCGAAAGAGTCTTTCATCGTTACAATTTTCAATATCATGCGCACAACCAATACGTTCAATTATACAATGTCCTTCAAGTAACATCAGGATAACTGCTGCTGCTTAGGAAGCAGGAGCGCCGGCCCTAGACTGTGGGATAGCCCAGTCACAGTTCCACCTTCCACCCTCGAGACGGGCCGGGGTCTTACGTTCAAACCCGATTTACGGCTGGCTTTTCTTTCCTCGACCGCGAAAAAAGCAATGCCGAGAGATCTCGATATTCAGGCAGCTGGTTAAAGGACAGCATTGGGGATGGCCTCAGATATCCGGGCCTCCTTAACGCCATGCCCGTTATGAAAATCATGTGTGCGCTTCGAGCCCCATCTCAACCGTCATCTAACTCTCCACTCTACCTTAGGCATGCTCCACGCCTGGCGCATGTGCTGCCTAATGGTCGTCTTTAGCCGCGGCGCAACAAGTAAATTGCTCATAATTTTTTTCATAATAACGCATCAGGCTGCTAGTTCTTTCCGAACAACATGCTCGCCATGACAAGAGGGGGAGGAGGGGGAGGGGAGTGATGTGACGCTCTCCCCCAAAAGGTTGACACCAAAAACGTGTCTAAAAACGTCCTAACATTCTGGTTTCGGAGAAGCGGTGGTTATGTGCGAACACTGCATGACGACCCAAGGCTGGCGGGGGCAGCGGGCGGCAAGCGACGATTTCGCGGACCGCGCGCGGAGTGCTGACACCGTTACATCAACGAAGCTCTTCATTATAAATGTAGGCTCGTAACAGATTAAGCTACAAACCATCGTGCTCCTCATTAACCAAAGAACACGCCTCTTCACGTTTCATGCCTCTACGGTGCATGGTTTCGTGCAGATGAACACGCGAAACTGAAATAGGTTAACGTTCAGGAAAATTTTGCCCTGGGCTTGGTCTAGTGGGATCAATTAACAAAATAAGACTTCCTACCAATGACAAGATCTAATCAAAGACCATTCATTGTTTTCTTTTGCAAGACACTACCTTTCTTAGTTTCCAACGGCATGGGATTTTCCCTTTCAGTTCGAGTTGAAAACCGGCGAATCAGGGTACCTGAGGGTTAAAATTGATGGCTACTATTCTTCTTTATTCATTTTACACATACTAGTGTAAAAATCTGCGTTTCAGATCATGACAAAATCAGCTAGTACAGCACAACGGTACATTTTGCTACCTGCATACAAATGTTGGAAGAAATTCCATCAGCAAGCCAAAATTGCCCTCTTCATGCTAAACAGCATGCAAATCAAAGCTCACCTGTATTTATATATATATATATATATATATATATATATATAACACAAGGTCAATTTTATACTTACCATGCATTATGCAAGAGTGCCAACTCAAGTCAATTTGTGGGACCCTGACAAACTCCCATGTTGTGCCAGGCCTCTTAATGGTGATTCCTCCCTCCATGGTATCGATTTCTTGAAATGATGAGGGAGCAGACTCGTGGAAGTCGTCGTTGGGGAGCCGATCCAAAAACTGATCAGATTACGTGCCCCATGTTCTGGTTATCCATTATATATATATATATATATATATATATATATATATATATATATATATATGTATATATGTATATATATATATATACATATAAAGTTACTCATCTTTTTAATGCTTATGTTCGTTGCCACAGCAATCATGCATGGAAGTCCCGCAAATTGCACCTGCATCACCTTACAAAGGCACCTGTTTTGGGAAGCTGAAGGGGTGCAGTTGCAGCGCTCTCTTGCATATTGGAAAATTAAATTGGTGCATAATTTTGTTGTCATGTACTTAGGAAATATGTTGTGCATTTATTCATATATTTACAAGGGCAGAGCGTCCAATGTGCACAATGCTTGTGGCTATCACAACACATTTATACGCAGGTTCCCCATACATCGGAATTTCATCGATAATACATAAACATTTTAGCAAATACTTATTTCAAAAAATCCATATACAGTATTGTTTATCTTAATTCCATGCATAATTTAAGCACATGGTCTTCAACCTTTCCGCAAATACGCCTAGGCAGATGCCCTCCTGTTGATTATTTATTTTCCCCACCGTTTTCAATAAACACGAATTGCGAGCTAGCGATACGTCTGAGGAACACTGTTCCGAGCTGCTGTGCCTCTAAAGGAAAAGGGACCCTCACCCGTTTCTCTTCGAAAAAGTGACAGATGAGACACCCGTCGTATCAATGTCATGAACAATGCAGGCCGATTGTAACAGCGTTGCTAGTTGGACTTGCTCTTCAGTTACCATGCGATGATTCGGAGGCATACTCGGTGCTCAATGAGCCAACTCACTCAGGAGCTCAGCCAGAGTTTTGGCAGTTAGGGTGTGGGATACAGGGTTGACCAATGTCCCCCGTTGGTGAAAGGCCCTCACCCCCAAAAAAGAAGTCACCGGATACGGCCAACTTGATTTCGAGGGCAGCCCTGTCCTTACTAAAAGCCAGCACGAACCGATAGATACAAGTCTGTTCGCATTTTCAGGCAATAGACAGAAGGAAACACATCGGCGCCATTTATTTACAACGTTGCAGTGGACTCTCTCGAAGCCGATAGCACGCAGCGGGCGTGCCGCAATTTTTCTGCGTTATACAAGGACATCGTGGGCGTAGGTCTTAGATCGAAATGGGATCGTACATTTGCACTCACATCAACGCGCTTTGGTCTCAGAATGTTCACCTTCTATTTAGAATCGAGTACCGGAAGAGTTACATTCGTGGGTTAATTGCGACCCGGTTTTCGCCATGCCCGCTCGCAAGTCTTACAACAAAACCCCCACGCCGGCGGTGCAATCAGCCGCGCAGCGTCCGTTCCGCGTCCAACACTGGACGGTGGTTGACGGGCGGACGAAAACGACAACGTTTCTGAAGAAAGTCCCTCTAAACGCCTCAGGATGTCAATTGGAACGCTTAGAATGTGTTTGGGTAGTCGGTTTACCTGTGCAAATTTTAAGATCTTTAACAGGAACGGATTAGCATTCACAGCACCTCGAATCGGTGCTAGAATGCAATGGTAGAACTAGACAAGTAAAGGTAGAATCTCTCTTTCGTGTTGCTGTCGCTGTTAATCTCTGCAGAGAATAAGCTCAATTTTTTACAGGCTACATGTGCGCTGCAGCACAATTTCTGAACGGTACGAATCGATTTTAAAGGACTTTTGGAAGCATTGTTTCGCGATGGCTGCTCTCGAGCGCCAGGCGCCCACCGCCCGATGTTGGCTGCGACGGCCAACACTGCTCAGTCTCATGGGGACTGCAACCCCGGCGGTGGGTGTTCTTGATCCTAAGAGTGTCAACACGCAGGCCCAAAACTGCTTTACGTAATTTGTTTTACATGCTGATGCTGAGCAAGGATGAACACCTCGTTTGTGTTGGCCTTTTTCATTTTTGACCTCATGTGATCCGCCCTATTGTACACTAAGGAACCTCTTACCTTTTGCGGACAAGGGACCCAGTGGGTAGATCAATAGAGATCACATTGCATCTCCGGATCAAGGGCTTTAGGAATCGAAACGGAAACCCTTAGAGGGATACATCATACACTGGTCACCGGTCTAACGCATACGGCCCCTTGCCCCGGCCAGCTGTCCGAAGATAGACGCATATGCTCTCATTGATGCAAAACATCCCTTATCGCCGCAGGTATCCAATATTTAACAAAGAGACTACAGTTCCTGTACGGTCTTTAGATTGATGAGAACAAGGCATTGGTCTTTACAGCACTGCAAAGTGGTGCTGGAATCGAATAGTGGAACTGGAAGAGTAACGGTGAAATCTTTGCTTTCCGTGCTCTGTTTTGAACTCATTTCGACTCATTCCATTCAAAACAAATAAGGCCCCTCACTTCTTTCCGGAAATGGGCACCCCTTGAGTACAACACCACGGGGCACACTGTTGTTCCCGGTCAAGTGCTGAAGGGTCATTCTGTCCCGTCACGGTTTATTTCCCGGCCATCATCTGGCGACACGGAACGGCATCCCCTGGCCCATCCGGAGACCCTTAGAGAGATACATCATATCACGCTGAAGCGCTCCCTGACGTGGGAAGCCTTCTAACCCTTGCAGTTTACCCCGGATCGACGCGTGAAATGTCACTGACGCAACAACATCCCTGCTCGACGAAGATGGTAAAATAATTTGCACATCGGCTCCAGTTGGGCTTACCGGACCCATACTGGAATAGGGCTGGAGGGCATACCGTTCGGTACTGGGGGCCCTGACTGACACAGGACTCCTCTATTACCTCAATGTGAGCACACGTCATAAGCTCTTATGTTTCCTTCAATTATCAAAGAGCCCCGACAAACGCAACAGGCCCTCTGCCATTCGGGAGCCCGCTCCTGTCCCTGTTCAGAAAATCTTCCCCTAACCGATTCGAGGCCCCTTGCCGACACAGAACGCCCTGCTAGGCACTGTGGGGCCCTGAACAACACAGGAGCCCTACCGATCTAAATTACGAGCCCGGTCTTGTCGCTGCGTGGAAAATGGTCCCCCAGACCTCGTACCAACACGGAGCCGACTGTTCGTTGTTCGTGATCCCTAGCCGAAAAAGAGGAATACTCTGTTTCAGAGCTCCCTATCGGTGTAGTAGATCATCTTACTGACGTTTGAGATCACGGCCCTATGGGCGGGGGTCCTTAATGTGACCTGCAGCAAGCCCTCCGGGCCGCTCAGCCATCTAATCGGACCCTTGATCTTTGGTCTTGAGAGACCAATCGGCCCCTCTTTGGGCCCCTTCAAACACCGCTCCGACTCGGGGCCACTTACCGACACAGGAGCCCCTCACTTTGTCAGGAACCCCAAACATTGCAATTCGCGGACCCATGCCTCGTTTCTGCTTGGGAAATAGGTCTCAAGGGCTCAGACGGACATGGAGCCGACTGTCTGGTGGTCGTAGCTTCTGACCGATTTAGACAACCGTATTGTCTCATGTGTTCCTCAAACGGCACAGAAGGACCTCTGACTGATATTTCAGGACCCTACGGGCTGTGATTCTTCATGTGACCTACAGCTAATCCTTCGGACCCTTATGCCCTCCAACTGGGCCTTTGATCGTCGGTTCCGGTGGGCCACCCGGGCGCCTCTTCGGGCCTCATCGAAAACTTCCCTTGGTCGGCTCGGAGCCCTTGCGAGCACAGGGCCCTCTGTGAGACCTTGTGGGCCCCTGACAGATGCAAGGCCTCGACTAGGGTAAATCACTGGCCCCAGCTTTAAAGCTGATCGGGAAGTGGGTCCTCAGGCCCATTCCGACACGGAGCCGGCTGAATGGTACGGTGTTACCTGACCGATATATAGGTCCATATCGATTCGGGGTCCACGATCGGTGCAAAAGGTCCTGTGATCGTTAATTAAGAGTCCATCTTTACAGGTTGGGGCTCCTGAACAAGACCCCAACCAGCCGTTTATGCCTTTAGACCCTTCAATCGCGTCCTTGATCGTCGGACCTGGTGGGCTCTCTAGGCTCTTCGGGCCTCCTCGAACACTGCCTCTGGCCAGTGCGAGACCCCTTGACAACATAAGGCCCCTGTTAGGCGCTGTGGGGCCCCGAACAATGTAAATCGCTGGCTCCGGCTTTGTCCCTGCTTGGGTAATGGACCGTCAGGCTCATGCCGCCACGGAGCCAACTATGCGTCACTGGTGGTGCCTGACCAAAATATAGGCCTTATCGACTCAGTGGGCCCCTGATCAGCGCCCGAGGCCCTGTGGCTGGCGTTGGAGTGCCCGGTCCTGGGCCGGGCCCCTGAATGGGACCTACAGCTGGCTTTTCGGGCCCTTCGGGCCCTCAAATAGGAACATTAATCGCGGATTGCGAGGGGCCCTTCGGGCCCCTCGGAACCTAAAGTAACACGCCCCCCTGTGTCCCCTGCCTGCGCCATTGCTTGCGAGAGCGCGTGTTCAAAACTGTATTGCACAATTCTTATCACAAATCAATTATCATAAATAAGACAGAAGTTTCTCCGAACCTTATTGCTCCGAGAAAACCTAGGAGAATAGAAATATAGTGGAAAGTATGCAATCTCCATCCTGTAGCTTTTTCCGAGGAATAAGGCCATTACATATGTGTCACCATGTGAATAATGTGCCTCCCAAATGAACTAATTGATCGATTTTGAATGAAGGATGAATATTTCCAGAAGACCCTAAGATGGCAATGTGAATTCAGATTTGTGACCTCATTTCGATGTAATACAATTTATGCCCACACGAACCTCAAGATCTCTATGGAACCCAAAAATAAATCCGGTAAATCCTTTGAGTTCTATTGGTTTCAAGACAGCCCATCGAACCAAGGTGAAATGATTATCGCCGGCGGTTTTTTCCATGCAGTCATTTAACGCCCACTGATTTCAGTTCGTTGACTTCAAAATATAAACATAATTGGATTTTCCGGCAGCTTTTTACATCTGCTTCACTTGGAGGGGTAAAAATAAAAATAAATAGGGAAAACTGCTTCCCCTCGAAACCAAGCGGGTCATATTCGGTAATTTTTTGAGGGCTTGCTTTCGCCATCGGGAGGCCCATTGTCAATACTGTGCCTCCCCCCTCACCAAGACTTACGCTGCACCCGTGCTATGGCAACGCTGCGTACCCCAGACAGACAACTCTGACATCCCTGTGGCATGCCTGCCTTACAAGCTCCATCCGTGGCGACTGAGTATCCTGGCCGCCGACTGTGCAGCCGAAAGATGGCTTCAAAGCGCGCCATTGTCGGATAACAAGCCAATCACCACCAGCCTCGTGGAATGCCGGTACATTAGGCGATATCCCCGCAAGACATCCCTCGAAGCGGAGCCTTCGGATGCCTTATCGCCGGCGCGGCGTTGCCTCGGCGACGGGGCGACCTCGAGAGCCGAGGTGGCGGCCGGCGGAGCGGCGGCATCACTCGGGGGCCCAGCCGCTGCCCGACAGGATGTCGGCGCCGACCGAGATCATCATCGGCCTCGTCATGGCCGCCAACTCGGGGGTGCCCGTGGTGTCCATCTTGCGGCGGCGCCAGCTGCGCGAGGCGACCATGTACCGCCTGCTGGCCAGCATGGCCTCGGCTCAGGCGCTGGTGGGCGTCATCTCGGCCGTGCTGGGCACGCTGAGGCTGCTGCCAACGCCCCCGCCCGACTGGGCGTGCGCGTCGCTGCTGTTCCTGAGGTCAGCCCTTGGCACGTCCACTGTCGTCTCGCTGCTGGCGCTGAGTGTGGAGAGGTACGTCACGGTCGTGCACGGCCTGCGCTACTTCGACATCGTCACCAACCGGCATCGGCTGCTGCTGCTCGCCGCCTCCTGGCTCGTCGCGGCGCTCTTCTGGGCGTTCGGGATGGCGCTCCGCGGAGCGTCCGGGGACGACAGCGACATGTGTAACCACTGGGAGTCCATTCCATCCGCCTTCCGAGTAACCGCGTCCCTGTTCGTCCTCGTGACCTACATGCCCTGCTTGTGCCTCAACTTGTTTGTTGGTTTCATCGGCTGGCGGCAGGGACGACGAATCCAACGTGTGCACGCAACTGTGAGGAACCAGCCAACACAAAAGCTCTTCCGGCTTCAGGGCTTCTATGCCATCGCAGCTCTATCGCTAATGTTTCTCATTTTCATACTTCCGAACGTCGTAGCGAATTTGATCCAGGCACTGGCACTAGCCGATATTTCAGCCGTGCATAAGATCACTTCCGGCCTTCGGGTATCTAGCATGTTTACAGAGACCTGGGTGGTGATTCTCCTCTGCCCAAAGGTGATGAACGGGAGCGAGCAAATCGCTTGCTCGATTGCCTGCGGAAGACGTCCCACGGCGCCGGTATGCCCCGGCGATGGTGGAATGCAGGGACCTCGATCTGTGAGGGTGATTTATGTCAGTAGTCAAGAGCCGAACCCCATGCATCCCGAGCACCCCGGATGAACTTCTCACCACATCAGCCGATGCCCCGCACCAGTAAGTGGTGAGTTGTCAGCGAGGTGGGCACACCTGCGTCGAGGCAAGCTGCGGTCAGCTGTGGACGCGAACGGCTGGGGTAGTGCGAAAAGGAATTAAGGCACTGAACCGTGTGTCAAGCACTGAAATCTCCGGCGCTAGCTCAGAGGTTTGCGGGGCACGTCTCATGAGTTTTCCCTCCGGCACTGAGGTGTGCAGTTTTGACCACTTTCGCATTGTTTTCTATTGTGCGTTGCTCGGCGCACAGCCCTAATCGGCGCAAGAGCCTCCCCCCTGACTAACATTTGAAGGCCCATACCAACGGGCCGGATCCTAAATACGGCCTTCGACCAATCCCTCGGTCCTTAGGCCACTCAATTGGGCGCTGAATCATTGGTCCTGTTCGGTCCTCCGGGTCTCTCTTCGCGCCTGACGTCCGGCCGACATACTCTTATCGCCGCAGGGGCCGCAACCGACGCAGTGTCCCTGACTGGCATTTGAGCATCTGTCCTCCAGGACCCTTTATGCCACTGTTTATACGTACACGCGCTATCCCACCGCATGAGGTAGGTGGGAGGGGAAGGGAGGGGGGGGGGGAATGAGGCAGTATACGCGAGCTTGAAGTCTCCGGAGACGGATGGGCTCCGTGTTTGGCAACAGAGGGCAAGGTTCACATCAACGGCAATCCCGGCAGGCGGCCCAGTTCCATGTGTCTATCGGATGACATACAAATGTGGGACGTTGCTCGCCTGTGGCGGAATGTTTAATGTTTCGGGAATTTTCACTAACAAACGGCTTGAGTTTTCACTCGGGGCTCATCGGCGTTGTGAACAAAGTACATTACAAATTACTGTGTCCCAACGTCTAGCTGTCTCGGTGTTTATCAAGTAATCCCAATGTTGTCAACTGTCGTGTCAATACACTACCGCGATTACGAACATGGCTGTTGCTAAATGTCCCAAACTCCGATAATACTGATTTATATGCAACTGTCGTGATTTGTACTGTTCGTTACCCACGGCCTCCATGTCAAAGAGGCGAGCCCGACACTGTTCGTTGTTCTAAGGACGAGTTCTGCAACGCATTCAGTGTGGGCGAGTCGTGTGGTCCTTTCCCCGGGTGGCGTCACACCCGGAGATGCGGCGGGCGAAGGGGACGTAACCAGCCGGGCCCGATGACGAGCGCACCAATCCTCTCATGCGGCACACCCCATCGAGCCCGCCCCGTCGCCGGCAGGAAGCAGCCCGGACGCTTCCAGCTATGTTTAGCGTAGGGGGAGGAATGCCACGACGTCACGCTCATTCCCGGCAGTCTCGCCCCTCATTCAACATGAACACACGGCTGGACGAGCGGCGTGCGTTTCCAGCGCCGTACAGTAAACCAGACCCTCACCATTGCGGTCGGTCCCTGCTAAAACCCCACGGTCAGGGGGCTGACCTAAAAGAGTGGGTCAAACGTACCCTTAAAGTCGTGTTTCTCCCCGGATTTCGGCCACCGATTTGTGACCCTGGTGTCCAAATAAAAAATGTCATCGGCTCCCAAGTTGTCGAGATATCCCAATTTGAAACCGATGTGATATAGATGATGATATATGGTACTGATGCTATAGATCGTGATACGTTTACGACTTTGTGTATCAGCAATTCAGACACACACACACACTTGCTGCATTTCGTTGGCCCAGAAATCCCTTCTGTACTCATACGCATTGGGCGGGAGGGGGGGGGGGGGGGAGGGAACTCAGAAGAGCGTTGAGGACGCTCAGCCACAAACCCCGAAAACATACAAAGTGACATATCGGCCCACGTCCTTCAAAGACCCCGCTCTTACAATCCTCACCACGGATTCAGCGCGTGGCACGGTTCATTTATAAGCCGTATTGATCACAAAAGCAAACATTCGGCTCAAATAAGGCCCCAGTGGGCCATTACTCACGAGAATAGTTGCAACAGGTTCGCAACGTACACCATCCGCCGACCCTGTCCCGCGAGTCATATCTCGTCGGGCGATTTGCTGCTGCTTGAGAGCTCTTTCCTGCTAGACACATGAAGGACAACTAACACGGGAGCACCGGTAGTACATCCTCTTAACATCCTCTTAACTCGCACATTGCAAGCCGAAGCGGGCGCCTCAGTATGGTTCGAGCGTCACATTTCCCCTGCCAATGTCGACACTATCCACAGCTTCACAACCACGTGACGGGATGAGCTGCAGCCGTGCGGCCGGGTAACAGATACATCACCCCAACGCATCCAATACCTCAGAACCCTTTTTCCAACCCACCCCCACGTGGCGCACCAGCCCTTGGGCACCCAACGGCACCCAACACACTCCCTCTCTTCTTCGTGCGCAACGCGCGGTCACCGCACCGACACGTGTTGCAGCGAGGCGGCGCGCTGCTAACTCCCACCCTCCTCCGCCAGCAGCAGCTGCATGAGCGCCGCCACCACACGCACGTTGACACTGTTCCCCGTCAGCCGGTAGCGCTGGCGCGTGCCGAGCTCCGCCGGGAAGGCGAACTCGGCCGGAAAGCACATGAGACGCGCCACCTCGCGCGGCGAGAAGCGGCGTAGCTGAAGCGGCCGGAGGCAGTCGGCGCGCCGCGCGTCGCCGGCCGGGAGGAGCCGCGCCGACGAGAAGGCGGCGCCGAGCGCGGCCTCCGCGTCAGCGCCGCCGGGCAACAGCACAGAGCCGGCGCCCTCCACTAGATGTCCATAACCGCTGGTGAAGCAGCACGAGCGGCGGCTGCCAGGCGTCACGATGTCCAGCAGCTCGGCGTAACGGGTCAGCAGGCGGTCGGGCAGCAGGAGCGGGGCGACGTCCTCGGGTTCAGCGCCGGCCAAGAAGCGGCCCAGAGTTGGCGTCATGTCCCATTCTGGGGAGAGCGGTACGAGGCGGTGGGACGGGAGAATCGGGGGAAATCCAAAACCAGCACACATGACAGGATGTTGGGATCTGTGGAAGGAATCAGGGAACGGGATGCGAACTGCAGCAATGCAAAATGGAACACCATCTACACTCTGGCTTTCGGCCCGTGATAAGCCGACCATGGCCTAGTCTCACATAAAACTACAGAGCTGCATTCAAGCTCTAGTCCGTTTTAAAGCAAAACGAGCCCAGTGAAAGACGAAAATGAGGAAAGGACAGGAAAAAAAGGATGCAAACGCCCGAGAAATATGCAGATATCTGCGACAAAGTGACGTTAGCAATGTCCTTTCCTACCGATACATCGCGTGTTGTTGCCTCGGGCAAAATCCGCCCACCGTGCCGACAGGCACAATACCTGGCGTGTCGCTGTCACCGCTGCGTTTCTCGGCCATGTACCGAGAGAGCCGCTTCAGCACCGGTCTGTCACAAAGGCGGCAGGTCTCAGCGTCCGACACGTCGCAGCCGCAGACGCAGTACGGCACGTCCAACAGCACCTGGCGGTCGAGAGAGCGATCTCACCGCAGCGCCCCGCTGTGCGCATGCGCTCCCGCGTCAGAGCGCACGAAATGCGCCGCAGACCCACGCTCCTCAATGTCGCACGCTCTTGAAGATGGGTGCGCTGGCGCAACAACCACGATGATCAGCCACAATCAACGGCGAGCAGTATCAACCCCAGCCGATGGCTGCAACGCCCGCTGCCGTTCCGGTTTCACCGGGCTCCGCGAACCGCACCGCAACACTGTGACAGGCCTGCCACATGAAGTGAACGTCACCGGCGGCGAACGTCACCGGCAGCGGACGGCTGCTCGGCGCTGCCCGCAGCCCGCCGACTCACCCCGTCCGCCGGCGAATCGAACGGGAACGGCTGCCGGCGCGCCAGCAGGTAGTAAGCGCGTGCGCGAGTTAGGTACGCCTAGCTGGGCAGGCTGACAGCAGCAGCTCGCGCCAGTGCAGGCCCAGTCGCCGCAGCGTGTCCAGCAGCGCGGCCCGCGCTTCGGAGCGCTCGAAGCCGCGCACGTTCTCCAGCAGCAGGTAGCGCGGTGGACGGCGCATGCGTGGCAACACGTCCAGCACGTGCAGGAAGGACGAGGTGCGCGCATCCCGCGTATCCGCCTGCCGTCCGAGCCTGTGGCGGGACAGAGGCTAGTCACGGCCCCAGGCGGTGCTGCAGGTGGTGCTGATCTGTGGGCCAGCTGATTCAGATTGATGGCAACACTGGTCCATACCAATCTGGATTCAAAACTCAGCTCCATGAGGTGAGCAGCTAGCTTGTAAGCTTACATGACTCACATGCAGGATGCTGGTTCATATATGGCATGACTGGCATCCAGGTGTAAGTTTATGCATCATTGGCAAGGCAGTGCCACAATGGTGATTTATGTAACAGCTGACTGAATCACCTCTGCCTGGCTAGGTGATTAAGTGTACATGTTTCAACCCACCTAGAAAAAGGCTGACAAGGTGGACTCATTGTGATTACATCCAGCTCCATTTTATCCATCTCATCAGCTGTAAATGACTGGATGTTTCTCTGCAAGTGGTGGGTTTTTGGGAAATTGTAGCGGTAGACACCATTTGCTGCTGTATTGATGTCCACAGCTGATACCACAAGAAGAGGCAGTCCAGAATCTGAGGTGATAAGAAAGCATTCATTTATGGGCAGGAAGGGCACAAACACAGCATAACTGTGGGTTTATATTGCAATGGGACTGATAGATTTAGGGTATGGACAAATCACAACACATTCATTCCAGCTGAAATTAAGTATAGTACACAGCATAAACTTTAACCTGAAACACACAACACACAAGTGCCACAATTGATTGAAAAATATTTGATGTGCCCACTGAAGCACAAATCTACTTGCATTAGGTATGCCTGCATCGGACCATCCAGGGACTAATCTGAAGGAAATCCACTCTGCTTGATGCTTGAAAAGCATTGGCACCTTCATCCTAGGGCACACATGCATGAGAAACATGTCATACTAAGTTTCCTGAACCTTGGCTTGTTTCTGCCATTACTGCCTTGGGTTATATTAGATATTTTTCCAGATATTAGCTACCATCATAACATTCCATTTCTTTCAAGTTCCCTTCATGTTTTTAAATTGATGACAGATATGCACCACAACCAGAGCAATCACTTTTACAGCACAGAAGCATCACAAATTTGCAAGAACATCTATGTCCATACCACACATGATTGGCATGCATGCTACCTGATGGATATGATGGATTGGTATATATGCTAAAAGCCTGACCCATGGCCAGTAACTAACATTTTTAGGGAGATTAGGGCCCAAACTATCTATATTTGGCCATTTAGTGGTCCAGGAAAAAACAGTAACCAAGGGCAGAAAAAGACCCACAAAGGTAACACAAATACTGTCAAACCCTCATCCCTACCAAACAAGAAATGACGATCATACCTTCAGCAGCCATGTGCATACCACCTACGCCACTGTACAGCTCAAGAACATTCATTTTGATGACTGGTGTCCGGTTTTATTCACACGACCAATACGTTATGAATGGCTGAAGAACACAGCCCACGTCATAACTCCTCGCACTTGATGTCGCTGTCATCTGAAGCATACCACGCCTAGCACCGTGCATCCATACAATGCGTCAGATCCGCGACCCAAGACCCGTGACTAAATTAACGACACTATCGCACGGACCTCTAGCTCTACATTTTTGAGACGAAGCGTATCGTATCATTGGGGCTTCACGACACACTCAGTGAGGGGAAACCATGCGGAAAACTATAAATCTGCCATGTCAGTGATGCGCGAAAACTGTAACATAAGCCAGTGCTTATCACGTGCAATAATGCTACCATATACAGTAGCTCTCTTCAAAATTTATCTTTCCACTTTCTACCGCTCAAAGCGATGCACGCGAGATCATTCTATGGCTATACTCACTCCACTGAAAAATATACTAGAAAACTGGCTTATTCTGACGTCATATTTAAAAAGCTAGATTGAGGCCTAGCACTGGTGCGTTTGCGCCGCCAGCGCCTTGCGCCTAATAAACTGAGCCATCGGAACAGGCGGGGGCCGTCGGGTGTGTGATTGCCTGCCGATTGCGTGAGGGAGGGGTGTTGGTGCTGCTACATTACTTGTAATTGAGCCTGGTGTGACAGCTACTGCTGAATTGTCATGCCGCAAATAAGGTGGCCGGCACTGTTGGATGTGTCCCATGCATGGTTGTGCACTTCTCAAAGCAAAACTTTGCGCACACGGCAGGTTTTGGGCGTGTAATTTGCTGCTTTCTGAAACAGATGTACTTACTTACTCGACTTACTCGTGTACCTATCCCATTCTCTTTGATGGTAATTTAGATATCTAAGCAATTTGGGATGGTGGGGAGAATACAGCATTTGGCAAACATGATGGGGTGTGTGACACTTGTCTGTTCAGGTCAGCATTGTCAAGTCTAATTGTCATGACCTCATGAAGGCTGATATAGTATTTGACATGTGAACAATTAAAGCTGGTTGACAGGATAAATTGGGTGTTTGACTATGCCTGCAGCTTGCATGTTGTGACATGTGCGCATCTGCACAGCTGACTAATGTTTGATGATGCCTGAACCATTAATATTATCACAATCATGTGTTTTTCAGTATACAAAGTATAAAAATGTAGACAAAAACCCTTTCACACTATCATGCTTTTCCAGGTCATCAGCCAAATTTCACAGTGAAAGTTTAAAATGTTATGATGCTTTGCATGGTCTGTTCTGCCCTCTGGTATCATCTTGCTTTTCATGCAGGTGCTGTTGCCAGCCACAGGCATCTGTCAAGGGCAAATTGTGAGCACCTAAAGTGAATCAAACCCATGCTGTCAAGAGTGAGTGGATTGGGGGGAGGGGGGTGGGGGCAAACACTCCAAAAAACAGCTATCAGGATGGACAGATGAATGGACTGTTGAAGTCTTAGCCTGGATTAGCTGTTAGTTGTCTCATGTAGTCATTTGTTTGCTACTAGCAACACAAACAGCCATGGATTGCCTGACATGGGGAAGGTTATTTGTGCTGCAAAGAGTGGCATTGAGTAGTCTATTTCTTTATAGCTTTAAATGAGCTGACATGAAGTTTTTTGTCCTGAAAAGAGTAGCCTTGAGTAGCCTGCTTCTCTAGTGCCAAAGCACATCTCTCGTCATGGCATTTGTCTTATAAAAGGTTTGTGTGGAGAGCTGTGTCTTTTGGATGTAATTCTCGATACCTATTTGAAAGGGAACTAAATTGTACTAAGCAAGCCATACCAGCAGCAGACTTGTCTGTGCCCTCCCTTTGTCAGGTTTGAGCAGAATTTTCTCCATGACACTGCAGAAGATGATTCTGAAGTCAATTGATACCTAAAACTTTTTTTAAATGTCATGGACATGTTCATGATCATTGACATTGAGGGCCCAATTGCTGTAATGTAGTAACAGGACTGGGAGCTAGTTTGAAGTGAATAAGCATGGTATGCAGCTGTTAACTGTCCATTACAAACCTCTCCATTACAAATTCTGGCTGTGTCTCTGTACTAAGCCATCTCCCAATTTGCTGTAGGGCATACAAAGGGCTGGACCAGGCCATTAGGAGGCTATTTTTTGGTATGCCCCCTATTATGCTGCATGTGTAAAATGTTTTCAAGATGTGCACTGCTTTGTACTGCCAATGGAATACCTGTATCAACCATAAGACCATCAGTCTATCTACATATGGTATATTTGACTTTATATGCTGCATCTGTTCGTGCCATGGACACCATACGACCATTGTAGTTGGAGCCCTTAAGCCCAGATTGGCATCACCATCATCGTCAACTGTTAATGCAGTGTGGTCATGTTTTATGGTTTCAGAGCCTCATAAAAGTGCAACCATGCTGAACTTTGATGCTGTCAAGGAGCCCAGGGGCTTCATGAAAGTTCTCCAGTTTGTAAGTATCTGTATCCAATGTCCTGGTGCTATTGGCATTGTGTTTAAAAAATATACCAGGCACATCACTCACAGCTTTTCACATTATGGCCAGGTAGTATGATGAAGTAAAGTTAGGCATTTTCAAAGTAGCCTTTTTACCAGGGCTCATAAAATTCTCTGTTGAATACCACTGCAAGCACTTTGTTATTTCACAGATTCTCTGGCATCATGACAGCACCAGATATTTTTGTCAGAAATCAAGCAAAAATTGAAATGTTGAGCTGCTGTAGGATATTGGAATGGAATGTTTAAAATTTACAAGTTATTACTTTTTGTAGCTCATTCTTTTCTGAGGTGCCTGCTTTTATCATTTGACCACTATTGATCTTCCATGACTTTTACTCTGTTTGAACTGAGAAGGACCTAAATCAACAATTTCCATAATATACTCCACAACATTTAAATTGTTATTTTCAAACATGAGTACCCTTGTGGCACTTAAGTCAGTCACTTTTTCTTAAATCCCCTTGTTGAGAAGGATAATGTTTTCATAGCTTTGACTCATGCTCAGGTGAAAGCCCACAGATAGCTCATGACAAGAGAAGAAAAATCATATGGAAAAAGGCAGCCTGCATGCATAATTTCATGTATCGCTGGTATTCAGAGCAAGCTGGTGCCACCAGTTTTACTCCTGGAATCTGGCCCTGTGACACCAATATAATCTTAATGTAATTGTCATGACTGAAGGATAAGTAGATTTGCATACTTTGGGGGTGTTGTAATGTGTCACCATGCTTTGTTGTAAAAAAAATGGTAATGACCTTGTGTTATGTTTGGCAATTTTGAAAGTCCTAAAACCTTTTACTGGCACCAGCCAGGAGGGGAGTTCACCACCCCCTTACAGTTTTTTGAGCACTGGGAAAAATGAAGTCTCACTGCATTACAACATTTTCTGCACCTGCTCATCCATGTATGTTACTTTTTTGCAAATTTGAAGTTTTGATCTACCAAGATCAGTGATGCAGGTCAGGCCAAAGAGATCAGCCTGTAAAAACTTTGACCACATAAAATATTTATGTGGGACATTTCCCATTCTTCAAGCTTGTTGTAGCATAAAAAGATGACAGCACCTACATTTTATTCCTTTCAGTGAAAGAGGTAGGCCAGTGACCTGAAGTCAGGCCAATTTTTGTAATCATTCACAGCTAATGTAAATTTGTGTATATTTTTCTGTAGTTTTGGTGTTTGTTTATGAGTAAAAGAGTACTAACTTAGATGTGCAACCATCATATCATCACAGACCACATGACATTGGCCCAGGTCATGACCTGTCTGTATGGGTACCTGTTGCAAAACACATGCTAAGCTCAATGTAGGCAGTTTTGTGAGGTAATTCTGGATGCAGAACTTGAGTACTCTTTTGAAAACACATGATATAATTTTAATGTATAATGATGTCACAACAGGTCATATGAGGACATACAAGGTCATATAACGCTATCCAAGGTCAATCACCTATGTTGCCAGTAGCAAAGAGGCTAGATGAACTAGTGTGGCATGTTTAACCACCCCCTTGTCGTGTTTGTCGGGATGGTGACCTATAATTTCATATACCAACGTATCTGCTCATGGTTTGTTACAAATACATTGCCAGTTTAAGGAACTATGTATAACGTAGACAACAACTATGTGATCTTAAATACCTGTAGACGCACAATACACTATTTCTGACCACAGAAAACATTGTACTGGACGTCATCTTACCTAACCCATATGGGGATACAGAAATAGGAATGGATTCCCCACAGTCTTATCGCTTATTTCCGCGCATTCAATGTCCGTCCTGCCGTACCTTGGCGTGTTAACATAGCTCTTTACTGTATATATCCGAACGACCGTTTTTCACCTTTTGTGATCTCTGCTTGACTTCATAATTGACCCAAGGTGAAAAATTGGTTGGCGTTCTTCACAATTTAACGAGATCTTCAAAGCGATATCTTTTTTTTCTCATATTGAGTGTGGAAGTTTGAGATCCCAGCGGGAGAAGTCAGCTGCCCCCCCCCCCCCCTCCCCTCTCCCCCGGCCGGACGCGGTTGGCTGAAGACCCCGACCAGGGCGCGTGTTAAAAAACAACCGTGCCTTGTGCCGATTGCGTCCCGCTGTGGCCGGCAGTTCTTTGCGATCTTGGCGTTCGCCACCACCACAAGCTTTAGCACGCACTTCACGTTCCACGCGACCGTGAGCGCCTGCAACGCCACCGGAGGCAGGGACGTGGTGCGGCAAGACGTGGTCTACCCGTTCGCGTGAGTCACGCGCGCATCATCGGTCGGAAACGCGGCGCGCGGTCCTGCAGCAGGCTGTGTGATGTCACAGCCTGATAAACCCCACGCATAGCTGCCGTGTGTGTATGTGGGGGGGGGGGGGGGGGGTTTTCGCGCCATATCACAGTGTGTTTGCGTGTTGTAGCGTTGTGCTCTTGCTAAGCTGTCGGCGGAGTCGGAAACAGTACACACGAGGAACAAACATTGGGACTCTTTTGACTTACTTGATACAACGGAATGTCTCAGTTTTCTGAGTTAAGCAGTCTTTTTTATAACGTTACCGATTTCTGAGTTTCTACTGACTACGGTGATCTGAACATGCCAAAAAAAGAAACAGAAATTGGGGGCAATATGGTTCAGCCAGCTGAGAAGCCGACATCGCAGCAGGGTGCTTGTAGCATATCTCTCGTCTGTTTCCGACTGCATCTTGCACTAGGTGATTGGGTCCGGCTAACAACCTGTCTGTGACGTGCCGACAGACTGGACCACGTGTTTCTGAAGCAGCAGGTGTGCAACCAGCCAGCCGTGCAGGCGTCGTTCCACTTCCAAACGGACGTCTCGTCGGACGCCAAGTTCTTCGTGGCGATCGGCGTGGTTTGCATGCTGTACTCGATGGCCGCCCTGGCCGGGTACACGCTCTTCAGCGAGCGATACGCGGAGAGCCGGTTCCTGCCTAGTGCCGTGAGTGTGCCATGGACTGGCAGCACTCGCTGCCACCGCGAGCTGTTGCGACGTGACCGGATTGCGATGTTCAGGTGCGCTAGGGGTGGTAGCAGAACCCCCGGTACCGTCGGGCGACGACTTGACGGTTTTCCCGGGCAGGGTTACAAGCTATCAGTCTGCCTGTCTTGTCACGTCTGTCTTGTCTTGTGGTGACGTCCCCTATACCTCTGGCTGCACCGTATCCCACGGCGCCCCGACGCGGCTTGCTCCTCGCTCGCCGCGGTGTGGCCACCGATCGGGTGCCGGAGTGTCGGGACCCGCGCGTAGGCCGCGCGGCCTCCGCTGACGAGCTCGACGCCCGCCGGCAGGACTTCGTCGTACACGGCGTGCTCGCCGTGCTGTGGCTGGCGGCCTCGTCCGCTTGGGCCGACGGCACGGGCACACTTAAAGCAGGCTGCAACCCCGAACTGTGGCTGAACCAGGTGTGCGCCACCAACCAGCAGATCAGTTGCGAGTTTGCTCCAGACGACTTCAACGGCTCCTTCGCGAAGCTGCATATCTCGCTGGTGAGTCGCCGGCGGGAGAGCGTGCTGGCGTCCTTGGCGGCTATGGTGCCGACGTTGTGGCCGAATCCAGGACAGCTTTGATGATGCGGCGTCGTGTTTTGCGGTGATATCACAGGGATATGTTGACTTTGTAGCATGGAGCGCTTGCGCCTGAAACACCTGACGTGTGGACCGCACACATTTCCAAGAAACGCTGAAACATACCGGGTACAGAAAACGATCCAAAAGACAGCTTGTTTTAGGTTTTAGATACGGGTGAACTACTTTGGAGCGTGAGGTAGTGTCGTTGGCGTTGAAAGTGAGCTAGCTGGTGGCGTTGAAATGCAACGCCTTCTTAACTCCGTGGGAGATCCGATGAAAAATGCTTTTCAAGTAAATCCTTGATTATGTAGCTGATGTTAGCTAACAACAAGAATGACACGGAACGGCATTCACGTGCTTTGTTGGGCGCGTCCTTTGTTCCAATGACGACTGGTTGACGCCGCCCTGTTTTTCAGCTCATCGGCTTCCTGAACATGTTCCTGTGGGCTTCGAACATGTGGTTCCTCTACAAGGAGACGCCCTGGTTCAAGACCGCGCAGGCGCCCGACAGCGACACGGGCAACATTGGCAACATCTAGGGGCTGGTGGCTCCCTGTACTTCACCTGCTGCACCTCGCGAGCACCTCGCCGGCGCGGCGCAGCGGCGGCCCAGCGCCCGTGCGGCCAGCTGGGGCTGCCACGCTCCGGGTCGACGACGCCCAGCCCGGCTCACACCGTAGCTGGCGGCGGGCCCCGGTCGACCCCTGCACGTGCGTTTGTGACGGTGGTCGGGCGTTTGTGGTGCTGTGAGGTCTGTGTTCGTCGGGGTCGGCCCGCCGGCGGGCGGTGCGGGGCGTACCGGCACCGGCTGGGGGCGGACCATGCACGTGGGGTGATCGGCCCATGTGGCGTGCCATGCTGCCGTACGTGCCGTCGAGCATAATGAGGGCGTGGTCGCGCCATCGGCCGCTATCGCGAGGCAGAGGGTGCGATTCGCGTTTCAATTTTTCGGTGTTAACCAGATTACCAACGCGAGTTCATGCATCTGTGTGCTGAAAGTGCCTGTTAATCCGTGATAAATTGGGGTTTTATTTTAATATGTGTGAATGACAAATACCCTCCAAAGACTGGTTTCAGCAATGCTATGTATGTCGGAAAGTGGATGGAGAAGGAAGCGCACAGTTGTGCTTTATGAGTTTAAACCATCTGCTCCTCTTCTAATGGCTTATTGCGGTTGATGAACCATGCCATGCAAGCCGAGGATGGAGGTCACCTTGGCGTGCTCCTGCCCTAGTTTCGAGCTTCATGTCTCATGATGCGACGACAGGACCGCGTGCTAACAGGCTTAGCGCCCGTCCCGTTCTCGCCTCTGGAGTGTTTCTAATGTGTGGTTGGTTCGGCGTCGCTCTTCCGTGGCGATGAAATCAGCTCGTCACAGCTCGACGCGGCCAACGGTGTGCACAACGAGAAGGATCCAGATATAAATCAATCGTTACTATGGGTCCGATCTGCTCCGTTCACGCCAATCCTGTAAACAAACAGCGTAATAAAGAAAATGTGTAAGACGCTGTGCAACCGTTTTGGGCAGCGGGACATCGCACGATCTTCTCGCATCCAAGTTCCCGCGGTATCGTCCGGCGTCTAGTGCGAGGCTTCACAAGCGGGGGGGGGGGGAGCACGGCCCTGCGCACCCTCCCCCGGCGTACGGTACCTACGGCCCTGACCTTGAAAGCAGAACACCACAAGTTCTGCAGCTCTGCGACGGAGTCGTTCGTGGGGCTTGGTTTAGGATCTAGAGCTAGTTAATACCGGTATTGTCCTCGCGGGTAATGCCCCGTGAAGCGCGCAGCACCTACCCCGGCCCAAGGCTCTTGTGTTAATTGGGGCGTTAAAAAACAAAGAATGCTCGCCGTTTACTGTTCCAGTAGATACTACCGTCCCTAGTGGGGTAAACAAAAACCTTTTATTTGTTCTCCAGAAATGCGACAAAATTGATAAACACAGTAGCCAAAAGCGACAAAATAAAATTCAAATGTACTCAAAAATATCAATGCTGATTAATAAGCTAAACATACCAATGAAAAAATCGGATATGACCCAGGATTATTGATAAATGCAGTGAAGCACGCCAATTTGCGCGGCGAAGTCGCTGGTGTTGTACAAGGTAATTAAATCTGAGGTTCTGCCGGCGATTGTCCGGTGTTTTGCTAGTTTATTCCCGTAGCCCATTGGCATCGACATTTATGCATACCAAACACCATGCGAGTAAGCGCCGGAGGTAGCAAGAGCCGTGGGAAGTAGTGCATCCACTGGGATAGTCATGCAGGTACGCAGGTACTGATGTGTTGTCTTCGCCAGGGGCAAGCACATATTCGTGACTCATGTTTCGTGCGGCTGTCACGTTCTTGTTCCTATCTATGCAAATCCTTGTTACATACCTAGGTTTATGGACACTTGTGTACTGAACAACATTTTTCAAGGTAGCTGCCTAGCGTTTATTTGACTGGGACGTTACTTAGTCTTCACATTTCATGGACACCTACTTCTGAATGACATGGGAGAGGGAATAAATGAGGGGTGAAAACCTTGTTTTATTTCAAACATAAAAAAGTCATTGAACTTCACTCTGTGTGTTTTTTTGTCATTTTGTGAGTTATTGATACTGTATGCATGTGCCTTTGATATAATGAGGTCCAACCATAAATTAGGTGCCACAAACATGAAGAAGCAAATATCTTAGTGATGATGAAATAAAAGAGTTTTTAAAGTGAAAGCAACAATTTTTGCAGCTTTAGTGGTAAGGTCAAACTATGGTCTTGCTCCTGCTTATCTGATTTTCTTTTCAAGGCTGTCATATTTGGTATCAGATTAGGCCCCTGTTAAACAATGGTTGCATAAAATAGATGCTGTTACTAAAAGTTGCCAGCTATGAGACAACTGAGAAAGCTTGGGCTCTATTGGGTCTAAATAGGCTCTAAGCATGAAGGTGCTTAGAGCCTATTTAATCATATTGCCTCATGAATTAAATCCACTTGTGTTCTTGTCATTATCATGACTAATTTTTTGTTCTGTGCTTTATACAGTTTGTGTCACATCATACCTTACCTTACCTTACCTTACCTTATGGTGATCGGGAATTGTAAAAGGCCACTAGGCCTGTAGGTCCCGGTCTCGTCAGGCTCCCGGTCCGGTAACCAAACAGTCTCGCGGAAGAGCGTTCCAGTCGTTGACAACCCGAACGAGTTGCGACGGACTGAGAGTCCTAGCTCGAGGTTTTCTGAGCTGCCATTGGTGTCCTCATCGTCACCTCAGAGTTGTGCCTTGTCAGGAACTCCTCTTCCGATAGCGACATGCCTCCATGAAATAGCTGGTACACTGTTACCATGTCTCCCCTGTGACGACGATAGTACAGTGAGGGCAGCTGAAGGAGTCTGAGCCTCTCAGGGTATGGCTGGCGCCTCACTTCATAGACAAGCCGGGTAGCTCGTCGCTGAACTCGTTCCAGCCGTTTTTGGTCCAGTTTGCCGAACGGGCCCCAGATAACGTTGCCATACTCTAAGTACGGACGTACTAAGATCTTAAAAAGCAATGGCAAGGTGCGAGCATCGATATTGGCAAAAGACCGCCTCACGACCGCCAGCATCTGGTTGGCCTTGGAGATCGCTTCCGCGGTCTGCACGTGGAACTGGAGCCGGTAATCCACGAAGATCCCGAGGTCCTTTTCGGTGGACTCGACCGCGATTTCGGCACCGTCCAAGAAGTACGTCAGCCTCGGGTTGCAGTTCCCGATGTGCATTATTTTGCACTTTGCTGCACTAAAGGGGAGCAGCCACTCCTTTGACCACTGATCATGTAATGAAAAATTGTGTTTCACTATATATTTTTGTTTCCATATAGTTGTTGCATGTTTCCATTGTCATCATCTGCTTTTTCAGTATGGGGCATATGTGGTGTATCATACAAATAGCTATGCCTTTTTGGAAGCATGCAGTTATTTATCCATCCTAATTAGGTTGTTGCCATTTATCATAAAATTATAAAAATGTACCTTCAATGAATTATGAATATTTTTCACTGGGAGGTATTGATCACCAGTACCAACATTTGCATTCTGCAATGTTTGGTGAATGGCTTTGAGGTGGATGCTGATATCCACCATTCACAACAACAAGATGCTATCAGTCAAAGGTATTTAATTATATTTTGTTTTGAAAGCATCAATTTAAATACATTTCATTTCCAATAGCTCAATTTTTCACTTAATGGTTTGAAAGGCATCATTGTTTATTTGTAAAGTCCTGCAATATCATTCCCATCAGCAGCAACGGCCTCAGATGCTGGTCCTCGGTATAGGCAGACTCAGTTTGGCCAATGTGAAACATATATGCCACTAATAAATGGCTGTGCATGCAAAGCTTGCAGTATTTACATTGTCAGCAGTATACTGGCCTGGTTGCGCAGCCTGCTGTGAGACCAGCAGTGGCTCACTGTGCACAGGCTTAGTGCGCAGTGCTGGCAATGAACTTAACCAACCCACATTAGGCTAACATTTGGTTGCTGGAGAGATAGTGAGTTGGGCAGTACATATATGATAAAGGGACCCTCTGACCAGTTTGATTGCAAGTAAGTTCTAAGATTTCACAGGATGCTGCCTTAAGGACTCCTGTAAAAAATAACACTCATGTCAGGAACAATCAAGAAAATACCTCTTACAGTGTCTGGAAGCTTTTCTGCTGTGTGCTGTAGATCTGCGATGCCAAACAATGCTCTCTCAACATGAGCACTGATTTATCTCTCACGTTTGAGCTGTGGGTGGCTGCGTTGAGGGGCTTATTGCATGGTGACCCAATTAACTGGACTCAAGCTGGACTGCACTGTCACCAGCAAGCACAGCCTTACATACACCTGTGCAATAAATGACTGCCTTAACTGACCTTCCACTGCCAAAATGATTCTGTCTGTAATGGATGGCTGAGTTACACCATGTTTAGTTATGGTTGCTAAAAAAATTTTCATTGAAGGTGTTGTATATATACTAAGCCATGCTAACATGTCTTTGAATAGGATAGATGCAACAACACTGTTTTGCCATCACTTATCTTGTGTTTTTGTCAGTATTCAGGGTGCCATCTCAGTAGTAATATAACCTTGCCCTACTTAAGTACCAGTCAGCATCATGTCACTATGTGATGTGCCAGTTTTGATATTGAAACAGTGATCATGGTGGCATTGTCGTGATGTAATATTTCTGCTTCACTCGTCTTCAGTATACTGCCAGTCGGTACTGTTTGGGCGGACGCGCACTCTGAAGCGCCGTCGACCGCCATGGAGGCGTCGGCACCGGCGGTTCTGGGTGAACCCGTGAGCGACGATCCGCTGGCCGAGCAGCTGCACCGCGCCACGCTCTCCAACCGGCCGCGCCGCGTGCGTCGCTGCCTGGCGCGCGGCTGCAGTGCCAACGCCGTCAACGCCGCCGGCCAGACGGCGCTCTTCTGCGCCGCGTTCGCCGCGCGCCAGGCGGCCGCCGGTGAGCTGCTGCGCGCCGGCGCCGACCCAAACGCGCGCTGCGACGGCGGATACACAGCCGTGCACGGCGCGTGCTTTGCCGGCCAGCGTCGTCTGCTGCGCCGGCTGCTGGAGTGCGGCGGCGACCTGCGCCTGTTCGACCTGGCTGGGCGGCGGCCGGCTGACTGGGCGCGCCTACAACCGGACCCGCTGCGCCGGCGCCGCACGCTCCAGCTGATCGAGAACGCCCGGCTGGCGGCCATGACGTCGTCGGGCCGCGACGCGCTGCTGGAGCGCTCCAACAGCTTCTCGGGCAGCGGCGGCGGCACCGTGCGCGGCCTGCTGCGCCGCCTGCTGCCCGGCGAGTCGCCGCGCCGCGTCACCGCGGGCTACGACCAGGTGGACATGGCCGACCTCGTGCGCTCGGTGCAGTCAGTTGGCTTCGGCGCCGTCTACTACGGCGGCGGGGAGGCCAAGCCGGGCGCCATGGCTGTGCTGCCGCTGGCGGCCGAGCGCGCGCTCGAGCCGGACGGCGGCGCGCGCTCGTACACGCTCGGCGCCTACACGGAGATGGCGGCGCGCCTGTACCTGGGCGCGCCCGTCTCAGTGCGCCGGCTGCTGGAGCGGCCGCCGGCCGGCGCGCACCGCGACCTGCTGATCGCCGAGCTGGAGGCGGCGCGCCGGCTCCACCACCCGGCGCTGCTGCTGCTCATGGCCGTCTGCCCGTCCGACAACCTGGACGGCGTGGCGCTGGTGTTCGAGCGCGTGCCGCTCGGCTCGCTGCACCACTGCCGCTACCGGCGCGGCCTACGGCTGGGCGCGCGCGCCGCCGCTGAGCTGCTGCTGCAGGTGTGTGATGCGCTCCAGTTCCTGCACGCGGCGCGCTGGCTGCACTGCGCCGTTACCTCGCACGCCGTGCAGCTGCTGTCGCCGACGCGCGCCAAGCTCGCCTGCCTGGAGCACGCGCTGAGCCTGGCAGCCGGGCCGCCGCGGCCGCAGCGCCGCCTGCTGGCCTGCCGCGCGGAGGGCGCCCTCTACAACTGGCTGGCGCCCGAGGTGTTGCGTGACGGCGTGCCCGGTGAGCCAGCCGACGTCTACTCGTTCTGCGCGCTCACCTGGGAGCTGATGCACGGCGAGCCGCCGTGGGCCGAGCTCACCTCTGACGAGATCAGCGCGCAGGCGGCCGCCGGCGGCCGCGCGCTGCCGCTGCGGCCCGAGGTCTGCCCTCCGGTGCTGCGCGACCTCTTGGAGCTGGGGCTGCGCGCCGAGCCGCAGCAGCGCGACCTCCAGCTGGACGAGGCGCGCTTCATGCTCGGCAGCTACCGAGACGGCGCGCGCCAGCGACAGCGGCCGCGGGCAGTGGCGGCGGACGCAGGTGCCGCCGGCGGCGCGGCCCGCCACGCCCGGCTCTGAGAGCCGCGGCCGCGTCAAAGCCCCGGCGCCGCAGCCCCCGCGGCAGTCGCCGGCCACAACGCCGGCCGCGAAGCCGGCCGCGCCGCGCCTCTCGCGCACGCTCTCGCCGCCGGCGAGCACGGCGCGACCGCGCGAGCCGTCCCCGGCCGGCCTGGACCCGTGGACGGGGCTGCGGCGAACCGGGCGGCACGCTCGCAGCGCCACCTGGCAGAGCCCGCCCGGCGGCTGGCGTGAGGAGACGGCCATCAAGCCGGCCAGCCACCGGCTGACGCGGCACGGCTCATCGTGCTCGCTGAACCGGCGGCCAGCGGCCGGCGCCTCACCCTGGCCGCCGGCGGAGCGCGACGGCGAGCCGTCGCTCGCCGGCTCGCCCGCCTCCAGCCGCCAGCACAGCCTCCGTCTGGACGGACAGGTACAGCGCGCGGACGGTGCGCTGAATGGGTGCGCGCGCCGGGTGCACGCCGCCGCGGCACTGGTGGCGTTGGCGGCACTCTGGGCGTCGGTCGGTCTTGACCTCCTCGCCGCTTTTATCCTCTGTTCCGTGTGCAGCACGGCAGTCTCTCGCAACTCGGTGGTGGTTGGAGAGTGGCACGTAGCCAGGGGTGCTGTGAGAGCAGCCAGCTAATATCTGCTGTACTCTGCATGGCGCTGCTGGTGCTGGGTGCTCAACAATGCATGAACGTGTTCGTCTGCCTGGGGTTACGTTTGAAGCATGAACCGTCTAAATTATCGGAGTCGTCGTTTCCCCAGTCCTTCATTGTGATGGTTTACTCGAAATGTAACCTATGGAAATCTGGCACTGCTCTTTTTCTGAGTATGTTCGCAATCTCCCTTGTGCGTATATCATACAAGCTGAACAACACACGCAGCTGATGTCCTGTTAACCGATCTCACATCGGTTTGTAACGAACCTCTGTGACATTCAAGTAAGCTGTGCAGCTGTTGTGTACACACTAAATGATGTCACAATTTACACCTTGCTCTAGAAATGCTTGGAGCTGATATGGTTGATGATTGATTTGGCTTGCGCAGAATGGCGTCTTTCATTCCTATACGATGCATTTCTTTCATTATTTGCAACATCGCACCAATTTTCTGGTGTAAAATGCCCCTGATAATTTTTTCCACAAAGAAAACGGACAGGTCTGCGCTGGAACCTGTCGAGGCAGATTATTTAGTAACGGTAAATACATCAGTGTCATAAGACGTGGAGCTGGTGCGGTTTACATAATTGTATTTTTAAAGCATAAAGATATTGCTGACGTACGGTTATTACGCACTTGCTCGTTATCATTTGCTACAATGCTTAACGTTGAAACCCGAATCAGGCCCGGCTGCTACAACGTTCATTGTCATTTGCTGCAATGTTTCATGTTGAAACCCGAATCAGGCCCCGCTGCTACAACGTCACCATATGTGACACACTGGGCACTGCTCCGCCCAGCCACACGTTTTTGCTCTGAACTGGCACGGCTGCGTGGTGTGTGTGCGTGTGTGCAGTGCTCTAGAGCATGCGGCGGTGCCTGGCATCCCCTCTCCTGTGACGGCATGCGTGCGCGGCATGCCTCCAGATGCCACGCCCTCCGCACTTCAGCCCCAGCCCCAGCGTCAGCGCCAGCGCTGAGCCGAGCCTGAGCCAGCTGATGGCTGAGCTGGAGCTGCACGACCTGCTGCCGAACCGCGCCGAGCCGCAGGCACCGCCCGCCCCCGCCCCCGCCCCCGCCCAGGTCCGATCCGCCGTCCGGCCAGACCCGCTGCATGACCCTGTGACCGTTCAGGCCCGGCCCGTCAGCCCCGTGTGTAGCATGTGGCGGCTGACTCCTCGACAGTCCTCGTGTGGTGTCCGGGTACTGGGCGGCGGTTAGTCACGGGTGGCGGTGCATCAGCCGGCCGCCTCGTCGGCTCCCACATCCGGCCCACTGCTCCGTTGCCCCGCCCGCACGCTCGTGGCACGCACACGTACTCCCGAGGCGTGCCTGTCACTCGAAACACACCGGACGGACATTTGTTCAATGGGTTATCAAGCTGGCATCCCGGCTTCCTCTCGGCCTGTCTCCGGCACATAACGTGGTCGCACTCCTCCAGCGAGGGACCCCGTCTGACCCCGAAAATTCGCCATCGAACCTTGCCACTAGCGACTGAAGGCCGCTGGGATGTCCGTGACTTGCTATTCCAAAGGCAACCCGCCGAGGCATGTCCGTTGTGGTCGTGGTATCCTTGGGAGTGTTCTCCCTGGCAGTTTGTGGCCGACGTTCTCTATTCGTCGGTGATTTCCCGTTGGTTTGATTTTGTCCTGTCTCGCTCCGTGATCCTCATGAATGATGACGCCATTCGGCGCTCCTCATGATACTCATCCCTGGCGGTGTCCTCTGTGAAATGATTCCTGTTTCCTGCAGTTTTTGCACGTGATCCCCATAGATGGCTACGCACAGCGCGCTGCGTGTAATAGTTGCTTTCATGCGCTCGGAATGTGTTTGACTAACGTGAGTTTGGTTTTGTTGACCGGTTCGTCTACATCTAATTTCGTAGAATGACTACCATTCGCGTAGCTTCGCAACACCGTGGTGCGTATGGCTAATTTGCTGCGTTACTCCACGCCTGCCCGCCTGATTTCAGGATAACCCGCTCAGTGCTGCGCAGAAGTATGGCAAAGCGCGCTTCAACCCACCAACCTCCACCACGCATTCCTTGACGCCGCTGCGAGTCGATCAGGCGGTGCGGTCGCTGCCGAGGCTGGGGCCGCTCGTGTCGGACACCAGGGGTGTCAGTCGGGTGCGGCCGTCCCACCTGCCGCTGAGGGCGGCCAGCGCCCCGCGTAGGCTCCGCGAGACCGGGCTGCAGGCCCCCGCCGCCGGCGCGGAGATGGCCAGCCAGACGTCCGGCGAAGACCGCAGCAACGGGCCGTGGAACAGCAGCGGCTCGAGAGCGACCCTGTACAGCAGCGACTCGGGACCGGTGCCGAACGGCATCCGCCCTGGACCAGTGCCGAACGACAGCGACAGCGGGCCCGTTCCAAACAGCACGAGCAGTGGAAGGGTCCCGAACAGCAGCAGCAGTGGACCAGTCCCAAGCAGCAGCAACAGTGGAGTGATTCCAAACAGCAGCAGCTCTGGCCTGTTCCAAAACACTAGCAGCACCGGAAAGACGCAGACGGCCCTGAGCGACGACCAGATGAGCTCCTACAGCAAGCGCAACTTCGCGGCGCGGCGCGAGTTTTTCAGCGGCCGCTGGCCGCGTGGCACAGCCCACAGCCAGTCGGACAGCGCGCTGCGTCTCCCGCAGGGTGTGCGCCTGAACCCGGCGCTGCTGCTGCGCCGCGATCTGCCGCCGCCGCCGCCGCCGCCGCCGCTGCTGACCTCATCGCCGACGGTCGAGCGGGCGCTGCCGCTGGACCTGCCGCGGCCGTTCCAGCGGCCGGCCGGCCAGGTAAGCCGTGTGGCGTGCCCGGTCCAACAGCGGCCGGACGCAGGCGGCGCGCCGCCGCCCCCGGGCGCCGCCACGTCCACCCCGCAGCGGCCGGCGCCGGTGGTGGGCGGGCCCGAACCGCCGGCAATCTCATCGCTCTCGTCGGGCGCCGGCAGCAGCACGGCCAACGGGCACCGGCTCAACGTCACGTTCCACGCGCAGGTGCTTGAGTTCCCGCCGCCGGCGCCGGCGGCGGGGCGCGACTCGCCGCCAGCGGACGAGGCACAGTACTACGACGACGACCTGGCCAGCCCGGACGTGCAGCAGCCGCACCTGCAACTGCTGCCGGACGCGGAACCACCACCGACACCGCCGCCGCTGCGGCCGCCGGCCTACGCCTGCCTGGACGACGACGGCCGCGCCTCGCCACTCAGTATGGAGCTGCCGAGCAGCGCGGCCGGCAGCGAGCTGGACGGCGACGAGCCGCCGTCCGGGGATGAGTGGGTGCCGCCGCCGCCGCCCACACCGCCGTCCGAGGACGAGTCGACGCCGCTGACGCCGCTGCACGTGTCGGAGAGTGGCGACAGCGAGGACGGCGAGGCGCCGCCGGCCGGCTCGCCGTGCATCACCAGCTCGGAGGCGACGCGCTCCGACGGCAGTCGCGTGCGCCTGTTCGAGGTGGCGTGCGAGCGCGGCTACCAGACGTGCGTGTCAACGCGCGCCGGCCATGACGGCCAGTGCACGGTCACGTGCACCAACACGGCGCTGGCCGACGGCGCGGTGGAGACGTACCGCCAAACGGTGGTCGCCGACCAGGTGCAGACGCAGATTGTGGTCGCCGACCGGTAGGCGGCCGGCGGCCGGCTCCAGGGGTGGGCGACCTGCGGGACTGCAGGGGTGGCCGACCCGTCAGGAGCCGGGACGCCTGCCTCAGAGACCCGGCTCGCCGGGCCGCAGGGGTGGGCGACCGTCAAATGTTCTTGGGGCATGGTGATCCAGCAGTGACCGACTCACTGGGCTTCCAGCAGCGAGCAGCCGACAGGGTCCAGGGAGGTTCGTCCAGTGGTGTTGCGGTGTTGGCCCGCCCGCGGCGATCCCGTTCAGAGGTGGTGCGACTGCCTCAGCCTGTCGGTGCTTTACGGCCCGCCTACTATGTTCGGTGTCGCGCCTCCAGGCAGGGGCAGAGGGGCGGGCGCCGGTTGCTCTGTGCGTTGTCGACTCCCGAGGGTGCTAGGCTTGCTCGCCGACGGAGTCACCGTTAGGCACCAACGTGGCTAACTCAAGTCCACCGCCGCGGAATGGTTTTGGTGAAGGTGTGCACGTTTTACGCGTTGGGGTGGGAGATGAAATGTCCAGCATTCCTAACAACACCCTTAGCTGCATTTTAGCTGTGATGAAGGCAACACGGACAATTTAGATGCGCTTATTTTGTCATTTCAAATCCGACGCACGCTTGTTGCCTTTGTTTAGTCATAGGCTGCCGGTAGGCCCGCCATAGTCCGTCGATCCCAAAGACTAGTGCCGTCCGTGGGAGATGTCTGCGACATCGCGTTTTAGTTTCCTGATTGTAGATATGTTGTAGTTCCGATGCCAAAGAGGTTAGTCTCATTGTAGATGTGTTACTGTTCTCAGTATTAGCGTTGCCGTTCACTAGCGCGTTAGATTGATTCACCTGTGCTTTGTCTGATTGGCCCATCCTTTGCATTGTTGAGGTTGAGGGACACGCAATAGCCGATATTATTTTTGTTACGCAATCAAATTCTAATAAACCATGAAAGTGGACGAATGTTTATGACGAGCTGTGGCGTGAACATTGGCCAGTGAACGTGCTGGGTCGAAGCGCGCCCCGTCAAAGCACCTAGCACAGGAGCGTCGCTGGAGTTAAGATGCATGGGTACCTGGCGCATGATCTGGGGTTCGAGCTAGTGCTTTTGCGGCTCCAAACACCTGCCTTAATAAAATATTGACAACTTCGGGGGTTGACCATTGGAACTGGGGACCGTGCTGCTGGGAGGGCGAGGGGGGGGGGGGGGCGTGGGAACGAGACTTCAGGAAGGGACAGCACCGGAGTTTGACAACAGCCTGCAATTCATCGTTTTCGCGTTAGGGTGGCGACTCAGACCTCACTGGCACACCGCTTACCCGGAGGTAGTGTGAGATTGTCGAAGGGAGTGGGTAGTGCGGCGGTACTCGAGACCTCTGGGTTACTGCAGTCCCCTTGACCGACATTGGTAGCTCCACAGACTGGCTAACATGCATGTGTAAACTTTTAAGTTTAAGTTTTAAGTAAATGAACGTTTAAGTACGCCCATTGAAATCCGGGAAGCAAGGGCACGCGCAGGTGCCGAGTGCGGTTAGCGGTTGTTTGGCTGGACAATGTAATTGAGCTCCGAGCTGTTCTGGTGCACATTGTGCTCTCGATGACTAAACTGAGAGCATGGGTGAATGAAATCATGTACCATGAAATTGTGCTGATATATTTGCACATTAACATAACGTAATGTAGCACGTCACAATGGGTATTATATTTTGCTAGTGGTGTTCCTTTAACTCATCAGTTCAAACTTGCGCAGTTGAGACGAACAGCTGACCGGATCCAAACATGCCAAAGCAGGTCTGTTTGGGGCTATTGTGGCCCGGATGGCGGGGAAGTACATGGGTCTTGGACATGGGCTTATTGAGTGAACTGAGCCATTATTGAAATCTGGGAATTATTTCAAAGTGTACTGGCGTATACCAGGTGGGTAAGAACTGAGTTCGCGAACAAATGAATGAACCAAGCTAAAAAGGTAAAACGACACCCACTTCAGCTCACCTTTGCTGTCATTTCATCTTCCATCCATACGCGATCCATTGTGATTTGCAATGCATATTTTTTGGATAAACCTGCTTTTTCTTTCCATCAAGTATGGCTCCAGCACCAGTTTCCAGTGTTGCCAGTGCAGGCTGTCTCCATCTTCTTGTACAGATTTACTTTTTAAAATTCCCACATTTATGTAAATATAATATCTATGTTACTATAGAAAAAGACTCAACCTTATTTTATTTTTCTAGCAGGTAAGTTGTTTTAAAATCAACTGAGATGTAACAACAACAAAACAAATGAGATCTCCTTAATTATTACCATTGCCACCACTTAGTCATGAAAAGTATCCTTTATGACAGGGAGTAATAATAATGTGGTTGTGCCCCTATGCATGCCATGCAAATTATGCAGGTGACTGATTTTCTAGCTCATCTCATTCCTATCTCTAATGGTCACAAAATTTTATTGGTGAGTACACCACCCTCTGGATTTCTGTTGTGGGTTGGCATCAGTACCTTATGTTACAAAATAATATTGTACATACATTATCTTCTGTAAAGTAGCAAATATAATAAATAATCATAAAACAGGTACATCTACACTCTTACCTTCAAACTTCAATATTCATAATGGTGAATGTTTGAGTGCTCCAGGGATTGCAACAACATAGTCAGCATGAGATTCTTCAGAGAATATGGTCTTTTGAGGGAAGTAAATGTAACCCAACCTAACCTAACATTACCATTGTCACCTGGCAAACCTTCCCACTCATTCCCCTGTAACCCATGTCCTATAAGGATCATTTTCATCAGTGTGACATACTGACATTTGACTGACCTCTGCTGTTATTGTAATTATCATATTTTGAGGGTACGATAATAAGTTGTCCATGAAATGTCTGTGTTTTATGATTGTTGATCATGTCTTATATTTCATAAACATGAATTGGTGAACAATTTTGTATTGCAGTGTCAGATATCAATGTATACCATGATTGGTCTGCCAGGTACATTGGGTCATTGCTTTTTATACATTAAATGCCTTTTCAGCAATTATGGCATATCAGGCCTAAAACTGGACCTGTCCCTTCACATCCACAATATTTCTGTTGCAGTTTGTCACACTTGGCCAATTTTAGCTCATCACTATACCTCCTCCCTTTCAGGCAGGATGGAGCATCTGCCCCCAGCGGGCACTGATGGCGGCTGCCGGAGCGGGCCAGCGGCAGCGCGCGTGCCCTTCTCCGACCTGTGTCGACTCTTTGAGAAGCTGTCGGGCGCGTCGAGCCGGGCGCGCCGGCTGCAGTCATGGGGCAGATTTCTGGCCAGCTACCGGCAGCAGCTGGCGCCAGGCGACTCTGCGCACACGCTGCTGCGCCTGGTGCTGCCGCAGCTGGACCGGCTGCGCGGCCCGTACGGCGCCAAGGAGCGCCGGCTGGCTGACCTGTACGCCGGCGCTCTGCGGCTGGGCCCGGCCAGCGCCGACGCGGACCGGCTACGGCGGCTGGGCTCCGACGGAGGCACGCAGCAGGGCGGCGGCGACTTCGCGCAGACGGTGTTCCACGTGCTGCGGGACCGCTGCCGGGCCGACAGCAGCGGCTGGAGCATGCAGGTGTGCCAACTGACAACGGCCTCTGGCCGCTGGTTTGCACGTGGGCAGTCTTGGGTGATCTTGCTCATGACGTGGTTGGAAAGAAAGGTGGTTGAGGTGGCGGAAATGTGATCGTGACTCTGTGGTGTGTTGGTAGAGTGATAGCGACCTGGGAAGGGGCTGTGACCCTGTCACTCCCCCAGTGCTGTGTTTACGGCCATGATCCTGATGTTGGGAGCGTGACTATAACCCCATGCTGGGATTGTGACACCGACCCCGGCCGGCAGGACGTGGACAGTCGGCTGACGCAGCTGGCTGAGCGTCACCAGTCGTCGGACGTGGCCGGTGTGAAGGCCGTCATGGACGAGCTGGTGCGCTCACTGTCGGCCCGAGAGCAGCTGTGGCTGGTCCGCATCATCCTGGGTGAGGTATGACGCCACTTGCATCACCTTTGGACCCATTCACCACCATTTGGAGGCATGGCTCTGGGCACCTCACTGGAGGACCCACCATATCACCGGCCAGATGTGGTGCTGTGTACCGGACTCTGTAACCCCGCCGCCATCATCGGGAGAAAACATGGTACTGCTTTCCTCACCCCAGACTACCACATGCCTGGGAAACACAGGAAGGGCATGTGTATGCTCGCTCATCCCTACCGCACGCGCAGCAGCAGCCAGCTGCCTGATTTGCCATTCTGTGTGTGCGCTGCTCGCCGCCGTCTTCGTTGTGCGGGGCCATCGTTTGCGCCGTCCTCACCTCGCTCGCCGTCCGTCCGCCGACAGATGCAACTGGGCGTGGGCAGCACGGCCCTGCTGAACGCCTTCCACCCGGACGCGGCCGAGCACTACGGCGTCACGTGCAGCCTGCTGCGGGTGGCCGCCGACCTGGCCGAGCCGGCCGAGCGGCGCGCCGGCCCGGCCGGGCGTCGTCCGCGCACCGGCGTCACCCTCTTCACGCCGTTCAAGTGAGGTGCCGCCGGCGGCCGGGCGGGCGGACTGTCTGACTCGGCCCTGTGGCCTCAAGTTGGCGCCGTCCCTGGTCCCGTGTACTTGGATCAGGCGCTGTCTGCCGTCTTGTGAACTCAGCTCAAGAGCTCCTTCTGCCCCGGCGCTGCCTTTACCCCGGCGCTGCCTCAGCTTTTGTGGCCTTGGGTCACGTGCCGCCTCTGCCCCAGCGCTGCCCCTGCCCTTGCAACCTGGGGTTAGGCTGAACACCTGCCTGTCTGACCTCAAGTCGAGTATCGCCTCCGCTCTGGCGGGCTCAGGTCCGACACTGCCCCTGCTCCTGCCCCTGCGACCCCAGGTCAGTCAGTGGCTCCGCCCTAGCGGCCCAGGTCGGGTCTTGCTGGTTCCCGGGATCCCCAGCTGCCTCGGGATGCCGCCTGCCGGGCTTCGAGTCAGACGGCTGTCCGCTGTCCGGCAGGCCGATGCTGTCCGAGCGCTCCGGCCTGGGGTCGGTCGACAAGCAGATGCGTCACAAGCCGTTCTTCGTGGAGCCCAAGCACGACGGCGAGCGCGTGCAGCTGCACAAGGACGGAGAGAAGTGCGTCAGGAGGGGCGGACGGCCGCACGCCAAGGGTAGCCGCGGGGTTGATCACGTACAGGGCGCCATTGGTGACCATGCAGCTTAATGCTGGTGGTGAGGTCAGGTGACGTGCCCAGCGTTGCCACCAGCTTGCAATGTATTGGGTATGGTGCACAATCCATTTGTGCCTCACAGGAGCGCGGCAGCGGAAATTCGGAGCTGTGTATTCATGAGTACATGCTAATCTTTGGGCGCTGCCTCTCCCGTGCGACGTCCACTGCCCGATAACCCGCGAGCTGAACGGTTTCCTACGGTTATCTCGCAGCCTAGGTCATGGTGGTTACATTACCTCGGTGGCGTGGATCGAAGCCTGGCACTGACCGGGCGCCGGTGCCGGCTGTCGCAGGTACATGTTCTTCTCCCGTGGCGGGTTCGATTTCACCGCCAGCTACGGCGCCTCGCCGGCCGCCGGCTCGCTGGTGCCGCACATCCACCCGCAGTTCAACGCCTCTGTCCGCTCCTGCATCCTGGACGGCGAAATGCTGGTCTGGAACGACATCGAACGACGAGTAATCGTCAAAGCCGAGGCGCCGGACGTGAAGAAGCTGCGGCCTGGCGGCCGGCTCCGCCCGCTGTTCGTTCCGTTTGACCTGGTCTACTTCAACGGCGAGCAGCTCACGGACCGGCCGCTCAGTGAGCGTCTGAGCAAGCTCAAGTCCGTATTTCGGCCGCTAGAGGGCAGACTAGACGTGAACACGCGCATTGAGGCGTCAACGGCGGAGGAGGTGAGTGAGGGCCGAGCTTGTTTTCGTTGTCAAGGCGCCGTTGTTAGCTGCACTGCCGTGTTCAAGGCTGGTGTCCAGTTGTCTGCTCTTTGACAGCACAGTGGGATGGGGGTGGGGTGATGCTGCATCACCTCCAAGCTGGTTTCAGGGTGAAAGACGATCCGACTGAAAGAGTGCGGGTGGTAAGTCTTGTTTGCTGTTTGGTGTAAATGCACGCCGATCCCGTCTTGCCTCCGGTTTGCCGCGTGCGATCTTGTCCGTGCGTTCTATTTCGCGCCCTACACGCTGATGTCCAGCACTGTCGGCGCGCGTCAGTGCGTGCCTGTGGGTGCAGCACGTGCCCCGTTCTGCGTGACAGCGCTCTGCGCCGTCGGCAGGTGGTGAAGGCCCTGAACGAGGCCATCGACCGTCAGGAAGAGGGCCTGATCCTCAAGGATCCCACATCGATGTACTGGCCCAATGAGCGGCGTAAGGGCTGGGCGAAGGTCAAGCCTGACTACGTTAATTCGCTGGTGGACGACCTGGACATGGTCATCATTGGAGGGTGAGGCTACATGACTGAACGTGACCTGGACATCGTCACCATGGAGGGTTTAGTTGGTCTGACTTGGCTTGACGTGCATATTTGTCATCATTGACGGGAGACGACATGAAGTCAGCCAAATGTGTTTCGATCGAGACATTGTTATCATATTAGGGCTAGACTACTCAATCTGACCTCTTCATTGAAGGTGTGACCTGACGCGACCTGGCCTGGCTTGAGCTGATGATTGCGGCCAGAGGCGGACGGCGATTCCGCTCTGACTGTGTTTTTGTTGCTGATTCGCCCACAGGTGCTGCCAGCTATGCATGTCGTCAGAATACAACTAAAGGCGCTTACGAGTCACGTGACGTGCACTGAGGTCGTTTAGTTGAATCTGTCCGGTCTCAGGGCTGATGAATGCCGTCGGCTGCCGTTGGCTGCCACGCAACAGGGAGACAGACCACCGGCAGGTACTGAGGCAGAGGTGTCTGGTGGGGGACCGCCTCCTGTGAGTGTCACGTCTGATAGAGCCCGGCTGCCGGCAGGTACTGAGGCAGAGGTGTCCGGTGGGGGACCGCCTCCTGTGAGTGTCACGTCTGATAGAGCCCGGCTGCCGGCAGGTGCTGGGACGGGAGTGTCCGGTGGGGGACCGCCTCCTGTGAGTGTCACGTCTGATAGAGCCCGGCTGCCGGCAGGTGCTGAGGCAGGAGGTGTCCGGTGGGGGACCGCCTCCTGTGAGTGTCACGTCTGATAGAGCCCGGCCGCCGGCAGGTGCTGGGACGGGAGTGTCCGGCGGAGAGCCGCCTCCTGTGAGTGTCACGTCTGATAGAGCCCGGCTGCCGGCAGGTACTGGGGCAAGGGTGCGCGGCGGGGGACAGTCTGTCAGTTCCTGCTGGGCGCTGCCGAGCCACCGGAGCGGGACGGCGAGCATCCGCAGGTGTTCCTCTCGGCCGGCTGCGTGAGCTCAGGTGCGGTCTGACCCGGCCTTACGCACGCCTCTCTCGGCCTTTCAGGCTCGATGGCGGTGCTTGGTGAACGGTGACTGCGGTGACTCATACTCCTCGTGCGCATGTGCCGAATGCGCGAGCGGTCCAGATAGGGATGGGTTCCCGATATAAGACCAGAAGGATCACATAAGTATAATTCGGATGTGAGGCAGTACAACGACCGGATCGTGTTCACTCGAAATCCCTGATAACTTCCTGCCGCTCACTGTTTAGCTATGGACCGCTGTCGTAGCATGGACCACCGTCGGACTGCGCCGCGCGGAGAGGGCGTGTGCATTTCGATCATTTTGTTCGCCGTTTGTCGAATGCTCCGATCAGATGGTGGTCTTAAGACGCATTACGAATAGTTTGGCCGCATACCACACGTTACGGCCGTCACTACGGGCGCGCCAGGTGGCCGTGGCATGCCCGCTGGCCGTCTGTACACCGCGGCCCCCACCCTCCACTGTCGCTCAGGTCACTAACCGACCGCGGCGTCGGCTTGTGGCGGCAGGCATCACGGACCAGCAGCTGCATCAGCTGCTGCAGCAGCTGATGCCGCACATGCAGCGGACCCGGCGGGACGGCCGGCCGCCGCCCTCTCTGCGCTGGACGCGAGAGAAGCCGGACCTGTACATCGAGCCCAGCCTCAGCCGGGTGCTGCAGGTGGGGCGCACGCCCTCTGACCGTGGGCTGGCGAGGGTGTGACGGCGTGCTGGGGGTGTGAGAGGGGGACTATTCTAACTGTTGAGTAGCAGCGCCGCCGACCCGGCTCAAGACTTTTGGCCTTTCGCTGTTTAAACTAAAGCTTTTGACCATCTCTGTTGTAGCGAACTCTTCCTGACATATGAAGCACCAAAATTATATTTTACACCAGCAGTGACAACGACAGCAGCCTCTTGCTTCACTTAATCACATGCAGGGCCCCCTGCCCGGCATATGCGTGTACAGACCAGTTTTATCAGCCGAGCGTGTGCAGCCAGTGAAGAGGCCAGCTCACCTGTCGCACGCACGTCTGTGCCGCGCACCGTGACTCTGCGGCGCCTGACTCCGTGGCTGCCGCGTGATCCCAGGTGAAGGCCACGGAGCTGGTGGAGTCGTCGTCGCACGCGGCCGGCCTGGTGCCGCGGTTCGCGCGCGTCGTCAGCGCGCGGACGGACAAGGCGTGGCACGAGTGTGTCACCACCACTGAGCTGCGACAGCTGCGCGAGCGCGCCGGCGGCAAACTGGCCGCCGGACACCTCCAGGTCAGCGGAGCTGGCGCCGGCGGCCGGCTGCGTTCCGCGCCGTGTGTCGTGGCCCTGGCTCTCAGGGTGTCTTGTCCACAGCGTGCCTTGGTCCTGGCTCCCAGCGTAACCCCGCCTGCCGCATTTGGTGGCCCTGCCCTTAGTTACTTCTTACCGAAGAGTGCGGTGCTCCTGGCTCCCAGTGCCCCCTTTGTCCACACTTTGTGTTTTCCCTGGTCCTCGTTGTGCAGCGTCCCTGGCCCCTTGCCTGCAGTGTGCAGCGCCCCTGGCTGCCAGTGTGCCTCTGCCCGCAGCATGTGGTAACCTCGGCTCCCAATGCACGTCATCCTGATATGTTAACCGTGGTACTCCGTGTACTCCCGCCCGCAGTCGGTACCGGAGCGGGCCCCGGCTGCGCGGCGCACAGTGGCGCCCTCTCTGCCGGCGCACCTGCGGCCGGCAGACCTCAGGGACGTGCGACCCGCCTCCACCCGCCTGGCCGGCCGCCAGCTCTGCGTCATGACCTGCGATGGCCCCGGGTACGTTCGGCCGGGCGGCGCCGTCAGTCCAGAACCGGCGATGGCTCCTCCCAGGCGGAGCTGGTCGTCGGGGAGATACTGCGCGTTCCGCGGTTTTGTTTTACTGCGTTTCTGTTTCGGTGGCGTTTTTCTCAGAGAAACATTAGTTGGTTGCATCGGGCTTGGAACTGATTGAACAAGATAGCAGTTTGTGGTCTGCTAAAAAGAAACGTAAGTAGCGGTTTTTCCCCAAAAGGCTTATTGCGGAGCTTCAAAATCTATTTCCACTACACTCTACACCTTCAGCTAGATGTATGCATCAGCCATCTTGAGACCGATTATCATCACCGACGTTGACTGAAGTGGTGGGCTGTAGTTACGATAAGTCATTTCCTTTCTCGTAGCCAATCATTTTCACCAATTATTTGTCACAAAAATGACCAATATTGCTAACCCTTGCCATGAAAAACTTCAGAACCCCGAAAAAACTTTGTGTGTGTGTGTGTGTCAGTGGGGCTTTCCGACGTACTCAGCAACTGAGGCTATATGGCATCGCCCGCCTCTCACCCTGGCAGGAAGGGCGGGCACCGCGGGGAATCGAACCCCGTACCTCTGGTTTCCCAGACGCATAGTGGTTAACGCAGATGCAGAAGAAAAACCAGAACCAAATCAGATTCTGGCCTCAAATTTGGCCAGTCTTGATTGAACCTAATTGAAGAGGAACCTTTTTTGTTGATGCCCGCTTCTGCACCACGGCGTTGTCTTTCCTCCAAGATGGTTATCCTCGCCATGAGAAACATTGCGCTGCAACTTCCAGCTGCACGGGCGAAATAACCTTCAAATATCTCGTCTCCGGAGCGACTTACTCCTCGGTTGCTTGCCTTAAGAAAACGTCCACATTTGAGATCATGCGTGCCATGCATTGGCGTTGAATTGGTCATGTGAACTGGTTGATTCACGTTGGTAAGTTGTCGCTTGGAGTCTTTCGATACAGAAAGGATAATGTAAACTTTTTACAGACACGATTTTTGAGCAATTCCGTTTCGTTGTTGGGTACCTGTTTCTGTGAAGTATGCAAAAGGAAATGTTAACGTATTTAACAAAGCAATAATGGTACATCATTCCTGGCTCTCTGTACACCTTTCTGCGAACTCTGCTGTCGTGTTTGGCCTCACAGACAGCGAAAACCCCCTCGGTGATGCAGTTGCTTCGCTTCCATCACCAGGGCCAAGCAGGAGCTGGAGCGGCTGATCCACGGTCTGGGCGGCAGTCTGACGCAGAACCCCACCAGCGATACGTGGTGCGTCATCGCTGATCGCGTCGCTGTCAAGGTTAGTTCCAGCCACCCGACCCCAGCGGGCCGCCGCCGCTGGCGTGTCACTTGACATCGTTCGGGCGTGGCTCTAGGTGTGATCGCTGCTGCGGATTTTCAGTAATAAGTGCGGAGCCAGCTCTCAGAGCCCATTGTGGTGTCGGCAGGAGCAGTCGATGCTCTCTCGCGGCCATTTCCCGGTGTGGTGTCGGCAGGAGCAGTCGATGCTCTCTCGCGGCCATTTCCCGGTGTGGTGTCGGCAGGAGCAGTCGGTGCTCTTCGCGGCCATTTCTCGGTGTGGTGTCGGCAGGAGCGGAGTGTGATTGCCAGTGGCCGCTGTGACGTCGTTCGCTCGGCCTGGGTGCGCCGGGCTGGCTCCGGCCGCCGCCTGCCGCCGTTCGCTCCGGCCGAGATCCTGCACCAGACACCGGCCACGGCGCTCACCACCCAGCTGCACTACGACCAGCACGGCGACAGCTACGCTGAGGACGTGGACGGCGACCAGCTGCGCGCCCTGCTTCAGGGTGAGTACCGCGCCACTGCACCGTGTTGCTGTGCTGTGCGAACGGTGGGGGGGGGGGGGGGGGGGGGGGGGAGGGGTGCTGTATCACTGTGCTAGCGCGACATGACGCGCCTGTGACCTGAAGCTTTCCGCGAAATTTGGGTATTGTGGCGCTTCGTCTTTGATGATCGTGTTTGGTACAGGCATGCCTACCGGTGATGACATGGACGATGGATGTGGAGTCAGCAGCTGATGCTGCTCATGTGTGCATCTGTGACAAAGGAGTGTCGCTGATGGTTTTTTTTGTGTCGCATATGACTGATAGGCGTCTCCGTGACGGTGGTCGTGACGGCGGCGCAGCTGACCTCTGGCGCAGTTGACCTCTGAGCTGTGAGACTGACGCCCGTCCCCGTGGCGCAGGGATGCCGTCCGAGCCCAGACCGCTGCCCAGTCCTCCGCCAGAGCTGACCGCGCTCTTCGAGCACGCGCCCTTCTCGCTGCTGGCCGGGTGCCGCTGCTTCCTGGCGCCACCGCTGCACGGCGCCACCGTCGCCGGTCTTCTGCTGCGGCTGCACGGCGCTCGGCTGGCGCTCCAGCTGGACAATGACGTCAGTCATGTGGTCACCGCCGGGGACACGGATGAGCTGCGCACGCAGAACCGCCTCCGGTCGCGTAAGTTCCACCTGGTTTCGGAGCGCTGGGTGGAGGAGAGCATTGCACAGGGTCGATGGGCGGACGAGCGTGCCTTCCCGCCAGGCTCCTGCCTAGTGGTGCCGCGGCCCTGATGGTGTCGGGGATGGAGAGCGTGCCTTCTGCACTCTCTGTTTGGTGGTGCCGCGTCCTCGAAGGTGCTGGGAACGAAGAGCGTGCCTTCCCCCTCCGTCTGGTGATGCCGCGTCCCTGATGGCGCTGGGAAGGGAGAACGCGCCTTCTGCGCTCTCTGTCTGGTGGTCTGGTGGTGTCACGCTCCTGACAGTGTCGATGGGAGTGCGTAGGGATATCGGCGAGTTTTCAGAATAGGGGGCCACGTATGTGTTGTGATATTTGATCCGCACGTGATTTTTCATTAGCGGCTTTACAATATTTCGAGCACTTTCGGATTCTTCGTAGTGTTTGTGTTATTTGATGTCTTTAATGACAGTTCCCAATACTTTCGAGTTTGACACTAGTCCAGCGGATGTATTAGTCGCTCGCATAATGCTGCTGTGACATGTTGGCTTGGTAAAGAAAGCGCTACCTGATGTAGGTTCATGCCATGAGGTTTCAGCAAGTGGGCGTGATAGTTGAGTCGCTATTTGAGTCGACGTTTAGGCATTCACTGTTCTGTTTTTTTTTATCCCGCGGCGTTGTGCGCGCCTTGATTTGTTCGCAGTGTCGCGTGTCGCACTGTTCTTTCAAGAGACCGCTTATATTGCCTACTTGTTTGGTGTTAATATATTGTTGAGTGACGAAACTAAATCATGGCTTGTATAAAAAGATGAGGTGTGAAGTTTCACCTTATTGTCCAGCAAAGGAAAACTGCGCAACCGATACTGGACCGATCATCGAAATACTGTGGTTGATAGGACACCAGGTGGTGTTTGGTCCACTTCCACTTGCTGAGCAAGGCTCGCAAGGGTATGTATAACTGCTGACGCACTGAAGCCCCACCACCGGACGGCCACCGCTGTTGGTGCACACCCTCGTATCGTGCGGCGAGGACGATTCCAGCGCCACATCCGCACAAGGCTGCCGCGAAATACCAAATGACGTCAGAAGGATCACGGGCTGAAGCAGATGAGGTCAGGAGCCTCACGGTGGGCTCAACCAGAGGCCCATTTCCGTCTTACGGTCTCTTGGGGATCTAAGGACCACTTATGGAGCCTTTCAGCTGAGCTGAGACTGTACAAAACACGAAGGTCAGGAGGAATTGCTTGATGCTTGATGCAAGGGCCTTTGAGGTCACTTGTAACGTTTCAGTTTCCCAGAGTACGAGCACCGTTAAAGGTTCTGAGCATTTGCATGTTGCGTTTCAGCGATTTCTTGACATCCTTTAGCTAGTAATTTCCCTCATGTTAGACGCCGGCTATTGTGACCACGCAAGGTCAAATCGGAAAAAAACACTGCTTAATGAATTCACTGCTTACATCTAATATGGTCTCCAATGTCCTGGTATTCTGATTCCTCATAACCAGTGTGCTCCGTGCAGGGAAGTAGTTTCGTAAAATGAGTTCGGGGGTTGCAAGCAGTAAAAAATGACGAAACCTACCACCGACACACACAAACAAAACGGGCTTCTCCTCGGCACTTAGCCCACGTTCTTCTCAAAGACGAGAGAGGGGGCTGGAGCCCCTCCGCGGCTGAAAAGGAAACTGCATCCCTGCCTCCGCGCCACAGCCGCTGTCCGGGTCCGCGCAGCGTGTCTCTGGTGTCGGGCCTAACATGTCTCTTCAAGTGTCCCAGCCGGCTGCAGCGCTGCTGGCGTCCGGGTCTGCATTGCCGCCACTGGTGTCGTGGTTTTCTTCAGCACTGCCAACGTCGATTGTTCTGGCCTTCTTCGCCTCCAGTAATATTTGCACCTGCCTGTCTCGTCATAACCGTTGCCCGGGTTAGTGCGTCGTTGCCAGTGTTCTCTTGGCACCGACAATGCACTATCGGTAGTTCCCGGCCTTGTCCCTGCCACCGACGGTATCTTGGTGACCGGTTGCGATGTCTGCTGGACACTACCAGCGCGCAGGCCCCCGGCCGCCGGGCACGCAACATCATTTAGACTCAGCCACGTTAAATGATAGGCATTATGACCCACCTGCTCGCATGGAGTGAAAGGTGGTCACAAGTATTTTACCAATTTTTGGCAAACGGACCAAGATGATTGTTGTCCGTACCCACGCCACAAGCGGTGAATATAGGTGCACAGGAAGTGAGGTGCGCCCCAGCTTAGTGTCCCAGTGACGTCATTTTCGGACCTTGACAGAGTATTATTTTATGCACGCGTACAGTTGACACCTTGGAACATGCGGCATTCACATCAACATTTCGCGCGACGGCGATGTGTTGTTTTAGGCGGTGGTGGCACGGGCAATAATATACTGGGTTTGATACCATTAAAAAATCTGCTGCTATTTCCATGTGCCTCAGCACAAAGGATATTGCGCATTTATGATGCAGAAATGTTTCTACAGTGGTGAGAAGAAAGCTTGCGTTCATATATTGGGATCTGCACACCTGACGTAGCCCAGTTGGCGAACATAGATTGTTTTTAACGTTCAGCTTCGAAATGAATACAGATGTGATCAATTCTCTTGAGAAAGTGGGACCAGAACATATTGAGGAGCTCCTCAACAGATTATCAAACCAGGTGAGTTATGATGCATCAGTACATACTGCCTGAATCTATACTGGGTGTCACAGGCTCTGTTTTGGAGAAATATGTAGTGCTCTATGTAATATTTTAAAGCTTCCTGAACTTTCAATTTCATCAGACTTTTGCATGGACCATCAAAGGTATACCAAGACATGTTTGTTGGTCATACCAATTTGGTAATGAAACAGGTTTTGTAGGTTATTCAAATGTGGTAGTGAAATGTAGTTGGCCCAGATGTGCTGTGATATGTTATTGGAATTATAATGAGTTGTCTTTTGCATGAAATCATGCTCAGCTGATGTCAGTCAATTGCAAGTCATCTAGCACAAGAAATGTCAGAATATCTGGGGTGTTGCTTGTGCTCATTGACTTTTGCATAATTATTTGTTTGGTTGTGTTTGTTTACTTTTGATTAAAGGTGTGATATACTGCATGATGTGACAAGTAGATAAGTGGTAAAAAGCTGTCAGGTTTGATCATGTAGGCATCTGTAAATAATGCTCATGCTGAAGTTGGATGATCAGAGTTTTGTTGAAATCAAAGTTTGCACAAACCACTTGGTTTAGAAAACTGGTTCATGCAGGGCACTTCCCAAAAGACTGCTATGATGGATGTGTAAAAATTTGATAATTGATAAAGTTATATGTGCCATGGCACCTACCAGTCATGCAGTCTCCTGAGTTTATAAATTAAGATTTTCAGGGCAGCCAAAGTATTGTTTACCCCAGTGTTTTGCAAATATTATTTAATCATTTAGCAGGCTGCTTAAGAAGGATGTCACTCAGTGTATATTCAGCCAGCCAGGCACCCCAATAAGTTGTTCATTTGGTGTCAGGTCTGTGGTGATGCATTGAAAGGATGACCTAAAGAGTCCAGCACCCATATTGGAACCTTCCTCAATCATTTTTGGGGAAGTGTGACTGCTGCTTCCAAGTGTAGCACATCTTGTTAATAGCTTCTTAAACCAGTGGGGGCTGTAAATTGCAGAGTGCATATAAATAGGCTTGTAACTTATCTTTAGTGGGCTCAATTCTGTGTTCAGGTATATTTGGACACATATTTTGAAATGAATCAGCTGTGTGACTAAAACCTAAATGAATGTGCACTTCTTCCTCTCATCCAGCTGCCATCCAAAATAAATACTTTCTCTGCACTGCACTTGGCACAAGTGTGAAGAGAGGTTGGCTCATCTTAGCTCCTAGCTCACTTTGCTGGTCATTGTATTATTTGTTTGAACCTTGAGACTTTCTTTTGCTGACTAGGCACAGGCAAGCTGAAAAGTTAAGGACCTTTGGCTGAACATCACTATTGCATGACAAAGTTGAGTTTTCCCATCATTAAGTACTGCCAACTGACTAGTCCACCTGTCACCAGTTGAATGGCGTGTTCGAGTTCCCTGAGCTGGCGGCGGAGGGCCGCCGGGAGCGGGTGTGGCGCTGCCTGTTCAGGTGGCTGGAGGCTGACGGCGCCGGCGCCGCCGTCCGTCGGGCGGCGCTCGGTCTGCTCCGCATCCTCACGTGAGTCCTCATGCCAGGCTGAGGCGGCGTCTGTCGCACAGCGCAAACCCACGGCCACGCCGACGCAGTGTCTCATACGTCCATCGCCCTATGTCGTGGAAAGGCATACTCCTCGGCGAGCACCAGCGGAATCTGTCCAGGCGCGTCCCAGGTGCCGCCACCGTTTCTCCGTGTGCTGCCGATGCTGCTGTGGCGGTGCTGGGGGTGACCGGCGGGCGGCGTGCCGGCAGCCGGGACAAGGATGGCCTGGACCGGCTGGTCAGCCGGCAGCGCGTGGAGCGGCTGGTGGTGCTGGCCGGACTACAGACACAAGACAGCCTGGAGGAGCGGCCCGACAACAACCCCGACTACACGGGTGCGTTACTGGTAACCTCAGCGACGCTGGGGCAGCGTTAGCGCTTGACGTAACGACGGTGATGTGGTGTCAGTCGCTGCGCCTCGAACGAACTGATCCCAACAAAGCCAGCATGTAGCGTCTCATGAGCATCAGGCGACGGCCCGACCGTGTGCTGACGCCATCTGCCGGCCGCAGTGGTGGAGGAGGCGGTCAAGTGCCTGTGTAACCTGAGCCACCAGAGCCGGGCGGCGCGCCAGCTGGCCGCCCAGAGCGCCGCCTGCCTGCAGGGCCTGACGCTGCGCCTGCGCGCCTTCCGCGAGCCCGAGCTCACGCACGGTGTCAAGCTGTTCTCCGTGCGGCTGCTCTTCCTGCTGGCCACCCTGTGCCCGGAGATCAGGTGAGGAGGCCAGCTGGCCACCCTGTGCCCAGAGGGCAGATGAGAGGCTGGCTGGCCACCTGTGTCTGGAGATAAGATGAGAGGATGGCTGGCCACCCTGCGTCCGGAGATCAGGCGTGGCCGACTGGCCACCCTTTGCTCGACTGGCCGGCTACCCCGCAATTCGTGACTTGGGCCTTTCTCTCCATACCAATATGCGTTGAACCGACATAATGAAGTCGTGGTATTAGCAAAGGAGCTATGCAAAGAATGTACAGACATTCATATAGACCATGCAAGTACCATGCAGCATGCATAATCACAGATTTCCCACAGACAGCGAGCAGCCGAACCTGTTTCCTTCCACCGCGAATGTCCGCTCTCAGCGGCGCGTCCGCTTGCCCACCCTATCTCACCGGGGGCCCGTCTTGACGCAGGCCAGCGCTGGTGCACGACTACCACGGTCTGACGTACATGACGGAGGTGCTGGACCTGCTGCTGAGCACGTGCATCGCCGCTCCGGCCGGCCCGGCCGACGTCAGGGTGGGCAGCCGGCGGCGGGTCAGACCTGGCCACTGCCTTCGTGATCCTGTGATACGCTTGTGGTTGTCTGTCCGTCGCAGCTGTGAGAACTTTGTGATTTGTGGTTTGCGTTTTGTTGTTCAGGGACCCAAGACGTGTTAAGATCGTTCTGGATAATGATGTTTCCGCCTTATCATTTCGCAATATCAAACTGATTGGGCGCCTCCACGTTGACTGTCCAGAAGTTCCCGGCCTTTGACCACTGGCTGAGAAGCATCTAGTCGCTTGGGCTCAATTTGCACTATCTGGCGATGTGGCTCATGTTTAAGGATTTGAGGTACAGTGACCGTGACTTCGTCGCTGTGCCACACCTTCGTGCCCACGGTGGCCAGCTGGGCTGAGCTCTGGTGAGCCTGTCACGACTGCGGCAGGCGCGGGGCGTCGAGCTGGCCTCCGAGGTGCTGAAGACGGTGTACGCCCTCTCGGTGTCGCTTGCCTCGCCCGACGAGGAGGACGAGGGCCACCTGATGCGACTGACCGAGGTGCTGCGCGAGTACCTGGTGCTGCCGCACAGCCCGGCCGACCTGCTCAAGTGAGACCCCCTTCCCCATCCCTTTCCCGATACCGAACGGCTGGTCTGGTTAGAGCAGCCTGGGGGGAGGCGCGTTGGCGTTGCCTGCATGCCGGTTGTGATACGGGATATGACGGCTTTTCGCCATGTTAGGGATTTTGTCAAACTTTCGTCGATTTTCTTAGTCTAAATTTGGCCGCGTGTTTTGCTGGAATGGCTCTTGCATCGAAGTCTTCGCTGCTGGTGGCTTGTTGCGAAGGTTCTGTTCCTGCCACCTCGGTAGATAATTCCAATACTATGGACAATTTTTTTCCAGCGAATTTTAGCATGCTGCGCAGTGCCGCGCCCTGGCCGACCGTGTTGCACTGCTGCCCTCTTGGCCAACTGCCAGTTGACCGTCAGTGTCTGGCCGCACCAGCTGGGTTTCGAAACACATCCCTCCGTGCCTGCCACACATTGGCCAGAGCGCTCGATGCTCTATCAACCGAGCTGGAAAGACGAAGACAGGCTTATCGGCACACCGGGAGCTGTACTCTACGCTCGCACCGCTCCTCGTTAGCGCGATGAAAAACTTTCTTTCGAAATTTTTGGTATTTGCGGGATGTCCCGCAGCTGTCTGAAGGATGTTTTTTCAAGTGGACGCTTGTGACGGAATATAGGCTTGGCATTATTTTGCTGGTTGTGTTGTATGCATAGACGCCCGAAACGACGTGACTAATGCTGATACGTGCCATAAGGAGGACCCTAAACCATCCCATACGGACCTAAAACTCAGACTACCATGCCATTCCTACCACGGTATGCCGGCGAGCTGTGGAGGCTCGTACTGACAGTTCAGGTCGAGCTCAGGCGGAGTGACCGGCTGAGGTTGGAGTGCGGCTGGTGACGGTGCGTCTGTGTTTCAGCTACGTGGTGCAGGTGCTGACGACGGTGCCGTCCAGCTGTTACACGGCGCTGGTGGTTCCGGAGACGGCCGGCGCCCGGGCCGACGCCGAGGGCGACACGGCCGCGCTCGACGCTGTGCTCGGCATCCTCACTGACAAGATACAGCAGGTGAGCTCACTGCCGTGTGGTGCTGGATGGGGGTGTGCTGTGCGGTGTGGTGCTGGACCGGGGTGTGCTGTGCCGTGTAGTGCTGGACTGGGGTGTGCTGTGCCATGCAGTGCTGGACTGGGATGTGCTGTGCCCTGTTGCGCTCCGTGCAGTGTGGTGCTGGGGTCAGTTGCCTACCATGTTGTTCTGTGCTGTGCTGTGATGTGATGTGAGGTTGTGGTGTGATGGCCAAGTGGCTAGCGCGTCGGGCGCCCATGTGGGGCTCGAGTTCGAATCCCGCCTGCGCCAGGTCCCTGAGCGCCGATATGGCCGACGCAGTCGATGGCGTTTCAGGAAAGGGACGTGGTGATGTGCGTCACATTCATTTAAAACGTGATGTGATGCGTTTAGCTCCTGCCTTCACCGCGCCGCATTGTGTGATGCTGTGCTTACATCGTACTTTGCTGTATTCTGCTGCATCGCGCTGTCCTGATGAGCGTACAAAATGGTCTGTTCTGCCCTTGCCGTGATCACGTCGAGCTAGCGTCAGCTGCCTGATACGGCTGAGAAGCTGTGGCGTCTGAGTGCGCCCTGCGGCTCTGTGTGACGCCTCCTGTCTCCGCCCGCCGCCGCCGCTGTCGCGCACGTGCATGACCCTAACGCCTGCCCTGGCGCCGGCCGCCAGCCGCAGTCGGCCGTCAGCCAGCGGGAGCAGCTGACGCCCGTGCTGCTGCTGCTCTGCCACTCCAGCAAGGCGTGCCGCACCATCCGGCGCTACTTCAGGGTCAAGGTGACGGCGCCGCCGGCTGGGAGCCGGCCGACGACGAGGAGCGAGCGCGGTCCGCAGCGTCTGGCTGTGGGACGGTGGACTGTGGGGGCGGGGTGTGTGATCTGTGGGCCAGTCGAGCGAGACTAGGGGGTGGGCCGTCCTGAGGCGCCGCTCATTGCTGGCACCAGGTGCCGACTGTCAGTTTGAAGACAAGTTTGGTGAGGTATGGAATGTTTATTTATTGCCGGCCCGTTTAGTGGACTTCGGTGAAGCGTGGATGTGCGGAGACGGGTTCAATTAAAGTTCTGTCTGGAACGCCAGGTGTGCTTGAGGCATTTAGAAGGCGTTACATCTGTTAGGATTTCACTTCTGACTGCGGCTTTTGTGCGCTCAGATGGGACCGACCGCGTGTGGTGGCCATGTCGAAGCATGCGCATTTGCTTGGCGCGTCCTCCAGCAGAGAACTTCGGCTGTAACCACTGTAACCGTTTGGCCGTGTTTCAGATCCTGCCGCCGAGACGAGACGTTATGCTTCGTCCCGAGCAGGGCAACTCGCTGAAGAGTCAGCTGGTCAAGCTGATGACCTCGCCGGTGTCAGAGGTCAAGGACCTGGCCGCTCACTTCCTCTTCATCCTGTGCAAGGAGGACGGTATGGCTGAGGAGCATCTGGAGGCACCGGGCTGTGGATTTCGTGGTCAAGTGTCACATTTGTGTACTGTCTCGACCCGCCCTCAACGCCGCACTTCCACGTTTGACGTCAGTGATTATCAGTTGTGCGTCTCTGACCTGGCCGCGCGGACAGGACCCACCGGAGTCCCGTTTGTCGTCAGCTGACGTCCTCGGACCGCCTGATGGGCGCCGGTGTGGTTACCGCTGTGTTAGCTCTCCCATCCATCTGGGCGCCGCGCCCGCCGCGCCCCTGGCGTGACGCTGGTTTGACTGTCAACAGTGGGGCGCTTCGTCAAGTACACGGGCTACGGGAACGCGGCTGGCCTGCTGGCGGCGCGCGGCCTCATGCTGGGCGGACCGCGCAGCGCCGGCTACTCCTCCGACTCCGACTCCGACACGGACGAGTACGTCCAGTACCGGGACAGGTCAGTACGGGGACACGGCACGGGAGAGTACGTCCAGCACCGGGGCAGGTCAGTACGGGGACGCGGCACGGGAGAGAACGCCCAGTACCGGGACAGGCCAGTACCGGGACATCCCACGGAGGAGTACGCCCAGCACCGGGACAGGTCAGTATCGGGACACCACACGGAGAAGTACGCCCAGCATCGGGGCAGATCAGTACCGGGACACCGCACGGAGGAGTACACCCAGCACCGGGACAGGTCAGTACCGGAACATGACGTGAGTGAGTACACCCAGAACTGGGACAGGTCAGCGCCGGGACTCCACACGGAGGAGTACGCTGAGCACCGGGACAGGTCAGTACCGGGACACCACACGGAGGAGTACGCCCAGCGCCGAGGCAGGCCAGTACCGGGACTCCACACGGAGTAGTACGCCCAGCACCGGGACCTGTCAGTGCCGGATCACGATGTGGATGAATACGCGCAGCGCCGGGGCAGGTCGGCACCGGGGCACCGCGCGGAGGAGTGCGCCCAGCACCGGGATAGGTCAGTACCGGAACGACGTCAGCGGTGCGATAAGTCGGAGTCGAAAGAGGTCAGTACCGGGACAGGTCAGTACCGGATCACGACGTGGATGAGTACGCCCAGTACCGGGACAGGTACCGGGACCGGGATGCCGTGAGTGGTGGGTGGAATTCAGAGCACAACGCAGCGGGTAGGCTCCATTGGTCGCGATATATTCGAGGACGCGTTTTTCCACCGCTTCGGGATGTCTGGCGGCGAGCTCCAGCTAGCGAGTGGTGTACCTGACAGTAGATTTTATTAACCACATTTCCTGTTTGTGGGTCTCGGTTTCCTCCACGTTGTGTCAGCTTTGGACGCCGCGCCAAACAACGTTAACGCACACGCACACGTGTTTCGACGCGGCCTCGCCTCGGGAGGCGGCCATCGTGGGTCCGGCCAGGACCCCGTCTGGTCGCGCCCTGCCGTCGCCACGCCGGGTCTCACTGGTGCCCTGCTGCCCGGCCAGGATGGACCCGGTCACGGGTCGGGTGGAGCCTGAGCAGTCCGACCCCATGGAGGGCATGTCCGAGGAGCGCAAGGAGCACGAGGCCGAGAAGCTGGCCAACCTCATCAGCAAGTCAATTGAGTGAGTGTGCAGTCGGGCCGCCGCCGCTGCTGCCGCCGCCTGGCGGACGGCTACGGAACGGTCTCCGTACGCACGGACGGCCGCAGGGCGTCGTTATCGGCGTGAATGCGCGTCGGTTGTGGTCGCGGCTCAGAGTGAAGCCAAACACGCGCATGATCACTGGGGACTCCATACTGTTTCGCATGGCATTATCGAGTGCCCAAACGGCCTTATCGATATACATCATTTGCATGATCGCTATCTAATTTGCGTTTGGCTCAGGCTACGTCGATTGCATGAGATCAAAAGTGTATCTGACACACATTTTAAACCTCGTCTTACAGCAGTTATGTCATCGAGTAATTCCACTCTTCGAGACTTGTTCATGTAAGGGGACGGAGAGGGAAGCGTATGACTGGCCAGCCAAGGGATGAGGGGGGGGGGGGGGGGGTGGGAAGCGTACGACTGGCCAGCGAAGCATGGGGAGGGAAGCGCATGACTAGCCAGCCGTCCTGAGGCAGACTCCGCGAGCATGGCCTGTACGCGCGTCCGCCCCGTTTTCAGCCTCGGCCTCATCCAGCCGTGTCGGATCGGGGAGGACGGCAAGCCCCACCCCATCTCCCACGTGCTGGAGCTGCAAGACCAAGCAGAGCCGGCAGCTGGCAGCGACGACGAATAGCGGCGGGCGGCGTCGGTGAGCCGTGTCCAGTCCGCGCCGCGTCCCGTGGCGGGAGCCTCGCCCTCCGCCCTCCACCGACCGCGTACCCGGCCCGGTCGACTGCGCGGGTCTAGGACCGGTCCAGCTGCCATCCCGTTCGTGCTGGCTCAGCGGGAGACATCGACGCTGCGTGCTTCGGCGCTCCGCCGAAGTCAGACCGCACCGGCGACGGTCTGAGCGGCATCAGGTCGATTCGGGCGAACGCTGCCCGGCGTGCCGTGCGCGTGGATCGAGGGTGCTTCGCGGAGCTGCACGGCGCCAGCCGGCGGGTTTCCGCTGCCGGCCCGGCCCGCTGCCGCTCGCGGCCGCTGCTCAGCCGGCGAGGCCATGGCGGCACCGCCTAGTGCCCCGCTCACATCTTCCTATAGCGGGCGCCGCGTGCCGACTGCCCCAGTGGCGTGGACGCCTCTGGCCGGCGGATCGCGTTCTCCCCGTGTCGCTTGTATTGTCATGTAGTACCTCCGTTCCCCGTCAGATGTCGGGCTGGCCCGATCCGAGCTCTGCAGTGGCGCGCTTGCCGCGACGGGTGGATGGCGCTGGTATGGTGCAGACACGGCGCACGGCCCTGGTGCTGTAGGCGGAGGGGGGTGGGGCCGACAGTGCGGGGCTGCGCGCCCCTCCGGTCGTGTGGCCGGCGCCGGCCGGCCTCTGTCCGTCACTGGCTGCTGCCTGGGGAGCATCGCTGCCGGCCGGCCGTGACAGCTCGGGCCGCGCGCTGGGAGGGGTATCAGCGAGGCGCTGCCTGCGGGGGGAGGGGGGGGGGGGGGGTGACAGTAGGTCCAGTCCGCCTTTCCATCGCTACTGCCGATGCGTATGCAGCACGAGCGATGTAGAAATCACGGCCAGGATGGACGATGGCAAAGCGATGTGCTTTGCTTGCGTGTATTAAGTCATTCAAGCCTAGGCATTATATCTTGACGGTGAAAAACCAATGAGTGATGTTCCGCTTGCATGCGTTAGTTATCCGTACGTAGGTATTATTTTTTGAGCTGACGTCATGTTTTGAAGCGTTTTCACCACCATCGGAGGGTTTTGCCTCCTGATCTCGAACTAGCAATGTGGCGAGCTTTGCTAAGCGTCGTTGTGGAAGTTGTGCCGAAATGCTGCCGTCATGACGTCATCCAAACGGTCCCAAGAGGGCTTTAATTGTTGTGCTTTGCAAGATATATGAGTTTTTAAGTGTCGTCTACCAGCTGAATATGATCCGTTTTTATGTCACCGAAATACATGTTTAAGAAAGGTGTTGAGAGGATGCATTCGCGGCAGAATGAAGCATGCCAGGCTTATGCACGGTGATCTCTTGAATAAAAAGGGGGTTTATTGCATAGGCTTGATTCGGAAATTATTGTCACTCCATCAACGCCATTTTGCTTCATGTGAGAAAATCAGTGATCTGCGACGCTTCTTCGCTTTTCGCATTCTTTGCGTCCGCATAATAAATGGAAGGAGAGTTGGCGTTACTACAGATAGCACCAGGCTGTAAAGGTTCTCTGGTTGTGTGATCCCAAACTGAAAGCATCAATCATTCTGTCCCTGGCGCCAACGACTGCCTGTGCTGTCACTGGACAGTGTTGGCCGTCAACTGCAGCATCAACTGGAACATTGCCATATCAGCATAAAACGGCGCAGCCCGGTCGTTTGATGCCGGCCACCCGGTAGATTTAGGGCCACGCCAACGTAGTCAATGTGATTGCCGTGGTGCTAGCGCAGCATATGTAGAATGTGTGGCAATCGCAAAAGAGGGGAGTCTTTCATTCAGTGTCCGTAGTTAGCTCCTACCAACCGACGTACTCTGACGTCAACTTGAAATATGTGCAGATATCAACTTGAGACAGGCGGAGAACTGGACCGACGTGAGGAGAGCAAGGATTGGCAAGCCCAGTGCAGGCGATATGGTTCATTTCATTGGACAGCGAAAGGCGATGTGGCGATATGGAAAACAATTCATTAGATGTGGAGACGTTGTAACAGCCGGCTACGACAGGCGCCGAGTGATGTGAAATGGTGCTGGAAAATAAAAAGGGCTGTGGTGCGTATAATGCACAGTAATGCCTCGTCTATTATGTCATGGGTTGGCCTCCCTACCTGCCCTCCAGAAGCACATTCAACTCCATCGTCCCCTTTTCATCGGCTGAATACGAGAAAATACACAGATAGATACAAAAAGTTGTACTTGGAAAACATCGACACCCATGGTATTTACACAGAACGCTGGTACTGGCGGCGATCGGCCAGCCAGTCGTCACACGCCAGTCTGGGTGTCGCTGGCGATCAGCTGCCGCCGCTTCCAGACCTGCGGCGCGTCACTCTCGCACGCCTGCAGCTCGAACACGTTGGCCGTCACGCTGCGGCCGACCGGGCGGCGCGTGCGGCGCGCGACCGGCTCCGCTGATGGCTGGCGCCGCCGTGCCGGCGGCACCACCGTGTAATGCGTGATGTTCGGCGATGTCCTAGAGCGCGCCACCTCCGCGCCGCTAGACGGCAGCACCAGCTGGCCGTGTGTGACGTGGTCCGCCGGCCGCGGGCGGCAGCGGCGCGGGGAGGCGGGCGGCGGTGCTTCCGGACTGCCTTCGCTGGCGTCACCAGCTGGCGGCTGGGTGACCTTGACTTGCGGCCGGCCGACCTCGCCGCCGCCGGACGTTATGACGAAGCCCTGCTCGCCCACCATCCCGGACGCCGACTTGCTGAGAGGCTGGATGCTCAGCGAGCCCGTGATGGCCTGCTCGTCGGCCGCCTCGGAGCCGCTCGAGTCGCACCGCCGACGCGCGTCGCCGCCCACCTGCACCACGAACACGTCGTCGCGACCCGACACCGTTTGACACTCCTCGATGTAGGGGATGCGCTCGACAGGCGCGGCACCGCCGCCAGCGAGGGCGGAGGCGGCGCGCCCGGCCCCCGCCGCCGCCGGGATCCTAAGGCTGGCCGTGATGACGCCGCTGACGTCGAGTTCAGGCGAACTGAGGCGCCGCGGCGCCGGCTGCGGCCCGGTCAGCAGCGGCGCCGGCACGGCCACCGTCTGGTCCGAGCTGCTGCGCTGCCGGCACTCGGTGTGCATGAGCAGCGGCCGGTCGGCTGCCTGCAGACTGCCGCGCCGGCCAGCGCGCGCCTCCGAGCCTGAATCGGACGCCTGGGAGGAGGACTTCTCGCGCCGGCGGAACCAGCGCGAGCCGGCCGACCGCTCCTCGCTGCTGCGCTGCTCCTCCGAGCCGGGCCGCGTGGAGCTGGAGGAGCGCACGCGCCGGCGGAACCAGCCACCGCCGCCGCCGCCGCTACCCCCGCCGCCGCCGGATGACACGTCCTCACGTGAACCGGACTTGTCGCGGCGTCGGCTCCGCTCGCGACCCGCCTCACCCTCCTGGCGCCGCCTGTCGGCCGCGGCGGCAAACATGTCAAAGGTTAAGGGAGGTCACACGCAGCACGTCAAACGGCATTACCGGGTTCGCATGTAGGGTCGTTGCCGTGTTGTAAGGTCGTGTTTGCGGGGGATGCGAGCTAGAAACATTAACGAGGTGAATTTCATCAAAACCGTGCGCTTTTGCTGATGATCTTTGAGTTGAACATTGAACAACAATCATCTGTAGAAGCTCTAGCTCGTAAGATTGATGTTATTTCGCCAGAGCACAGCTTCCGGTCACATTCCAAAGCCTATCAACAACTCCGAAAAGTCGCTCGGGTTGACTGTGATTCCAGAAAACAACAACGCCCAGTCCGTTGAAAAACCACACGGCCGTATTCACGAGGCTCCGGACAAAGCCTTGCAGCCGCCGCCTCCACCAGCGCGCTGGGTGACTGGCACCAACCTGAACCGGCGTGACCTCTCCGCCACTGGCTGGCTGGTGCTTGGGTCGTGTCTCACCGCCTCTCTTCTTCTCACTCTTCGCTCTTCATCACCGCCCTCACGTGTTCTGGAAGTATTCAACGTGCGGTTGGTCCCTCACATTCAGCGAGGTTGGTTCACAGCGAGGTTCACATTCACAGTGCAGTGTTATCTCGTTTCACCATACGTCATTTTATCAGCCAGTCAGCTCAGCCATTTCATCAACATTGTTTTGTATCGAAAAATTACTTGTCAGCGTTATGCTATTTCACGACATAACTTAGACAAGATGTTTATAGCAAAACCAAGAGGTCATCACTTCCCTGAAAACAAAAACTGCCAAGGCCTATCACTCATTCAGGCAGTATCGAGGACATTCTGCAGTAGCTATCAGTCTGCAAAGCACTCAGAGCCATTTACAAACCACCCAGAGCCGTCTACAAACCACCCAGAGCCGTCTACAAACCACCCAGATCCGTCTACAAACCACCCAGAGGCGTCTACATGCCACCCAGAGCCGTCTACAAACCGCCCAGAGCCGTCCACAGAACCCAAGTGCCATCAGTACCGGCTGACCTTCCCGGAACAATTCGGACCGTCACTGCCGACCAACCGTTAACAAAACACGCGGACCGTCTATACAGACCGCCCGATCAAAAAACCCTCCGGACCGTCTGCAAGGACCAACCGATCACAAAACACTCCGGACCGTCTGCATAGACAAACAATTAGCAAAACACTCCGGACCGTCTGCACGGACGCACCATTCACAAAACCTCCGGACCGTCTGCAAGGACCAACCGATCACAAAACACTCCGGACCGTCTGCAAGGGACCAAACCGATCCACAAAACACTCCGGACCGTCTGCAAAGGACCAACCGATCACCAAAACACTCAGACCGTCTGCACGGACCAACCGTTCCAAAAAACGCTCCGGGACCGTCTGCAAGGACCAACCGATCACAAATACACTCCGGACGTCCTGCAAGGACCAACCGATCACAAACACTCGGACCGTCGGCACGGAACCAACCGTTCAAAAAACGCTCCGGATCCGTCTTCAGGACCAACCGATCATCAAAACACTCGGACCGTCTGCACGGACCGACCGTTCAAAAAACGCTCCGGACCGTCGGCAAGGACCAAACCGATCACAAAACACTCCGGACCGTCTGCACAAGGACCCGACCGATCACAAAAAAATTCCGGACCGTTTGTACAGACCACCGGATCACAAAGCGCTCGGACCGTCTGTACGGACCGCCCGATCACAAAACCTCCGGACCGTCTACATTTACTCACATTCACAAAAACACTTCGGGCCGTCTGCACGGACCACAAACATTCACAAAAACGCTCCGGACCGTCTGCGCGGACACCAACCGTTCACAAACACTCCTGTATCCTGTGGTATCACAGGGTATCCTGTGATATTCCCTTCTGATATCGTTCCGAGAAAGGGATGTTGCGAAATATCAACCTAACTATTTCTCTGTTCTGGTTTTTCCGAGGATTAAGGCTAATACTACCGTCTTATCTATACGATACTCCGGCCCGTTTGTACGGACCAACCGTTCACAAAACCCTCCAGACCGCCCAGACGGACTTACCGTTCACGCTCGGCGGCTGTGGCTGGCAGTGAGTTGCATTCACTCCCCTCGAACACCGAGCTGCTGGTGTCCTGCTCGATGTCGACACTGCGCGGTGGACAGGTCGTGAGGGACAGGGACGCACCGCTGTGGTGCGCGTTCACTCGTGTACGCTCCAGCCAGCCTTTTCTTAGAGACAGGCCGCGACGTAAAAAACGCCATTGTAACGCGTACCGCACGCCAGCGCCGCGTGAGCGTAAGGTAGTCTTCCTGAAACATGTACTTTCGCGCCGAGAGTATACCGCAGGTTGAACAGTATATCCATCAACATACGGGGATTTTGGAACTCGCCAAAAACACACACGGTTTGATTCAGGATGCAAGTACCAGCGAACAAGAGCGTGATCTTATCAGTCTCAGCTGCGGGCCTCGGGCCGTGATGGCACTAGCGAAGCGTCATCAGAGTGACACCCTCTCTCTCTCTCTCTCTCTCTCTCTCTCCTCTCTCTCCTCTCTCTCTCTCTCTCTCTCTCTCTCTCTCTCTCTCTCCTCTCTCTCTCTCCTCTTCTCTCTCTCTCCTCCTCTCCTCCCTTCTCTCTCTCTCTCTCTCGTCCTCTCTCATCTCTCTCTCTCTCTCCTCTCTCTCTCTCTCCGCGGCCGCCCCGGCCTGCGAGGCATCTGCGATGCGTGCGCGGCACTCACTCGTCGCCGCCATTCTGCATCCGTCGGCGCAGGCAGCACGTCCAGCGCCTCCGGCTGCTTCTCCATCAACAGCTGGTAGGCCTCTTGCAGCAGCTCGGCCGGCACCTGCAGTCGCAAAAGACGACCGAGTGAGCGAGATGGGTGCTGAGGCCCGCCTAGGCGAGGGGAGGGGGGGGGGGGGGCAAATGAGGGAGGTGAGGGACTGAGGTAGAACTGGGTCACGGGGTCTTCACAGATGGGTTAATACGGGATTTAAGTTCAGTCTATGAATCGAACTGGGCCGGAAAGGAAATTTTCGATCAGATGGACCAGAACTTAATTGGATTTGATACGCCGATTTTCGAATGGATCAGATCTAATTGTGATAACTGAATTGAGCTAGATTTTGAAAATGTACTCCGCCAAGAGCTCTCGTGGGAACTTGGCGATGGGGGACGCACGATGCCGGAAGTACGGGCGATTGAGGTGTGGATCAGGGAAGTGGAACTATAAGCCTGATAACGCTGACTGCGCGCGGTAGCCATGGAGGAAGTGGGACAAACATACGTCGAGTATGGAATCCGTTGAGGAATGTCAGACAATCCATCAACACAAAAACTCATCCGAATTTAAGAGGCAATCTGCCACAAGCTCCAACATACAAGAAAAACCAAACAGGCCCGCTAGTCCCTTAGACGGTTGAGCGGGCGTTTGACAGGGTATAAATAACAGCCCGAGCTGCCTCAGCACGGGGAGGTGCCATGTTCGCCCGTGACGTCACGCGACCGTCATAAGTGGCGGGCGGCGCCGCACCTCGAACAGGTCTTTGTTGTGGTCGATGAGGCTGCGGATGACGTTGATGACGTCAATGCGCTCGGCCGTCTGCTGACTGAGCTCGCTGCCGAGCTTGGCCAGCGAGTGCAGCATGTTGGGCGCGAACAGCGTGGCCAGGTTGTTGCTGTCCATGCGGTTGCCGGTGAGCCAGTCGCCGGTGGGTGTGCGCCGGTCGCACGCGCCGTCAGCCACCTTCTTCAGGAAGCTGAGTAGCGCCCAGAGCGTGTCGCGGTTGGGCACGGCCAGCAGGCGGATCAGGTGCTGCAGACAGTCGAACTGCTGCCGCCGGTTCCGGATCTCTGCGCACGCCGCCAGCTTGCGTCAGCGGCGAGGAACGGTCCGGAATGGGGGGGGGGGGTATGTTGTGGGGGTGCGGGGCAGGTGGTACTGCACGGCGCCGATGCTTCCCACGCAGGTCAACACGTGGTCGAGGTCAGTCCGGCCAGGTCAGTCACCCGCGCGGCGTTCACGCTCACCAGGGACGCCGTGCTGTCGGCGCGGTATTATGTGGGGCTTCCCGAGAACCGACGTCCGCGTTCCAAGAATACGGTAGTTACGCGTTTGGGGCACCGGGCGAGACAGCTTTCATCAAATGCCACGCGGAGGATCGCACGTTGAACGTGAAGTGTTTGCTGCTGTTTGATCCAGAGCCAATGGCTATAGCCTTAGGCTGACCTCCAATGTTTGCGCATCACAGCTTTTCAGCAATTCAAGCACGTGGAGCCGGATGCCTGAAAGCACGTGGACACACGAACAGGCGCACGGCCGGACACTGAGGTACGGACGCACGCAGACAGAGCCGGACGCACACCTCGCATATGCAGCCCGCATGTAGGTGCGCGCATTCGCGAGGCCCGATGCTCGCATCATACGTACTCCCTCACGGCGACACACGCCCGGTTCGCACGCGCACGCACGCCACGCGCACGCACGCCTCGCCCTCAAAGCGCCGCCACTCCGCACGAACAGCACCCGCCCGCTGGCGGCCGGGCGCGCTCACTCTGTGTGGCCAGGAAGGGCTGGTAGAGATCGTGTGGCAGCAGCGGCTCGGGCAGGTCGCGGAAGTACTCCTTGATGAGCGTTGCCACGTCGTGAGGACACAGCTCCTCCCCCAGTGTGACGTCAGCGCCGCTGTCGAACTCCTCCCGCAGCTGCAGATGCGGAGCAGGAGCGTCAGCGGGGCATGGCAGGAGGACGGGGCGTCGGATGGCGGGGCCGCGCTTGGTCGATCTTAAGCTGTCATCCATCGGTACAGGTAAGGTTAAAGTAATCGAAGGGTCCACGAGTAGTTGTAAGGAGACTGCTGGGCACAGGCGACCTGGCAGCAGATTGCGTTGGTCGGGACCGGCCTAGCTGCTATGCGATTGCTGCAATGTGCACAGCTGAATTGGAGTGACCGGCGAGTGTCACTAATCAAATCAGCCACTTTACAAACTCGGGCTTCCGTTTCTCATTCACGAAAGACTTGTGAGCAAAGACACGAACAACGGCGCTGGAATGGGAACGAGGTTGATGCAGTCGCGCCACTATCCGTCCTGCACTTAAATTATTTGTTCGACACCCCATACTTCACACGCGAAATGCAAACGTCACATTTCGCCCCCCCCCCCCCCACACACACCAACTGGTCTTCAGGTAAAGTGGAGAATGACGGAAGCCCCGGCACCGTGACTGAACGCGCCGGCGCGGCCTCACCTGGCGTGCGCGCTTCTTGCTGCTGCTGACGCGGAAGATGCCCACCGTCTGCAGGCCGTACGCCTCGATGTGCTGGATGCAGGCGGTGACGAGGCTGGGCACCTGCGGCACGTGCGGCTGCAGCGCCGTCTCGGCCTGTCCGTCCGACGCCAGCGACAGGCTGCTGTCCTGCACCGAGCTACGCTTCTCCACCATGTTCAGTGACTCGCAGGAGCCGCTCGTCTGCCGACGGCGGTGCACCGGCGCATCAGCTGAGGTCCGGGGCAGAGGCGGATCGAAGGGAAGACGTCAGCTGAGGTGCAGGGCAGAGGCGGATCGAAGGGAAGACGTCAACTGAGGTGCAGAGCAGAGGCGGATCGAAGGGAAGACGTCAGCTGAGGTGGCAGCAGAGGCGGATCGAAGGGAAGACGTCAGCTGAGGTGCAGGGCAGAGGCGGATCGAAGGGAAGACGTCAGCTGAGGTCCGGGGCAAAGACGGATCGAAGGGAAGACGTCAGCTGAGGTGCAGGGCAGAGGCGGATCGAAGGGAAGACGTCAGTTAAGATGCGGGGTAGAGGCGGATCGAAGGGAAGACGTCAGATAAGATGCAGGGCAGAGGCGAATCGAAGGGAAGACGTCAGCTGAGGTCCGGAGAAGGGAAGACGTCAGCTGAGGTCCGGAGTAGAGGCGGAGAAGGGAAGACGTCAGCTGAGGTGTGCGGGAGAAGGACGGACTGAAGGGTGACGTCAGCTGAGGCGCGGGAGAGGGGTTCACCGGTGGGGTGACGTCAGTTGAGGCGCGGGGAAGGGTAAACCGGAAGTGTGATTCAGTGGGCGCGGTATTTACCAGCGATGAATAACGGGGTGACTCGAAGGGGCGCGGTACGAGGATGATGCCAGAAGGCCGACCACAGGAAGCTCGGCACGAGGGTTTGGCGGAAAGGGCGATTTCATGAGACACAACACGAGGGACATAGAATCTTAAAACTTTCTCAGTTGGGCAATAACGGGCAGGGAAGCTTAAATGGCAAGAGAGGCAGCTATAACACCTTTCCAAGTGACGCGACATTATTCGGAACAATGAATGACCTACCAGTTGAGAAAGACCCCGCCCCATCCAGTCCCCGCGTCTTTTAATTGAACACATCGCCTGGTAAAACATCCCGAACCAGGCACTTGGAGCGCATCGCAGGACACCCGAGAGCGCACCGTGGAGCTCTTGAGACCACATCGTAGCTGTCGCGCAGGATGCATTCTAATCCGCATCCGAAACCGAATCGCAGGGTGCACCGGGGTCCGGATAGCAGGGTGGACCGGGGTCCGGATCGCAGGGCGGACCGGGGTCCGGATCGCAGGGTGCACCGGGGTCCGAATCGCAGGATGTACCGGGGTCCGGATCGCAGGGTGGACCGGGGTCCGGATCGCAGGGTGCACCGGGGTCCGGATCGCAGGCTGCACCGGGGTCCGGATCGCGAGCACCCGGCTGCGGCGGGCGATGACACGGTCGTGCCGGGGGGCCGGCCAGCGAGTGTGCCCGGGCGTGAGCGCGGTGGGACCGGCTGCCCGGTCGCGCCGGTGTTTATGTCTCCGCGGCAGCTGGTCGGCGGCGCATGCCCGGGCCGGCCGGGCAACCGGCCAGAGCCGGCGCAGATTCGGGAGCCGACCGGCCACTAAAATTATCCAGCCACCTTCTCCGCCGGCGAAAATAGGGCCGGCTGGCGGCCGCTGACGGACTGCAGTCAGCTGGCGCGCCGTCGGCTGACTCGGCTCAGCTGACGCAGGCCGGCGCCGGAGCCGCGCGGCGCACGGTGCGGCCGGCTATTTACAAACGGGCCGGCTGTCCGGCCTCACAGACGCGCGCCCGTCGGCGGGCAGACGCCGGAGGCGGCGGCGGCGGTGACGACACGGCCCGGCCGCGTCACGGCGGCCTCGACGCCGCCGCCGGGCCGCTGACCGGAGCGACGCAGCAGCGGCCGGCGGCGCAGCAGCGGGCGGCGGGCAGGCACGGGCCGGGCGTCTGGCCGCCCGGCTGACTCTCCTGCTCTCCTCACGTGTCTGAGGTGCCTCGGTGTAGATCGGTGTGGGGATAGATCTCCTTGGTTTGATTTCCATACGTGCAGTAGAGGAACAGACGGTTGGCTGTTGTAAATTTCCCACTGACAGTGGATGTCCCGATAGGCCCTGATAGGATCCGAGTACAGCAATCGTCGTCATCATCGGCGTCGGAATTCCTACCTCCAGATTCCTGATATTACCTTTGCTACACTTGTGCCCATAACACAATCGAATCGCTGTTAATCAATGCTCCACCCGGTGCTTTAGGCTGTAGTGATAACGTCATCACGCTAGTGATTTTCAATCTCGACCGTGCCATTCACATCCACCCGCCAGATTGCGTTATAGCCGGGAAATGTGCAAAACCTTCAGTTTCTTATGAGCTCGTGGCCATCATCGTCAGTGAGCTGTTTAATTTTAACCGCGTGCATACGTGATTTGTTGGAAGCTGATATACATCTCGCTAACGAGTGTCGACCTATGCCGAAAATGCGGGAGCTATTCGAGCGGTCACCCCCAAATTACGAGAATCCTGCTGACGCCGTGTCGTGTCACTGGCGCCGCTGATCGCACCTGCTATTCGTGGCGGCCGCCGCCGCGTGGACAAAACTCATTCCACACCCTGATCGGCGACGGCCGAAATAGCGCCCCGGCGATCGGAATAGCCGCCAATAGCCGCGCCGACCGCCAATCACCTTGTCGCGGATGGCGTCCATCAGCGACGAGAAGGACGCGTGACTGCCGCCGTGCGACGACTTCCGACTGAGGCTGGCCGGCTCCTCGAGCCGCTCGCGGAGCGGCGAGGCGCCGCGCTCGCGCCGCTCGCGGTCGTTCTCCATGCACTTCTTGAGCGGGATGCCGAACACCCTGCCCTGGGCGTTGTTGTTGTTCCCTGCAAAGGTCAGAGGTCGCCACTGTCTGATGGGCGCTGGCGGCGCTGACGTCGACTGGAGGCAGGCGGGGGGTGTTGGCAGGTGTTCGGCGGGGAGGGGCGACGGCCGCGCTAGTCGCCTGCGCCGGCCGGGAACGAGCGGGAAGAATACGACTGCTTCGCTGACCCGCCTTGTTTACGCTATTTCGGCGGCCCATGACGTCATGAGTCTGTCAAACAACAGGGACAAACGAAGCGTCCCGGATAAACACGCCGAGAAGATGAGCCTGCAGCGGCTCGACAGGCCTCTGTGGACCAAGGCTGTCGCTCACGATTGTTTCCTCCCCTCCTCCAACGCCCACGGCCGGCACATTCAGAAGCCCTCGCGGCGTGTGGCAGTCACATTGCAACAGGGGACTCGATCCGAGCACGGGACCAGGCTGCACAAGAGGGACAATATCTCACCAGAGTGTCTTAAGTGACGGGGTAGTACTGACCGCAACTGGTATCTAAAAACGGTCGGCGGTCAAATTTATAAGAAAAGCCAGAACTCGCCAGCCAGGCGCGAGCATAACAACACTGCATTTGTATCACAACGTGGCACACCACAAACATTTCCCCGATCGCCAAAAGGCAGCGGGATTTTTGCTTAATCATGCGTAAGCCACATCACGGTAGCACAGTGAGTGCCATCGCGGTCACGCTGCGACCCTACCTTTGTCTTCACGTTTAGCCGTGTCGAAAAAGCCCGTGGTGAGCGGTCTTTTCTTGAGTAGATACGGTCTCCGTTTGGGCTTGTGCCCCGCAGTTACGTTGCAGTCTGAAAACGTCGGGACGGCCGTGAACACGCGGATTACGGAGCGTTCTGTTGCCCAGGTTTCTGACATATGGTCCGCAGAGGTCACTAGAGTGTGACGGCGGTGTGAGCGGTCCGCACAGGCAGCCGGGTGGCGTTAGCTCAGGGTCCGCAGAAACGGCAACCGTCATTCAGATGTCATTAGACCCACTTCCAGAATGACATAGAACCTCTGTTTGTTTCTGCCCGGAAGCAGGTAAGAAGCCGCAAGTTTTGTGAACCCTTGACCGAGGCAAACCGTAAAGCGGGATAGTACACTCAACGATGATGTCTTTTGTGCAATCTCAGCCCGTAACAGGGATAATCTCCGCATTCAGGATGATGACTGTGATGTAGATATGATCATTCCGATACAACGCACGTACAGCTTACAAAAGGTTCAGGCAAAGCATCAGCCTCTGGCGTTATGATTGTGGCTAGAATCAGTCAATTCCGCTCTCCTGATATTGTGATATAATGTCTATTCCGTAAAATGCCTGCAGGACCCTGCATCTGTTTGAGCTGATGAAAATACATCACGCTGCAAGCAGGATGTTATTTCAACTTTTAACTTAACGCTTATCTAACCAGTAATCAATTTCGATAGCGATATCATGTCATATGACGGGCTAATACTATATTGAGCACGGGTGCAGGCACCGCCATCGCAGCCAAAAGCGCTGAACTGTTAAAACAATATTGAAAAGCCTTGAGAACCATCATGTTAAATAACGTTTCATAAGCATGCCAATCGTGGGGTTCTACGGCACCGAGGCAAAAGCCTGCTGCTTCCCAGCATTGAGTGAGACCGTATGACGTGCAAGAGACGATGTCTTTTTCATGCACTGTCATAGGGCCTACGTTAAGATCCGAAGTTGGGGCCCGGGACCACCAAAGTGTACGCAAAGTGATGTTCCCGAATCTCTGTCCAGGCATGAGCACGTGACAATTTGGAAGGTCAGAAACAAAGGCGTCACTCGTCAGGTCACGCCCGGATATCACTACTCAGATCACAGATCACTTTCCTGTCGTCCTTACCCTGAACCTCATTAACATGCTCCAATCTAGGGCCACCAAGACCTCTGGCCCGAATCGCCAGCACATCAGATATGGCGTAAGCATTGCCAAGGCTCTGGGTTTAATGATACAGGGGCTGATGTGTTAAAGTTGTCTAAGTCCTGGGGTGAGGGTCGGATCCTTCTGAATTGAAGTGGTTGCGCATTTCTTCAAGAACAACATCAGGCGCAAGCCATCGAGAGATGTAAAAATGACGTTCTCTGGCATATGGGCAAAGGGCATTCGCATGGACTCAGTATGGTAAATGCAACCACACGTGTCACGTAGTTTGGATGCGTGCCAGACTGCTCTTGAGCAGTTAGTCAGATAAAATCGCAAACATAATGATACGTTTATAGCGTCCGCAAGAGTGAACTCGAAACGGTATGAGGCAGTCGGTGACGAAAACCACGAAGGTAAACCAAGCTTTAAATCAGTGACACACTGTCAACCATAATCAGAAGATCCCTCAACAGCGGTCAATCACTGGTCGGTTTGGCACTGCCTCAGCCCGTGTTGCAAAAATAGAGATTGGTTAAATAAACCACGTCTCTGCAGGCTTACGCCAGTCTGCAGAGTTCTACGCACAAGCGGCAGGCATGAGAATAGAATGGTTGGATCCAAAGGTCTCAATGTTCCTCGCTGCGGTTGGCATGTTAGATCACCCCCTGGCTGAATTGAGACGTACAGTTCAGTGGTAAACCTTATAATTATGAAGACACCTTGGTTCCATTTCAAACCCTGCTCTCATGCGGTAACGCTCAGGACAACCAAGACTGAGCTTGCTAGGGCGGGTGCCAAACCTCGCCCCAGAATACATTTAGCCAAATGTCAGAGGTATATTTTGCAAAACAAAATCCTCGGGGGAGAAAATGAGGACAACTAAGCCTACGCAATTTAAATTTTAAGAGAAGTTCCCTCAATAATTCAGCTTACTTCTCTTTTAAAGCGTGCGTATGGAGGGGGAGGGATGACGGCGAACGTCGAAGAACTGCTGGAGCCTCTCACATGGACTCCTCCGCGGAGTGTGCGCCCGGCGCTCGGACAGGTCCCCCAGTAGAGGGCAGCTGGGCCCGCTGGTGGACGGAGCACGCAGCCCGCTCCGGACAACCGGGGCGTCGCGACGGCGCGGGATAAGGCGGAAAAGAGGATAAAAGGGTGGACGACCTATCGAGAGCTTCCATGTCGCCGGTTGCAAAGCCAAGCGACACCAGGAAGAAAGCGCGCAACTCCCGACCCTCTACAGATTCAAAGGTGGAAATGAATGTGGCTCAACGTAAAAAAGAAACATTGGCACATCGCAACATTCTGTGTCCATTCATTTCTTTTATGATAATGAACGGTTTTTGCTCATTTTAGTTTATGTGTAACGTGGGTGTCTGAAAATTTAATGAGGATCATCTGACAAATGCAAGCATTTGAAAACTTCGAGCATGTCGCTGACGTAGATTGGACAAACAACTGGTCAACGTTCCGGATTTATTTACGGGATATGCCGTGGTCTCGGTTCCAAACGGGCATGGGCGGTGCGCTGTTCCGGGGGCGGGCCCAGCTGGGTATGCTGCTCTGGCAAGCACCCACGTACTGCGGCACAGTATACCGTTGTCACCGACGGCCAAAACAGAATCACCATTCCCGTGTCCCGACATTGCTTGTCGGCTGAAGTGTAACGTTCCTGGAGAAAAATGCATACGTTTTTGCAAATGGCCTTCTACAGCTCCACGATGGTAGAGAAAGCAGTCACACACCTTTGTTTAGTGACTGGAGCAGTCGCCGATTGGAGAAACTCAACAACTAAGACAGGCTGCGAGTGCGTGGGCAGGTAGGTGCAAATGCAAAGGGCTGCAGGAGGGGATGGGCAGCAACCCATCTTATATCGGAGGAAAGTGGCAGAAAGGCATAGCCGGACCTCTAGTCAAGACCACAGAACACTTAAAGAGAGTTCAGCCCAAAGGAATGAACTAGAGGATAAATGGTTTTTCAGTTGACAAAAGGATCAGTTAGTCTGGCTTGCGGCTAATATCAGCTCTAATCGCGTTTGCTTTTATTTCAACTATTGCCTGAGTCGGCAACGTGTCTCCTCCATAAACTTTAAAAAGCCTCTTGCCACCTAGGCGCGGCCAGACATTTTTCAATTAGCTGGAATGCCCGGCGACGTCCGGGTAATGAGGCAAGATGCTGTAGATGAACAGTTTGAGATAGTTGTATTCGCTTTCGTGTAACAAGATTAATCGAATTACATCGTGGGTAATTGTATTTGCACTCTAATTTGGTAATGGGACACGCCCCGACGAAATTGCCGGTCGTAAATCATTAGCTGCAGCAATGCCGGCACCGCAATGTAACAAAATATTTCAACACCAGACACTCAACTTCGACGAAACCAAGCAGGAACGGTAGCACACGATCTTCAAAAACTGCGCACAAGTTTCCAATTATCCTCTAATGGCTTCAGACACAAAACAGATCGCCTGTTCTGCTGAATCGCTGCCTGACCAGCTGACCAGCGGCGGGGTCACGTGCCCCTCCGAGGTACGGCATTAGGGTCCGTGGCCCAGCTCGGGCACCCCCAGAAGCGGACGGGTCGAGCTCTGACCAATCGAGGCCTTGCATGAGCAGTATGCTGGCGAGGAAGTACCGACCGGGTATCGACATGTGTTACAATCCTGCTGCAGCTGCATTCCTGCGCCAATGGTTCTCACGGTTGAAGCATTTCCTATACACTGTATTCTTGGTCTCACTATGCTGCGACAGGATGAACAGGTCGGACACTCACTCTGAAGCAAGCGACGTACAGTCGGTCCCGGTAAAACACTGGTCCGGTCAGGTCGAGACCCGCCACCGCCAGGGACCGCCCTGGGCTCTTGTTTATACGCACGGCGTAGCTCTGCTAGACAGGCAACTGATCCGTTTGAACGCGAAGGGCGTGTCAGGTGGGATCAGCAAGATTCTTGGGGCGAAGATGTTCGCTCCGCTGGCCTTGTTTGTCATAGTGTCCGTCATTGCACAACTTCGGATCCAGGCTTCGTAGGAGCGTCATCGGCGAGCCTTGCATGAAGCTCAAGCTTTGTGAGGGGCAGTCCTGATGGCTTCAGGCTCTTGGAAGCCTTCGATAGGTTCTTCACAGCCTCTTCTTTGTTCGGGGCAACGCCCACTGACCTGCGAGTCCCTGTCTCCCCACGCTGCTTCTCCAGAAGCTGAGAGGTCAGTCATCAGCAGCAAAGGTCTTCGGCGCCCGGACGGCTTGCTCGCTGAGCCAGACTGCGTCTTGGTGCTGCTCTTCCAGGGTGGAAAGGCTTTGGCGAAGAGGCCATCGTCAGATTCTATGCCATCGCTGGAGGGAAGACTGACTTGGCTGTTCCGACCCTGGATTTGGCTGTCATCAACTTGTGGGAGGTGGCTGGCTGTCCTGTTCTGTCCTGATATTTTGTTTTTTTAAGCCACGTTTTAGTTAAGCCACGATATAAAGCGTGATTAGAAGCCCATAAGCACAGCCTGAAAGGCCGAGTGCTGCCAATAAACCTAATGTTTGCTCAATGGTGTCGTATCACGAGTATTTCCTATTTTAAGATAGCTGGTTCTGCGTAAGACCTCTGCACTTATACTGCCGAAAAGCAGGAGCTGAATGCCTTTCTTGGTTGTATCGAGATTTGTAGTCGATTAGCACGCAGCGGTCCAATATTCTTCGCTTCTCTGATCAGCTTTACATGGCATGGAGCTGACCCCCCTGACGCTCAGCTCATGGGGCCGGTTTGCACGCGTCGCACCACGCACCGTGGTCCGATCCGGACTGCAGTGCTACACAAGCCTCCCTCTCGCCACGCTGATTCAGAGCATGTGAGGTTTTGTGGGACTATCAACGACGGCTCGTGTGTTACTAGACGTCAAATTACGCAGTTTCCCACTTATTACGTAAGATGCTATGACATCCTGCCATTGATTGCCACAAAACTTGCGAAAAGAAGCTTAATGGCGGGAAGCACTAATGCAGCTCGAAATAGGACACAGGAAATAGTTAGGCCCTGTACTAGATTGATATGATATTATAATGCACTAAAAATGACTGATGTAGGTCATCAACGGTGATTAAACGCCACACCACGCCAGCCGAGATAACCAAAGGGTGCATGAGGAGGTCCGGCGAAGCAACCCACCGCGGTATCTGGATACAACACGACCTTTGAAGCTGTTGGATGACCTGGTCGAGGTGGTGCGAAGCCATTATGCATATACTTTTGCAGCAAAAGACGCGATTAGGACCAAATAAATGTTGGACTGGAAGGTTTGGGTTGGCCGTCAAATTTTTCAATGGCGTTTTCTCCACCAGAAAGTAGGTGCATAGGGGCGGAGGATCCCATGTTGTTACGCCTTTGGTACAACCCAAAACCACAGACAGCGGCTTGCGATCGTTCCTTGGCATCCTCGGTTACAGGCAGTCGTTCTAGGCTCTCATGCAAGCTCTCACGCAATGTAGAGACAACTTAACATGCTTCATAATGCCACATACAATGACTCCTGCTGAAGAGACGTCGCCAGCGATGGGCCGCCACTTGCCTTTGTTACGGCGCAGAAACGACAATTAAATTTTAAAAAAATCATGGCAGCATAGGTAACCACGTGACAACGGTCATATGTGAAGGCTCACTGACCGAACAGGCAACTAAGCATAACTAAAGAAATGCTTCACTCCCTGCAATTTATTCCTTTTCACCGACCCGTAAACTTCAACGACTTCAACAACTTACTCATTTGCTTCTGACCGCGCATCGCATTAAGCATTGTTGCTTGTTCGGCTTAGCCACCCAGCAGGCTGGCCTGACAGCGGCGCACCTTTGACCTGACCTGACCCACCTTTCGGAATGCGTACGGTGCAGCCCAGGTTGAAATCGTGGAGCTTCTCCAGCGCCACCTGCTGCAGCGCTGCCGACTCGATCTCGGTGAGCTGCAGCAGCGTGGTGTCGCACAGCGTGACCACCCGATTCTGGATGTTGATCCACTGGCATGTGCCCTGTAGTGGACGTGGTCACATGTCACACGAGGCACCGCTGGCTCTGGATGGTGACATCCTGACAGCTCCCTGTAGCGGATGGGGTCACATGTCACACGGGGCACCGCTGGCTCTGGATGGTGACATCCTGACAGCTCCCTGTAGCGGACGGGGTCACATGTTACACGGGCCACCGCCGGCTCTGGACAGCTCCCTGTAGTGGACGTGGTCACATGTCGCACGGGCCACCGCCGGCTCTGGACAGCTCCCTGTAGTGGACGTGGTCACATGTCGCACGGGCCACCGCCGGCTCTGGACAGCTCCCTGTAGCGGACGGGGTCACATGTTACACGGGCCACCGCCGGCTCTGGACAGCTCCCTGTAGTGGATGTGGTCACATGTCACACGGGGCCCCGCCGGCTCTGGACAGCTCCCTGTACGCCGGCTCTGGGCAGCTCCCTGTAGTGGACGTGGTCACATGTCACACGGGCCACCGCCGGCTCTGGACAGCTCCCTGTAGTGGACGTGGTCACATGTCACACGGGGCCACCGCCGGCTCTGGACAGCTCCCTGCAGAGGACGGCGTTGCCTTACGCGCACGGTCCGAGACGTCCAGTTTGTATGAGGATGCATCGGCGGGTTCTCTGCAACATCATCACCAGGTCATCGCCTGTCAAACAAGCTCGCCGCTGGTCTGCGCGGGACGCTGGCCCGCTGACAGCTGGGCTGCGGGAGAGAGATGGCTGCTCATCATCCGTGCCGCTCGTGTCGAATATTGAGCACGTCGGCTCTCTGATACGCACATCGCGAGAGAGGCGCTCACGTTTTTGGGTTTGCTATCGTTGGATCGGGGGTCCTGGCACGCTGGGGTACCGTAGCGCATCGCTCGGCTGCCTTTCGTTGCTTAACCCGTCCTGTAGGGAACATCCCGAGCTCTAAGCTGACAAAGAGAAGTGGGACAATCCACTTGCTTTAAACACAAACCACAAGCTTGCACCCAAAAACACGCCGCAATATTAACCGCGCGGTCATGCAGATGTTCGGAGGACTGGCAGCCCCGGTGGCAAGAGCCCAAACTCGCCACGATCACCCAACCACCCACTGCACGGCTGCCGTCCGCCGCGATAACTGGGTGATGACTGCGGCAAAAGCCTGGCGCAGCGAAGAATGCGAAGGCGCAGGATGCTGCTTGAATGACACTTCAGGCCAGATGGGGACGTTCGCATGTCGGATATCGCCCCTGTTGCCGATGCAGCCCCCATTGTCGTAGCGTTTTCAATGGTTACAATATGCAATCGATGCTGTCAGTGACCCTGGACAGCTTGACACAGTTATTTTGACAAATTCAAGGGAGACATACATCTCCAGCTCTGTATACAGCGAGTGAGCAGCCCGGAACATTCCTCATTGCTGGCGTCAAGAATCAGTGCATTGCAAACGCATTTTAAAAAGTCTTCCTGGTGACAGGACCAAGGGCATAGTCAGAAATCCAACTGCAACAATGTATTCGTTTCCGCCGTGTCCCTTTCCCCTCGTTTTGCTGCTGAGTTCTCTCAATCACCACAGCGTGCTGTTAAACTTGCCGTTAACGTGGCAGCCTGGTCTCGTCCTGTATGCAAGCATCTGCTGCGTTTGTGTCCAGCATCTCGCCCCCTCCTTCCCGGAAGCCTTCTGACCTAAGCTGACGCTGTCACGTCATCTTTCACATGTGTTGACGGCTGCAGCAGCAGGCTCTGGTGCGAATTAGCCTCCACCGCCTCGCGCAGCCTCCGGTACACCTACAGCGCCTGATACTCGCTTACCCATGCCTGAAGGCGGCGGAGCCCAGACATGACTACCCACGAAACCGTTGCTTTTAACGGCCCAACCCCACCGCTGCCGGCGTCGGCGCCGGCCGTCCAGTGAGCCTACTCTGGCGGTGCCCACCGCGGCAGTTTAGCGTCCTGAGCGGCAGCTGGCACCATCAGCCGGCATCCTTCGCCGCGCCAACCGGCCGACACCCAACCCGACCTGAGTCACTGTCAATATATCTCGCTTTTTTGTACGCCATGCCGCTGTCCTAATGACTGAAGGTCTGACAGGAGCGCCGCAAAAAGCCGCCTATCTAGAACCGCTCTCAGAGCCGAGACCGCCGCGGCGCAGCGATGGGCGGAGATAGGGCGCGCTCGTGCTGGGGCAGAGCCGTGCATTTCCAGATAGAGTTGCAGAGTTGCGGTAACGGGAGCCTGTGGACATTGTTGGTACGTTTGCACTGGTGCAGGCCTCCTAGAAGAGCAAGGAGAAATGCCCCAGGAATAGTTTGCTGGCACATCCGAAGAACAAGGCGATGCATGGCCCCTGGCGAGAGCATGCGATGAGAATCGTCAGAGGTGAAGACTCCTTGCACATTCGTTGCGTACTGTAGCGCGGCTGGGTTAGCGCGGATAGCGTCAGTCAGTGGGGCCGTCCCCTGCCTAACCGCGTCATGGGGGAACATCCCCTCGGATACGAACTCAGGAACAGGGCTGGGTGATAGCCTGGTAAAATATATATTATAATATGCATACGTATTTTGTAATATGCATGACTATTGTAATATGTATGAGTTGTAATGTCACAACGCTGCTTGAACATCATTGAGTGAGGAACATACGCGATCCATGACTGAACAGTGCGTCACATCAGATGTGGGAATGGCCACACTAGAAATCATGGAATTAGCCCAAGTTGGATATTTGCCTATGAAAGATACTTACCCCGGCAGTTTTGCCACCCCAACATCTTTCAGTAGTCTTCATTCGTGTTCAGGACCTATGCGAAGATGCACCTCGAGTCAGCGGCGTAAGCATGTAAGCTGAGTGTAGTCTTTCCAAATGGACCGCAAAATGTAATTATTGCCTCGTAAGGAAGCTTTCCCACTGGCCGCCACAGAGTTACCAACCTTCTAGTTTACTTAAGGACATGACCAGGGAAGCGACGTGGCATTGACAAATAAAGTTTTAGTATGCATCTACTTATATATTTCAGTATCGGGCTACATCTAAAGCAACCCGGAAGAGACATCCTTCCATTTGTATGCATGATGCTGCTTTTGAGGGACATTGCATTAAAACGTAATTGATTCCTCTAGCTTTCGCCATTGCCGTGGATAGCTTCATTGCCGTTGATGGCCCTATTATTGCGAGCTGGGCTGTAGGCCCAGTTTGTCTCAACGGCACGTGACATGAAACTCTGCAGGTTCAGCGGCTCGACGCGGCCCGATCCTGCCTTGCCAAGGAAGCTGCCCTTTTTGAGGTGTCATATGTTTGCGATCTCTGTGCGCAGTCTTAGACAGCTTCCAGCAACATGTAGCCCAGCTCGTTACATGCTGTGCTGTAAAGCTTCATCAAGAGCACGTCGAGGATTTTGCCCCGTTCCTGAAGTCGTCTAAAGCATAGTTTCACATTGCCGTGTGTGAGCCAATTCGTCAGGTGTGTGCAGAAGAGTGGAAGCGAAAAAAGACATTGAGCATCAAAGCGAGGTCTCTTAACACTCAAATCTGGCAATCCAGACCGTGGGTTGGAAACTATCAATCTTAAGAATTTAAGTCAGCCCTAGTTAGAACATCATGAACCGGTCACTTTCTCCGGGCGCAATGCCATATAATACGGCTGTTCAGCCAGGCAGAGCTGCAGAATTGCCAGTGCGCCCGGAACATTCGGAACACAACCGATCGCGGTTTAAATTTAGCTAATCGCAGATGATCATTGACCGGACTGGGTTGGCTACTGATGCCTCCAGATAATCATACGTGTGATTACAGACAGTCCTTGATCATTTTTGGTGGTACTGAATTCCATGCAACGCTCATTTGTGACCCGCAGCATTACAACATCTTACACACCACGAGTTGATAACGCACCATGCCCACCATGGCTGCTAACCCGTATCTCCCCCACAGGGACAACACCCCATCGGGATTCCACCACCAGTCTTCCCACACTCCCTCCCAAAAGCTCCCCTCAACCCGAGGTGGCCGATCTGGCGCGGCCGACACCACGCGGTTGCCCGCCACGTGACGCTGCTCCCCTCCCCACAGAAGCGTGCAGTCCGGCATTTTTAGCCGTGCCAGCCTGACGAAACCACCGCCGCCGCCAGCGAGGCGGGCGCGAGCGACCGACGGCATCAGGCCCACCGAGCTGGGGACCCGGAGGAGCAGCGGCGGCACGCTGCTCCTGATCCCGACCCGCCGAAACATTGTCAGGTGACCTCTGACCTGCCGGAGCCCGGTGACGTAACATCAGCTCATTGCAGCACGTGACGCGCGCGCTGGCCCGCCGCGGCGTCGTGACGCATTCACAGACGGCGCATCGCAGGCAGGAAACGGGACGGCGGGCGCTGCGCTGCTGACATCGCATAGGGATCGGGCAGAGCTGTTTGTTTTGGATCTGAGGCAGACCTCAGAAGTGGCGCAGCGCTAGCGGCCGGCTGCGGTGCGCTCGGATGCAGTCTGTGCACTCGTAAACGAGGCGCGCTCCTATGCGAGCGGCTGGCGCGGGGGCAGGTGGGAGCGGGGAGGGGGTCACGTTAGTTCTGTCGCACCGTGCCCCGCCCACTCTCCGTTGACCCAATTCTACATGTGGTGTTATAGAGCAACACAAAGGTTAAATTCCCCAAGTGTGAGTAGTAGCATGACGTTTTGGTGCAAGCATTATCTCACTCTCAGAAAACCAAAACAAAATGAAGATATGTACGTGGGTGCCTTTTCGTGCAACACATCAAACACGCTGCATCCGCAGACGACAAAAATATATATTCAAACTTTCCCGTATCTGATGACCTTGTTGAGGCGCCGCACAGAGCGGAGAGAAGCGAGCCAGCATAGCTGCGGTGCACATTCCGCGTCGGCGCTCCTTCCAGACGCGGCGGCCATTGTGGCGCGCCGCGGCGGGCCCGTCTGGCGGCGGGCGGCGCGGAGGCGGGCCGCCGGCACGTTCGTCACGCGCGGCGACGGCTCGACAGGCCATGGTAACACCTGACGGGAGCTGGCCGCGCCGCCGGCT